CTTAAATGGAAGAACAGATGTACAAGCACAGATTTAATCAAAAATGCAACAACCAGTCAGCATTAAACTCGAGATATAAGGAACTATATGTTAATGCTGAAAGCGAAAATGATTAAAAATGCCAAATTTTGTCCTTAAATGTCACATTTCTAGACACAAGTATACTAATGAAGGTCTTGAAACATCTGAGAAACCTTACATAACACAAAATATTGATATAGAATAGCTACAACTTTGTTTGAGTTGAACATTTTGACTTCTTGTAGTTTCCATTTTTAGCCAATTTTTTCTAAAAAATTCAAGGTATGTCTTCTTCGGACCAGTATTTAGATATGTTCGCAAGAGTTATATGCTTCGCAGGCGAAATCCTTTATGCAGGACACCCTAATAGAATAAAAAATACACAGAAATTCCATCCAGCTCATAAAGTCATTTTTTCCTTAACGGAGCCTCTTAGAAAATTTTCCACCCCGAGTAGACCCTTTTACCTTGGGTTTAGTGCTTGATCAAAATCTAAATTTAAATTCACATGTTGACCAACTCATAGAGAGAGTAAGTAAACTTTCTCTCTCTCATGAGACCTCTGAAAAAATTATCTAAACTGCTTAATAGCAAGTACTTAGAGAATATATATACTTCATTTATACTACCCCATTTTGACTACTGTGACACAATATATGATAAGGCTTCAACTGCAAAACTCTTAACATTGCATAGACTTCATTCACGGTGTTATAGCATGACAGATACGCCACCATTGAAAACGAGGTTAGTCGTATACGATCTCTGATTTATCCAATAAAATGGCCACGATGAAACAGAAAGCTAAGGTAGGTGCATTATGTTCTACTACTGCGTATCAATAAAAGCATGAAAGATTTATGTAAGCGTCGCATTCGGTGATGCATTCAGTAATGTTTATTTTGAACGTAGTCTTTGCAAATCGACGCCCATGGATAACATGAAATAAGCGAAAAACTGTCGAGTTTGAAATTCAAAACTTCATAAAATTTAGTAATTTGTTTCTTTTCTTCGTTAGGACATGCTCTACATTGCGCAACAACCTTGGTGTATATAAATGTAACCTACATACGATCATACAAAGCCAATTAAGCATTGTAAACCACTTAATATGTTCTACTCAAGCCATAATAATGTATTTTGAATTTGCGGATACGCCAAAAATTGATAGACAGTTACGCGAACCTCGTTCATATATGTAAAACCGAATCATTTCATATCGCTTGTGATCCAAAATTGAAATGTTTTTCAACCGGATTTGAGTTTTGTAAGCTATAATAGATGAAATCGTATTATTACCACCTTGCAGGGCCTGTTCTAGGGGTTTTAGTACTAGTTGAGAAGGCATTTAAATTGCTATATTGACGTGAGCAATATTCTGTCGGGCGTAAATGACTTTAGTCGGGCAATAATGATATTATTCGCCCGGCTATGTTTCCCGGGAAAAGTGATATCGTTCAGTGCGTAAGATTTTCTATTTCAAAGGACAAGGTGCAATTATTGGCAAATATCCCTATGGTCAAAATGAATCATTCGTAGGTGTAACATGAAGAATAAAATGTCATATAATACTTTGGAAAATATTAAAATGCTCGGACACACATAAGCTGAGATAGGGATCATTTCGTTCAGTATTGACTTACATGGGTCTGTGCACCATTGACTTAGCATGAGGATATCAGCAGATCCCAATAGAGGCTATTGGTTTCCATTGATTATCACAGAAATACCAAAAATACACTATGACCTGAATCGATTGCAAACTTAATAATTTCACAATACGACACAAATGGTTTATCTCATCAAATGTGAAAATATGAAGTTTGCAATCGATTCAGGTCATACTTAAAATTAAAAGATTGTACATTTTTTCATCATTTTTTCCCTACAAAATGGCTATAGAAAAATGCTCCAAAAACAACTTTTACACTTATCAAATATCATACACGTTTGTAAAACCAAAGATTATACTATTATATTTCATTATGTAGTAAAATATTTGGATAAGATGCAGGGATGCGTAGGATGTAAATGGATTTTGTCAGACACAAAAATACTTCCTGGTTTGGAATCTATGCCTCTACACTTCATGATTGAATTATGACCCTAATAAGTGGCCTATACATCAATACAGTGCTGAATATAGGTCAACAAGATACTAGTGTGCATATAGATGTAATAATTGAAGCAGAATACTCATTTTGAAAAAGCAGTGAATTATTTTTTTCCCATGGGGAGATCCCAATGGAGGGTGTATAAGGTCCTTTGCTATTTCAGCCCTGGGCATTAACGGTGGTAATAATGGTAATTGCGGCCCTTGGTCCAATATTTCACTATATTGCCCGCAGAAATGACGTTATTGTACTATTATGAAGATGGTGACATAAACAGCTGAATATGATTTGTAATAATGGTAATATATGTCTAATGTCACTTATGACATCATCAATTAATTTGGAGTTGTTTTCTTCCGTCGCCTGTTCGTTGTTACTAATTTCTTCCTTTGCCTCTTCATTACAATCATTTTCACTTCATTGGCTTTCGCTATTTTTTCCTTGCCCTATAGAGGCTCAAGCAAGAGCTTCTCTTGCGAGTCCTGAAAACAAATATAGGCAGTTCACACATAGAGAGCTATCCATCTAGGGACCTTGACTTGACAGGAACTTGCATGTAACCGTCCGCTAACATCTAATGTAAAACTAATACAATGCGTTGCTGTCCATAAAAAAGCATGCAATACATACGTATCTGTCTAACGACCTTGCGATTGAAACCTTATTATCTACAATATTTACCGCATTTCTGTTCTGCATTTGTCATTCTATGGCTTCTTTATACACAGTTTACGTACAGTTAGTATTTTGAATGGCTCTGAGGCACATATACTGAGAAAACACGAAAAAGGACTTAAAATTATGAACTTCGAAATCTCAGCTGGGTAGGTTTACAGCTTATATTCTGCTTCTTGTAGACCACACGACAGATTTAACTCAATCTTTATAACCATTCACATATGCATCACCGAATGGAACTAGTTGAAAAGGAAAGCTTATCTGTGAATCTTGCCTACAGGCGAAAAAGAGGACATGCTGTCTTTCCCGTCCGCCATTTTTTGTTATCGTTACCGCAAAATTTGGCCAATTGCCTTGTCGTATCTGTCATGCTATAACACCGTGTCATTACCAAGCAGCTTGCCGTGCAATTCATGGTTCAAACACCTCAAAAGTTTTATCTTTACTCAACTGGAAAACGTTAGCTTCCAGGAGAAAAGAACATCTCAAAATCTTTGCCTTTAGGCTAGATACCATTGTTTTCCCCCTTTCATTTGTGATTTAGTTAGCACATACGAGAATATCCGAAATAGGCCCCTAAGGCAACCTAGACATTATAGAATTGTAAATCAGTAAATGACCCATTTTGTATATGTGGTGCTAAACAGCAAACAACACATCACCTTTTCTTAAACTGCCCTCTGCTGCAACAAGAAAGATGCACTCTCCTAGCAGGACTAAAAACCTTAGGATTTCTCAACAGTTTCCAAAACTTAAACTCCAATGAAAAAATTCAATTTTTATTATTTGGAGACAGAAATCTAACAGTAATGGAGAATGAACAAATTATTCAAATAGTTAGCCATTACATCTGTTTAGCTCTTGACATTTTAGATTAACCCCCCCCCCAAGGCCTCTAACATTTTTCACCATCCACATTGCGGACCAAATCTATTGTATTTCGAGTATTTCCAGTTTGACATGTTTTGTATATTACCGACAATGTTGAAAAACGTAGGCAATAATATTGTATTGTATTTTTATATATTATATATTATGCATGGAATAAATGAGAAATGGAAAAAAACTCTTTTACCAGCACATCTGTGTATTTTAACTGGTTTGGTGAACCCAGATCAATTACAGCCCTTCAGCCTTTGATGAGAGGGGATGGACATGTACATGTAACAGTACAAAAGTTTCAGATGTTTAAAAGATGGCAGCCTGTGGTAAAGTGAACATAAAATATCGACATTGTATGAAAATAGATCTAAAACTTGAAATCTAAATCATACATAATATTGGATGAAAAAATCAGAAGTTCTTAATATTTGTAGCCGGATACCAAAAATAATTATTATTTGACTTCATGGTTAAATTATTAACAATGAAGGAATAATGTGCAAACAACTCCAAAATTTGTCATTCCGACATACCTGAACATTTAGCATAGCCCCTGGGATCTAAAATGAAAAGTAAATTTTGAATCCTTCATTTATATCAATATGGAAGTCATAGAAAGTTATGATGACACGGTGTCACTTTTATTATATCTGGCATAAGTTAGAATAGTGAATCCTGCCTAAAAATTACATAACTTCTTGATTTATCAAGTATTTCCATTTGGGTGTATAATTCATTGAAATGTTAGTATATGATCTTGTTCACTGGTGGACTGTGATTTGACATAAAAACTGTGAACTTTAAAAGAGTAAATGAAATTTTTAATTTTTTTTATCGTTGTGACAATGGGGATTTATTCCGACCTTTTTTGGAAAACTTATAAATGCTAGGAATTTTGAATAAGGGTAAATAACTGCAAATCAAAGATGTTTTAGAAGAACCTGAAATTCATAATTTACATCAAATTGAAGAAAATGATGGTCTTTAATGGTTAAAAATGCAGATCTTCTGAAATCTCAATAAAAACGAGACTTCATCGAGATTTAGAAAAACCTCATTTGCATATTTGGTTACCATTGTGTTGAGTTATCATACATATGAAAGCGCCTCTGTAACTATTTCCTCAAAAACCTTCGTGTACTAAATAAATAGATGAAAGGCCTGCGATTACAAAATAAAACTATCGATTTCAATTCAACCCAATTAAAAAAATTGATCAGTGACAATTTGATATTACAAATCCCCCCAGGCTTATTATAAGGTGGTTAATAGCTATTGGTAAATTAAAATATGTGCATTAAGTTAATTGCCTACAATGTATTTAACTTTGTTGATATTTTGATTGAATTAGAACATTAATATATGAACTAAAACGGACGAAATACATGTAGTTTTATGTATTGTTTTCACCAAGGAATGAGAAAAGTATGGTTCTGATTTTTGGAAAGCAGTTAAACAAACAGAACTAAATTACGTGATTAAACATATTAGATTAAAAACAACAGAGCATTATATAAAGGAAGGATTATATGATTAATCAAGATATCACCACATTAAAGATACACATGTATTAATACTAAAGGAACAACTGTGTACAAGGATTAAAATAAAGATACTAAATACGTTTATGAAAGATAAACATAGTAGAAATTAAACAAGAATATCAAATTATACAGAAAAACAAAGAATCATTATGTCGCCAATGATATTATATTTTTCTACTTTTGTATGGAGCATGTACATAACCACAGCACTTAACATTACACAGGTATGTAAAATATATATACAAAAACAAGTTGTGATGTACATTCCCGGTGTATATTGTATATGTATTTATCCCATGGTTACAAGGACATAGATCGAATATCACATGAAGATATATTTGATATGTTGATCAAGATATCATATTTTAGCAAAACATTCACAAACCATCGAATATCACTTTTAAACTATCGAATATCACGTCTTAAAAAGTGATATTCGATGGTTTGAAAAGTGATATTCGATGGTTTCGATTTTTTTCAAAAAAAATTCTTTTTACATTTTTTAATTATTTTCAAAAATATTTAAAACAAATTTCAAAATTTCAAACTTTTTTTCACAATTTTTTCAATTATTTTTTGACATTTTTTCTCAAATTTTATTTTTCAACTTTTTTCGCTGATAATGATTTCCCATTGGATAAACGGACAATCCTATGGTTTTTCAAAAATATCAATTATATCCACTCATGGATACAAATATCTTCACTCATTCGCTGCGCTCACTCATGAAGATATCAATATCCACTCATGGATATAAATGATATTTTTTCAAAACCATAGGATATTCCTATAGTATCTCATACTTAAGTGGGTTTGGGGTAGATATCACTCGGGAATATATATCATATCTGAGGAGCGGGCGGGATATATTGTATATGTCCCACTCCAGGCCAAATGCGGGCAGATATAATATATCCATCCCGCTCCCGGGAATTTTTCAAAAGTTTAAAAAAGTTTAAAAAAGTATGAGATACAACAGTTATGCACGGTCGGTTTGGATACATGGAATATCCCTTGGGATATACAATACACCTTCCCTCGGTCCCTTCGGTCCCTCGGGAAAATATATTGTATATCCCTCGGGATATTCCCTGTATCCAAAACCTCCCAGTGCATAACCCCTATATATGTTATGAAACATAGGGAGTAAATACCTGCATTAAATTTTATTGTTTGACATATCGTCTCTAAATCTGTAACGCAATCCTAAATGATTCTCAATGTCAAATTGCACTTTGTTAGCCCAAATACAGACTCAATATGCGGTTTCAGATATGCCATCCAAAGTTTGCTGTCTTAGATGGTCATTCCGCCTGTAGCCTTCCGTCATCGGAGCTCATCGATGCAGGTATGTATATTTTCCGTTCGAAGCCTCCCGTCACCTCAGCTAATTATAGATGCAACTTTGTATATTGTAGCATTCTATAACCTGAGTTTATAGGTGCAGGTGTGTATATATTTCCCCTGTAGCATTTTATCATCTGATCTGATATATATATATATAGAGATTATATGAGGTTCAGGATATTGGGATTATCCCGAAGCCAATATAATATATCTGCCCGAGGGCCGTAGGTCCCGAGGGTAGATATATTATATTGGCCTCGGGATAATCCCAATATCCTGAACCGACTATAGGATGATCTGTTTATCCCATACCAATCACATTGTTCAATTGGCCAAAGTTCAGAAACTTTGCAACCGACCGTGGAATTATTTTAAAATATTCATGTCCAGTTTTGTATTATTGTCCGTAGCCGGATTTTCCTGTTCAAATCATGGATTATTAACAGGGCATACTGCTCCTTCCCTTCTTTAAAGCATCAAACAGATCGCGATTGTCTGTGTTTTTCTCCATTGTCGTTTACAGTATGCGAACGTTACAAAAAGACCCAATAAGGGAACAGCGATTATGACGTAGCGGGCAGATATACTATATCTGCCCGCTCGGAGCGGGACGTAAAGCTATATCTGCCCGCTGATGAAAATATAAGTTTTTACAAACCGGCTTTATGTACCCGTAACACGTCCAAGTATGGGATAAATATATATATTTCGCAAGTAGCCTTCTATCATCTGATCTGATAGATGCAGGTATATATATATTTCGCAAGTAGCCTTCTATCATCTGATCTGATAGATGCAGGCATGTATATATTTCGCATGTAGCCTTCTATCATCTGATCTGATAGATGCAGGCATATATATATTTCGCCTGTAGCCTTCTATCATCTGATCTGATAGATGCAGGCATGTATATATTTCGCCTGTAGCCTTCTATCATCTGATCTGATAGATGCAGGCATGTATATATTTCGCATGTAGCCTTCTATCATCTGATCTGATAGATGCAGGCATAGCCTCCTATCATCTGATCTGATAGATGCAGATATATATATATTTCGCAAGTAGCCTTCTATCATCTGATCTGATAGATGCAGGCATATATATATATTTTGCAAGTAGCCTTCTATCATCTGATCTGATTGATGCAGGCTTATATATATTTCGCAAGTAGCCTTCTATCATCTGATCTGATAGATGCAGGCATATATATATATTTTGCAAGTAGCCTTCTATCATCTGATATGATAGATGCAGGCATATATATATTTCGCAAGTAGCATTCTATCATCTGATCTGATAGATGCAGGCATAGCCTCCTATCATCTGATCTGATTGATGCAAGCATATATATATTTCGCCTGTAGCCTTCTATCATCTGATCTGATAGATGCAGGCATATGTATATTTCGCCTGTAGCCTTCTATCACCTGAGCTGATAGATGCAGGCATATATATATTTCCCAGTAGCCTTCTATCATCTGATCTGATAGATGCAGGCATATATATATATATATCGCATGTAGCCTTCCATAATATTGCATCTAATGCAGGTATGTACGTATATTATACATATATTTTCTGCCATTTGGTCGAGAGGATTTACTAATTAACCCATATATATTATAACATTCCACAAAATGTAGAAGTTATGAGGATAGTCCTTTAAGCTATTCCTGATACCATAAAAACAGAATTTTACAATTTGGGAAGATGGGTATACAATCAAATTCATCCAGAATTCGATATCAACCACCCACATAAACATACACTGTATACTCGTTCAATTTGCATTTTAATACGTTAATGGCCAAATGTTTTTTAATTCACATATTGTCACTTAGGTGTGTCTGCCGAGGACAGAAAAATGATCGTTACATTTCATAATAAATATCGCCGCGAGGTGTCGCCACCAGCTACTAACATGCAGGTCATTGTTTGGGACGAAGAGATAGCCATGATAGCCCAGCATTGGGCAGCTACCTGCCCCTCTCCAGAGCGACCCTTAGATGAAAATCATCTACGCGGTATACCTGGTAAGTCTCAATCAATACCAAAATATTAGTTGAATTGTTTATTTTCTACGTTTGTTAGTTGCAAAACGTGACCGTACATTAGGTAACATTTTAAACACGATTAATTCAGCACAAAACAAATAACACAACTCCTTCGAAATATCCTTCCACTGTACTTCGGAGGGATTTCCCGATGCTTGACATTACACCTTACCAAGATTCAGTCTCCAAAAGCTGGAGTCACTTAATGTAATGAACGTAGTGTATATTGCCATTCTAGGAAGGTTCAACCGACTAGGCCAAAACGCTGCATTTGGACAAGCGAGTTGGTCGGCTGTGGTTGCAGAATGGCATGAAGAACAAAACTTTTTTATTTACGGTAAACCACCAAAAGGGAATAAGCGAGTTGGACACTATACACAGGTTTGTGACATTTAGTTAAATATTGCTAGTGTTCTGTATGCATCTGCAACACACACCTTGAATATTGAAAGCACTATAGACAATACAAGGGAAGTAAGAAAAACAAGCCGAACCTGCCTGTCCATTGTTTTTGTTTTGCTGTGGCTTTCCAGGTTGTCTGGGCGTCATCGGGTAAAGTGGGGTGCGGTTATGCTGAATGCTCCGGATCAAGAAAGATCTACATTTGTAATTATGCTTTAGTGTGAGTATGCATTTTATTACATTGATATATCAATCAATAGCCTACATGTTAATTAGTTAATTAAATGTTAATTAGTTTTGAGGAGGCGATCTTAACATACAGTCCGCATAAAAACTAACCTTACAGTAACTTAACGTTGTTATTGTTCCTTTAATTGTTGATTTCGATATGAACTTATCGACCAACGATATAACTGTCTGATCATTATTCCTCATAGGGGTAATGTTGCCAAATGGAACGACCCCGGGACAAGATTCAAGCCATACGAGACTGGCACACCTTGCACTGCGTGCCCTTCTAGGTGTAACGATGGTTTGTGTGGTAAGTAAATATATTTATTCCATAACATCAAAATATATATAACAAGTTTTCATTATTTGAGAGTTTTGATTTTTTAATGTATTTATCTATATTCGAATAGTGTTCGACGGATTTCAGTCATCTTTAGGCACCCCAATGGTAGCAATAAAAAACTAAAAATGAGTTGTATCCTGTACAATCTGTGTCAGTAAAGATCCGACACATGTTATATCTATAGCCAGCTCTCGTATCAAGAGGACACATGGGGTATACAGATCCCGCCTATATGGATTGATTTGAAGTATAAAATTAAAACCCCATTTGTTTAATTTTGTGTTAGATTGTAAAGGAAAGGTATGTCATAATGGTGGAATCTTGAACCCAGAGACTTGCACGTGCACGTGTCCCAAGCTCTATCACACTGGCGACCTTTGTGATGTTGACTGCAAACTAGCGACCGATTCGTTTGGATGTGCTTCTCAGAACGGCAGCGTTTGGACGGAAGAAGGTTGTAAGACCATTGGGAATGCTGGAGATGAGTGCCCATTGCAATGTCAGTCTTGTCCAGGTATAAACACTGAGCGTTAAAGTCCAATGAGAAACCATTGATTGCAAAACTAACAGACGTGTGGATATTGCTCATATTATAGTTCATAACTTTATGTCGAACCGATATGATACCAATTTTTCAGTCATTTACTTTGATAGAAACGTTGCCTGTTTGTTGTTTTGTAGAACTATAAGGTCATAATTCTCTAAAAATAATCATGTTTTCTCCATCTTAAGAATTTAAGAATCTTCGTACATTTTTAGACATCTTTTATGATGAATATCCGTCTTATTGGAAATAGAAGTAGTATAATCACAGAAATAGTTGGTTAATCTCAATGTTAATAACATTATTTACTTTTAGCTGGTGGAATCAACTTCGATATAGACCTTTACCTCCAATCAGTAGAACATGGGAGAGCCAGAATAAGCCATGGCGGAAACGAAACCTCGCGTGCATCATTCATGGGACATTCAAGAACAACACTTGTAGGAAATTTGAATTTCATCATATTAGTATTAGTAGCCATATTCCTCATGGTTAACCTTTTTTGAATGTTTGAATTTAACATTTTATTAAATGACAGAGATTTAAAAGGTAAGGGTAAAGTAGAGACTCAAACCCTGCACATATTTTTTGGTATCTTAAGTAACAATGTACAGTAATAGGATTCCTGGGTCATCATTCAAGTTTCTAGGAAACATCGTCTCTGCTCTCGCCTCAAGTTGAATTTCAAATTTTTGTTCATTTCTACCACTAACTTATCTTGAAATGGAAATACAGACCTCGGAATAGAGTGTAGAAATTGGGATGTATTCACATATGGGACCCTGACTTTATTTCTAAAAAATGTAAAAGGTCACCTTCAAGGAATTGTCGGCACGATGAATCTTTAGATTTTTTACTTTAGATATGATTTTTACTCACCTATGTAAATAGAATAATACATTAGAATAATATGTATGTAATGTCGCAATTTTTGTTATTTTCTGACTATGACTTGATAGACTATGCTATTCAATAATTTTCTCAGGTTCTGACGCTCTATAGGTATCAATCCGGTGATTTCATTCGTCTTAGAATTAGTTAAAGGATGAATGTAAATACCGAATAAATGCTTAAAATATAAATACAATTGTTCAAGGGTCGCTATGCAGTATTATATAGATGGGAACTTTTTCATTTTCAGTTTATCCTTTTTATGTCAAAGTCTCGTGTTATCCTGCAGTTCTTGTTCAATTTTCTTTTTCCTAAAAGGAAAACAAATATATTAAATTTTGTTAGGGTAGTTACAGATAAAAATGACAAAGATCTAATTTGAGTTTTAGTGAACACTTTTTATCATTTAATGTAAATTTTCACGGGAATATTACCACAGCAAAACAATTATGAATTTGATTCCTTTCTTTTAGAACCGTTTAGTCAAACATTGTTAGTGTTAGAGATACAGATATTGCCTATATTGCAACATCACTTACTTCCCAAAGTGTTCACTCTCTTCAATACTTTCTGGGAGAGCTGTGTTCAAAGTATCAGGAAGAAGGAGCACTAGGAGTGCTGCCAAAATTGCCATGACCCCAAACACTAATGTTGACAATCCTGCCCAATATTTATCCTGAAAAAGAAGGGGCGCATGTCCATCGTAGTTGGATTGTTATATTTATGATTTATAATGATGGACAGAGTAGAATGCTGTCATACATTGTTTTTGTATACGATATATCAAAGTTTTGTATATGAGGGATTCGTATTCCAACTTTTCCTCCCTTCCCATGAATTCCAGAAGGCCATTGTAATAGTCATTCAGGACGACCATGCTAGTTTGAATACAGTGAATAGTGCCAGTATAATATATACACATAGAAATGAATTTATTACCAGATGTGACAACTGGGGGGCTAATATTGCGCCAATCCTTGCGAATGTTGATGCAGACCCTATTGATACGTTTCTACATACAGTTGGATACAACTCCACAGTAAAAATGTAAACCGTACCAAATGAAACGGATATGAAAACTCTGCCTACAAGAGCCAATGCAGTTCGAACAGCTCTTAGATCTGAAAAACATTTAACAGATGCCTTTAGTCCAGTGGCAGATAGGCAAGGGGTGGATTTGGGGTAGAGAGCTTTTTTCTATGCAATTTAATGTTAGTGTACAACCTCATCTACAGAATGAAACAAAATGACATATTGTATACAGGGTGTTCAGGAAATAAAGATAATAATGTCATAACTTTTTTTTTTTATTCATGGATTTCAATAAAATTTGCAGGGATTATAGTTGCCCTGCCTTAGCGCTACTCGCGTTGCTATTACAACCACAGAATCAAGCAATCAAATCACCTGAAGCTGAAACTCCAACAATAAGTTAAAATATGTTAAAACTATAATCTCTGAAACTTTGAATTGGTCTCAACTGGCGTTTCTGACAAGCTGAAAACACCTGCAGGAATAAGTTTTATATTGCGACAATATAATTTACGATGGTATGATGATGCTTGGATCAATTAGATCATTTACTCACCAGATCTGTAAATCACGGGTAAACATGCCAATAAACACAGCCCTGCGAGTAACTCTGCAACCGCAAAAGGTCGTTTCCTACCAAACCTTGATGCAAGACATACGGGACAATGTCAGGAAATAGACATCATAACACAACAACAAAATAAGTGAGTGATGTTAATAGCTAAAGGCCCAAAATAACTATTGGATGCCCAAACGTGTCAAGAACACATAGGTACTCGAATGATCTTGATTGAACATCATGGGATAGAGAAATTGTAATTCTACCGAGAACAGGATCTTAAGAGGTTCTGGACAAATCATTTGATTCTGGACTTGTCATATTTTTTTTTCAACGAAATCACATCCAAGGGTTGAATTTTTATTAGCTATTTAGAGAGTGAGTCCTGCCTAGTATTAATTTCAATAAAAAAGTTAAAATAGAACCCTATTTGAGAGTCAATCTAATACTTACATTACATTGATAAATTAAGGCAAATCCTGAAATATTTTTAAAGTGCATTTTTTATGAAATATTATCCAGCAAGTATTTAAATGAAACGGTCTTATTTAAATACAAATCATAACATGATATTTTTCATGAAACATTTTTCAATGAAATTCAATTGAAGGGTCAAGATAAAACGAGCTAATTTAGGTGAAAACCTTACATGATGATGTGTTTTCATAACTTCTTTCATAAAATTCCATCAAGGGGTGAAGATAAAATGATCGAATTTAAGTGATTTAAGGATCACGAGAATATGTTTTCTTTGATATTTTCTATGAAATCCCATCCAATGGTCAAGGTAAAATTTTGATTTTGATTTTGATTTGGTCACGTGTTCGAAAGATCCATATAAGGCCCATAGAACCATATAGGAACGTCATTTTGAATGTCACGTGATAGATCCATATAAGGCTTTTAGAACCATTTATGGAAAGATGAGGGGACGCCCCTGACACCTGTTTCACGATTTTTATGCACTTCATTATTGTACCGAAGTTTGCCGATTCGATTCGTCGTATTTCGGAATCCTGGTGACAATTTTATACTCCATTGGAGTATTTTTGACCTACTTCTTATGACGGAAATTCCCGAACCTTGTTCGGATTAAACCGGATTTTCTGACCTACCTTATCTACCGAGATTTCACGAGTTAACATTCGTCTCATTCCGGAATCCTGGTGACAATTTTATACTCCATTGGAGTATTTTTGATCTACTTTTTCTGGATTTTGCCCTACTTATTATATCTTGACAACAAGCAAATCAAAAAGTTCGACATGAACGGGTCTCGATCAACTAACCTAGACTATGGAAGCCAGGCACGCTAACCATTAGGCCAACGAGCTACCGATATGAAAGAACAAAAGTATTATATATTTATACCGAGCGTCAATTCAAAATGATCCTCACTTTTGTCATCACTTAAATACGACTCGTCAGTTGTATCCAGAATAGTATAACGCCTATGGCGCTAGTGAATAACCAAGTCCCGGGTGAGTGGTTCGTATCCCTCCGTGATATACTATTTTTGTTTTATTAAATACGACAGAAAGGAGCAAGGTGTAGGTTGAAAACAAGACGTTAGTTTGTTTCAAAACAGTTTGGAAACATTAATCTCTGATAATTTAAGGTTTTCCACTCCTGAAGGGCCTCTAGATCTATGAAATTCAATAATCCACTCAGTAAAAATACGATTTCTCTGCAACCTGATGTCCAATCAAGATCATTCAAATATATATGTGTTCCTGACACGTTTGGGCGTCCGGGAATAAAATTGCTTGTGAAAACTATTTACAAAAGTGTTCCAGAGACCCTTATCTACTTGGCTAAGGTTTTATTTGAAGATACATTGCCTTATTAGCAGGTAGAGGGGCATACAGAACACAGAAGCAAATGCTATGTTGAAAATTTTCTATATTTCAATTTGAACCTGTGTTTACATGTCACGTAGGCCAGTGTTTTATATGGGGATTATATGTACTTTCCTTGTTTATATGAACGTAAATCATTACATGAAATCTGCATTCTTCTGGGTTTAATCTGGGTTTGTATTGTCTTATTGGGGCTTTTCGACTTTAAAACAAACCCTACCTAAATGGATTGTGTCTCGGGAACGTTTTTGTAAATAGTTATTATAAACAATTCTGAAAGAATATCACATATTTTTGTCTTCCCGATTTCAGTCATGAATTACGTCAATTTCTCGTGCAAACATTGGGTAGACGTTGTCATAACCGGATGCCCGAACGTGTCAGGAACATATAGATACTCGAATGATGTTGATTGAACATCAGGGTTGAGAGAAATCGTAATTTTACTGAGTGGCTTCACGAAAAAATAAGCAGCACTTTAGGCCACCTAAATACAACTCGTCAGTTGTATCCAGTTGGAATCCCAGCGTAATGTTTTTAATTATATGGTTGTGCTTTGATTTTACGCTGAAAACATTTATAACTACGTCAACTTTATATTAAAACATTTATTATCTTTTCAGTTGTATTAAAATGTAAAATATGATATATGTCAGCTTATTGCTTTCTGGAGAACAGTCAAGGTTTAAATTTGGTACAATGAATCGGACACTCATGTAAATCGACATGGTTATAACATTGAACTCAATGCAGTAAATTAGTTATTTCTATGAATCACAGCGGGATTGGTTTCATTTTATATGATTGCCAACTCTGGCGGTTTTTTGTAAATGCTTTTGACCGCTGTAAATGTGAAACTGATACAGTATTATTCAATTGTTTTATGTCTTGGTCACATTTGCTCCGATTTTCACTACGGCGCCCGGCCGATTGAGTATTGTGTTCAGAAATGTATTCAATTTTGAACAAAATACTCGCAGCAAATGTGATCCAGGCATTACACAGCGGTATTTCGAACATACTATTGTTGCTTAACCACGACCTAGCCAATTTTAAAATCATACCCCTTATTTAAATCCAAGTAAACGATCAATGTCTAGGTATTTGGCGTTTGATGATACTATGGCCCTTGGCGAATTATGATTAGATGAACCGAGGTCAACATTTATGTTTCTTGTACAAGGTCATCCCAAGGTCTAAGATAAATATTTAGGTATTTTACGTTTCAAGACCTTTGGACAAATTCGATTCAACGATGTATTAAAGTTAAAATGTATACAGAGATAAAATAGGTTATCTCCTATCGTTTCCTTGTGTATACGTTTACGTCTCTGCGTAATAACGCAGATGCGAGCAGGTAGTTACCAATCTCACCACAAGGTGGCTCGTTCGGGTCAGATAGCATGGCGGGTATGGTAGAAAGTTCCCTTTAACTTAAAGTACATCTGTTTTCGTGGTTCAATTTTCATATCACCCTTAAAATGTATCTTATAGCAATGCAATTAAAATATGTCCAGTGAACGAAAATGCAATACAAGAATAGATATTTCACTTTTTGTGATTTTGTAACAATGGGGTTATTTTTTGTATATGTAACATGGTCATTTTCACATTTTATATTATTACTGTTCATATTAATCAATCCCTATTCATCTCAATATAACAGGTCCCTAAGTAGGTTGTTTGCAGTTTTACTCTTTTAATACCATGTTCACTTTTCACCTTGAGTTATTCAACTATGCAAACTGTGTCAGTTTTATATATCTATTGTTCCCCTATATGGTCTTTCTCACTCACATGTAGCTGAGTTTGCATTGGGTGTTGGCTTGTCAGTAGTTGCTGTAAGAGTTCATGTTGTACATTACAGAGCATTGTATTTTAAACATTGAAGTTTGAAATATACTATTTTATATATATTTTAATTTGAAGTTCGAGTTATTTTATTGCCACCCACGGGCCTTCCACACGCCCATTTACATATAACGCTTTGAAACAACTTTAAAAAGTGAGCAATGTCAGTGTTGTGATAATAGAGAATTTTCGTTATAAGTTGTTTCAAAAACTTATACGTATACTTATAGTTTAAAGGGTCTTGTCGAACTAAAATCAATTCAAATTGATTTTCATAATCTGTACCAAGTGGGGCATAACTATTCCCGATATAGTCAAGCTTCATCATCAACTAGGGACTGCGAATACAATGTCCTTTGCTAGTGTCAATTATGAACACGATAAACTAAATTCTAGTTGACGGGTCCTTGTAGTGTACGATAAACAAGACCCTTTAAAGTGAATCACTACACGAACGAGTCGATCATTTCAAAGTTCTCATGAAATTATAAGGTCAATTTTTAAGTTTTTACGTATAAAAGGGCCTTTATACGCAGATTATAAACTTACAGAGTTGGATCTCCGCATAGTATATGTGTGGACCTACTGACCAGAATGGCTTATTAAAATTAATCGGCTGAATAGGCATAGTATCCAATCAAATAGCTCGACTCATTCATTAGCTGAACTAATTCTCCCTTCGTTATTTCTACAAGGTGATTCAAAACGATCATCTACAAAAAATATATTTGAGAGTAGATAAATCTGTAAAACCCGTGTGCTATATCAGCCTATTTGATTCTAGAAAACACATATGACACAACTAAACATGCTTTACATCAAGGGGGTACGGATGGTATGCCATTGGCCCTTTTTATTACCGTCCTAGGTTATATTTCCCGACGAATTAGGAAATTATGAAACACCTTGTTTATTGGGTTTATAAGTATAAGTATACGTATAAGTTTTTAAAAAACTTATAACGAAAATTCTCTAATAACGCCCCTCATACCTATTTATTACAGGTCGTGTAGACCATTGTTGCCTGATTTATAGCAAAAACATTGACTTTTGCATGTTGATGATGATGATGATGATGATGATGATGATGCGCCTTTTATAATAGATCTCATATCTTAGAAGCGTATCAGTTCAAAAAATACTAGAAGACCTTACATATTTTGCCATGCACTGCGCCTATTCATTTGGCAATTCAGTTGTAAATTTTATCTTGAAAAAAATAAATCTTCCAAATTTGTTGAGTTTTCTTGCAGAAATCGCCTAACCCCCCCCCCCTCCATCCATTTTGTATGATCACAAGGCGTGATTTAAGCTGCTGATATTCTTCTTTAAACGAGTCGGATTTTCAAAATCTATAAGTTGGACTCCCTTTATAGAAGCTTTGAACTGAATTTGCACTGCTTAATGCTGAAATTTTATTGTTTATCCATACATTTTAAGAAAAAATGTATAAAAAAAGATGTTAAAGCCAAATGTTGCCCTAAAAATTCAGAAAATGTGAAAAATTTCGAATTTTCTATGTACAGGCCTTGTTGCCCCTTTAAGAAGCTTAATATGTAAATTATCTAATCAAACACTTCGTCCACCATTTTGAAACACTAATCAATCCAATCTGTGCTAGCGATTCATAGGGCGAGCCAGTGGGATATTTCCAGGGTTCATACACACCTGGAAATGTCAGGGAAATTGACTTGATTTTCCAAGTGCTGGAAATGTCAGGTAATTTTAAAATTAGGTCAAAAGGGCCAAAGATGACCGGGAATTTTGAAACGGTAGACATGTCAGGGAAATGTCAGGGAAATTTGTATCAGTGTTGAAAAAATAATGTTCCAGAGATTAATGTTTCCAAACTGTTTTGAAACAAACTAACGTCTTGTTTTCAACCTACACCTTGCTCCTTTCTGTCGTATTTAATAAAACAAAAATAGTATATCACGGAGGGATACGAACCACTCACCTGGGACTTGGTTATTCACTAGCGCCATATGCGTCTACTATTCTGGATACAACTGACGAGTCGTATTTAAGTGGAGACAAAAGTGAGGATCATTTTGAATTGACGCTCGGTATAAATATATAATAATTTCCGTCATAAGAAGTAGGTCAAAAATACTCCAATGGAGTATAAAATTGTCACCAGGATTCCGAAATACGACGAATCGAATCGGCAAACTTCGGTACAATAATGAAGTGCATAAAAATCGTGAAACAGGTGTCAGGGGCTTCCCTCATCTTTCCATAAATGGTTCTAAAAGCCTTATATGGATCTATCACGTGACATTCAAAATGACGTTCCTATATGGTTCTATGGACCTTATATGGATCTTTCGAACACGTGACCAAATCAAAATCAAAATCAAAATTTTACCTTGACCATTGGATGGGATTTCATAGAAAATATCAAAGAAAACATATTCTCGTGATCCTTAAATCACTTAAATTCGATCATTTTATCTTCACCCCTTGATGGAATTTTATGAAAGAAGTTATGAAAACACATCATCATGTAAGGGTTTTCACCTAAATTAGCTCGTTTTATCTTGACCCTTCAATTGAATTTCATTGAAAAATGTTTCATGAAAAATATCATGTTATGATTTGTATTTAAATAAGACCGTTTCATTTAAATACTTGCTGGATAATATTTCATAAAAAATGCACTTTAAAAATATTTCAGGATTTGCCTTAATTTATCAATGTAATGTAAGTATTAGATTGACTCTCAAATAGGGTTCTATTTTAACTTTTTTATTGAAATTAATACTAGGCAGGACTCACTCTCTAAATAGCTAATAAAAATTCAACCCTTGGATGTGATTTCGTTGAAAAACAAATATGACAAGTCCAGAATCAAATGGTTTGTCCAGAACCTCTTAAGATCCTGTTCGAGTGGCTTCACGAGAAAATAACATCGTAATAAGCCACCTTATAAAACAACAATTCTTTAAATCATTAATTTTTGCTACATGTATTTTTTGTTCCATTATATTTCAATCAGTACATCTACTACAACACTCGCATATTCCGTACCTATCAAGAGTTAGCATCAAGAAAAATGTGCCTGGTATCTCTAAAAGACCAGACATGAAAAAGTTGAGGTAAATGTTTCCAGGCAATCTCCCAATATTGAGCGTGAGACCATAGTAGACGGTCACGTTTACAAACCTATTAATAAAGAGCTGAGTATACATGGTAACGTCATCTTCTGAACAATCCAGAATACTTATACTACAAACGTCTATTAAGCATTCTACTGAGCACAGCGTTTCGGAGGATCTGATTTAATATAACTTTTGTTGGAATCCTTAGAATAAGGATAGGCTGGACATACAATTGGTGTATGTGTATCACATCTATTTTCGTATAATTTTAATGCCGAATAAGTATAAATCAGTAAGGGAGAGTTCTACTCACCATTGAAAATATATATTGAACGTTCTTTTCCGAAGACCAGGGGTTCGAAACAAATCAATAACACTGGCACTTGGCTGAAATTGACAGTTCGAATCAAATCAATAACACTGACACTTGGCTAAAATTAACAGTTCGAAACAAATCAATAACACTGACACTTGGCTAAAATTAACAGTTCGAAACAAATCAATAACTCTGGCACTTGGCTGAAATTGACAGTTCGAAACAAATCAATAACTCTGGCACTTGGCTAAAATCAACAGTTCGAAACAAATCAATAACACTGACACTTGGCTAAAATTAACAGTTCGAAACAAATGAATAACTCTAGCGCTGGCTATGTTGCGGAGAGAGAAAAATTGTTGGTAAATTGTTATTTGAATATTTGAATGTCATTAAAAGATCGGAAACTTCGGAGACAAAAAGAGACAGATATTCACTCTCCTTACCGTTTTGTCATTCATTTGTATTTCTACATCATCAGGCAATTCCTTTTTATTAATCCTTCCAATATTCTTAAGAATTTTCAAGGCTTCTTTCTGTCGCCCTTGAGCAAGAAGCCATCTCGGAGATTCAGGTAGGTACCTGTGGAATAAAGGTAGAAATTGTAAATCGCGCGCGGTAACAAGAGATCATAGTCAAGCGCATGTGCAGAATATTGAAGCCGGAGAACTATATATTATCAATGATTTATTACTACAATTCAGAGGAGATAATACAATTACAAGGATTTTTTACTTACTCAACAATATAATCTACGAGGATGAATATAAGCATATTTAAGTGATAAAATAATTTTCTCACGGGAGTAAACTATAGGCTTAAATACAAGATTTCAAAAACGAAATAGATATTATGATTTATAGTTTTGACATCGATTCAAGTGAAGTGGTTGTTTCCAAACCTTGCGACCACCCTTCAATCTCCACAAGTGAAGTACATGAAGAGGGAGTGGGTCAATGTATTTTAATTTTTGAGACTATGAGTACTGGCTATCAATTGGCTATCAATTTCAAATTTTTTCTTCAACATGTATTGTAATGACTTCAGTATGAATGAAATGTCCCTCGATCTTCTGGTCTTGGATTGTGATATTGATTCTTGAATGGTGGGGGAAAGGGGGTATTAGACATTGTTTCTTTTCACATTAGATCATGGTTTTGGGCTATATGGGGTTTGTTTTTCTTGACTGGTATGCACTTAGAGTTTGCTTTTTCTTGCTAAGTTCCATCACAACTTTTAGTCCTTTCCCTTTGGCACTAGTGCTTATATATTTATGCAGGACCATTTACTGACCATATACACAACACGAATGGTATGAGAGGTACTGTCATCGCCAATTGTTGCCAGTGGTAGTTCCTCAGAAGGAATGCAATCCCAGGTAATAATAGGTAACCTGCTGTGTATATGAAACCACCAAAGGAATTCCACCTGACTCTGTACTTCTGATGAATCAATTCAGTTTCTTAACAAAATTATGGCATATTTTAATATTTTATTAGGAATAGTAGTCCATGGTACGAAATTCATAGGACGCCTAATTAGGAGCTGGTAACACAATATAGTGCAGCGATATTTGACCTAATATTTACATACCTACGCATGCAGTTTTGCTTTTTAATACGTTCAATATTCTTCGGGCTCTCGGGCTGAATTATGCATGTCATTAGCAGGAGTCAAAATATTAGTAAAAACTATATCCCCTTTTTACAATTTGGAGTACAAACTGCCACAGAAAAGTATGAATTAAATTATAGAAATAAATTTTGAGTGTATGTTTCAGGTTTCTCAACTATAAATCTGTTATTTTTCTTAGAAATACATAAAATTACGTAATTAGTACATCAATATTTTGAATTATTTTTTTAATATTTGTGATGTAAATGGTATCAATGAATCGTTTTGTATAAGAATGAAATATGCTCAAATTATAATAGTTTTTCATAAAATGGGTCTTAATACGTTTTGAGATATGGATTGTCACCCATCAGGGGTCAACTATCAATAAAGTGGGGTGTATTGTTCTTCATTGATTGACTGTAGCTTTGCCTAAATTGATTTGTCCCTAGTTAGATATTGCTCAGATGTTTATAAAACAACCACCAAGACCTGGTCGAATTCATAAAGCTTTGAGAAAAAATGGTTTTGATTTTCACCAAAAATCTACTGATAACCAGCAGTTATGTCTAAGAATATATTACCATCAGAAAATCTGATGATATGCAGCAGTAACGTCGAAAGAGAAATGTAAGGCGTTTGAATGCATATATCTCTTATAAACTATTAGACATGCCCTCAGAATATGCAAACATTCTAATACCTCTATTAAATTCAAATAGATATGTATTTTAGATATTTGTCATCGTTTTATGATTCATAAAACATAGTTAATTATTATCCTGGCGATGATAGGTATAAATTCGTTAAATAAAATTATGAATTAGTAAAAAACTATTTTATTTGAAATAATTTTTTTTTTAAATAGTTCACACAATTTTGTTGAATCTGCTTGACCAATATTTGAAAAAGTAAACAAAATAAAATAAGCTCATTTATATAATCACACTTATCGACCCCTACAAATTACATTGAAATTAGAATTAGGTTTGACACAATGATAATCTAATTTATTAGGGGGCCTTTATTGTAAATATGCTTACATTAATGTTTTGAGTCTTATAAAATATGTAAAAATTCGAATGACAATATTTTCGTTTTTTTGACCCCTTGTAATGAGAGGCATATTTCGACAGAAATGCCCAAAAGTTTTTTCAGCAAACGTTATTTAAAAGAATCAAGACATATGAGCCTCCTTGAATATTGGTTCAAATGTTGCTGTACTATATATTGGATAAGGATTCTTCATATTCCGGAGTCATACCATGGACTATAGCTTCTTATGGTACATGTACACTGTAGGTTCATTCTGAATACATGTTCTTTTGTCTTCTACCAAAATATACCCACTTGTTTATTGACCTACGGTTTCAAAATTCCTCGGTTGTCTCTCTCATGCTCTACTGTGTGACTTTCATCCGGCCACCAGGTGGCGTGTAGGAGCTGGTCTGACTCCACGGTTTGTATCCCATATAGTATTCAGTTCATAAGAGGCAACATCCCGATTCAGGTCGTAATTCTGTTTGATGTAAAATGCGTCTTCGATCCATTTAGTAAGTTATCTGGCTCATTGTCTAGGACTGATGTTTTGCTCCAGTCTCTTACACAGTTGTTTTTGTGATGTGTTCAGTTAAGGCTGCAGCTGATTTGTGATACTCTAAATTAGCTATCTTTTGTGAATTCTCTTGTTCTATGTTTCTCACGTATCCCGCTTCTAAATTTTGTTCATTCGTCCTAGCCTTAAATGTTCTGCAAGTTTTACCTTTGTATGATTTTCCGTATGTCTTGCAAAGTATTTTGTACACAAGAGGAAATAAGATGATAGATGTAATGATAGAGAATCACAATTCAGCCATATCTAATCATGAGCACATCACTTAAACAACTGTGTAATAGACTTGGACAAGACATGAATTCTAGACAATCAGTCAAATAGACAATAACTTAATGGATTAAAGAAGCTATTTACCTAAACCGGAACGACAGTCTGAATCGTGACAGTTTAGTTTTAGTTTTAGACACTCACATGAACTGAATACTAGCATATGCTGTAGTCAGATCATCGACTAAGTTCCTGTACGCCACCTGGTGGCCAGGAGAAAAGCCTGGGGAAGACCGTAACTCAAAAAGTGAGTATTTTGAAGACAAAAGAACATGTATTCAGAACGAAAGACCTGTTCCAATATGGTGGGATTTTCTGCTGCAGATCAATTCAATAAGATCCTTTTGTTGTCCTCGATTATAGTTCAAGTTTACACAATATTATGTTTGCCCAAAGACACGTATCAAGTCTGGTCGCAGTTTATCTGAGAAGTAATTACACTAGGCAAAAAGGGAAATATACGAATTTAGAGAACGTTTCAAAAATGGTCACAATTTTACATAATTTTTTGAAGTCATTTTCCAAGATTAGGACAAGCTATGGTTAAAATTCAAGTGGAAGTACATTTTATTTTGATATTTTTGAATTTGCTTAGATTTTTACACATTTACATGTATGAGTTTATCTATTAATTGATAACAATACGATTTAGTACATCGAATCGAATAACAGTGCATATCAAGTATTTAGGTAAACTTGATCTATGATCGAAATATAGACCATATGTTAAAATGTTGTGCACTCGTTGACTCGTCTCCCAAGTTTGAGATATTGGTGATCAAAAATTACATCAAAAAATGAATCACATTTGTAACGTTTACGTAATTAAATGGCTGTACCAAAATGTAACACATGATATACTTTTTATTTATATTAAAAGAGAACCATTTCGCCGTTCTTTGTCGGCCATACGCTATCTCTGAGAATATTCTTACATCTACAAATATACCTACTGAGGACAAAATAAGTGGTGAAAAAGCCAAGGACGGTAAACCCGAATAGGAACCTTAGAACCACCCAGACGACGTAGTTTGGAGGAAAGGCCAATGCGAACGATACCATCAATTTTATGAGAAGACATATGATACAAGTTTTATATCTCCCAAATCTGAAAATAGAAAATGTGTTGGCTAAATGTTACATACATACAGTCAGCAGATCAATTTATGATTTTATATCAAAAAAGGATGATTATAGTTTCTAGCTTCTGATCTAGACATATTAATTGGTTCATTTATTATCACCATGACTGCAAGACCATAGTTAGATATCACTGGTGAATACGATCGGACAAGTAAGGAGCGCATTGAAGAATTAAAACCGCACAAGAATTTATATTTATGAATCATCGCGGGTATACGATTCATACTTGTCCGAGAAAGCACCCGCCGAGACTGCACCCAGAAACATCCCGGCCATCATTGCACTGGACGAAAATGCCAACTTCCAATCATCATCACATACTAAGTTAAACTGAAATACAAATTAATTTCAATGTTAACAGTAACATGTAAATAAAGCATGAACACTAGTTGTAGCTGTAGAATATTTTCCGCATCTAATTCTATAGAATAGATTATAGGATAGATGGTACTCACCTTGATATTATCCAATTTATATTATATTATGATATTATAATGTAGGCTAAATGGGGTGAGATCATATGAATAACCTTTTTGCATATTCATGTGTTGGAAATGTGTAGTTGCCTGTTTTACGAATGTTTGTTAATGCTGAGCCAGACCCTTCCAATTCTTTAAAATAACTATTTACCACATATATACAAAACAAAACATTAATAAGGTCTGTGTTATTCCACGTTTTTATTACTTGCGTATTAGTTTACTACTACTAACCCTAAATTTCAAAAGGCCTTAGTTAATCTTTGATGCCCTGTTTAAGAACCCCTATTCTTGCTAGATGTACTCACTATTATGAAAAATTGACAATCATTGGCAATATTAATAAATGCAAGCTGAAACACCTACTTGTGATACTGTTGTGACTGTAAAGACCGATGAGTCATATTCCCAAGATTTGCACTTCACCACTCTCTCTGATACATTCATGGCGGTTGCCCATTCGGTTTTTAATGTCACGTTCCATTTGATGAGTTCTTCGTTTGAGAACGCGCTGTAGTTCCGATCATACTGCATGCACTTACTGTATCCCGCACTTCCATCGAACTTCACCTCCGTAGGTATTGATATACGCTTGATTTGGTCCCTAGAAAGGTTACCTCTGCTTGTTAGGTCGTGGTTAACGCACCAGTGGTCCGGGACACCAGATTGAAATACAATACCGGCCGACCACGTCCAGGATGACGGGATGCCGTACAGAGATAGCCCAATTATGAATATTATTTGCCATCTTCCCAAGAGCCCTACTTTTTCAAACGCCTCGTTTAATGTCAGATACATTACAGATGTGTATCTTTCTATTGTATGTTAAAAATGGAATGCATGATCTCGATCTGCTATTTTATACGAGAGTAAGGTGGTAGACAATGGGTTCCTCTCGTATCAAAATGGATGAACAGTGAACAGTTGCAATGCATTAAGTTAAGTTCGAGGTTTACTTGTTCATTAAATCACCTACTTTTTGAATAGATTTTTGCCCCAAATGTATGTAACGGAACGAAATTTAAGATTCAGAAACGTTTTTTTCACTTTTTTGTGCGAAAAGATTAAGTAAAAGTAAATAAAACCTGAGACTAACATAAAATGTTATGTTATGTTAGTCTCAGATAAGACTTAATTCAAACTACATAATTGTGTTTAGAGTTTTATCTCCATCCTCTATACTTCGGGAATATTTGATAGTGGATACAATAACTGCGATCACGATCTGTTTTATACACAATGGAATCTTCGTAGCTTTAATTTAGGATTCGCTTAAACAAAGAAAATGACATAGGTTTTGACCAAGAGAATGACCTAGGTTTTGACCTTGACCTATGATCTCAAAAGATCTCTCTCTCTCCTGAGCGACCCTTGGAGGCAAATCATTTACCAGGTTAATTGTATCACTGGTTACTGCATTGAGTTCTTATTTCATAGTTCCTCTATTTATCTGCAACACGACCACTGACCATTATCTTAATAGGCTTATTGGGATATATGATAAAAAATTGAACTTCAATACAGTATCCTCGAATAATGATAGCGTTATTCAAAGATCAAATAATATGTTTTTACTGAACTTAAAATAGAGTATACTTATGCTGAATGTTCTGGATCAAGAAAGATCCATATTGTAATTATGCTTAAGTATGAGTATGCATTTATTTTATCAACTAATACCTAAATTAGTTTGTGTCATTTGTTAAGACAAACCTAACACAAAGTACGCATAAAAACAATCGTAGTTAAAGTAATCAGTTTATTTTAATGTCAGTGTGATATGGTTTACTTACCGTAGGTTGAGAAGTTAACTTAGGTAGAACATTGGAGAGACAGAATAAGCCCTGGCAGAAAAAGAGCCTCGTGTGCATCATCCACTGGGTACTGAAGAACAATTTCTTAAACCTACACATTTATGGCATTATTTTTGCTTCTTTATTCATTAAATTCAAATATATTCAATATATGAAACATTTATATTCGCTAAATCATTTTTCCATTCGGTAAAAACGTTTATATGTTTGTTACAGTAAATTAAGTTTTCAAAATAGCCGATCACTTAATACTATGTGCATTAAATTACATATTTCATTCGTTAAATTATATTTTTTGCGTAAATTGTTATGGTATTCCTTAAAAGTAACACATTATATGCACAATATTGAATTTCTATTTGAACCCTACCGAAATAAGTTTCATTGGATATATTTACCAAATGGTTTATTTTTCTATGACACAGTTAATGCATTTTACCGAAAGCTAATTTGCTATTTACCGAATGCAATAAAGTAATATTCGATAACTTGCGTTGTTGTTCGATATTTTGTCACGTGACTTCGAGATTTGCAAAATGGCCGCGCAGCTATTCTACATCGTACAAATATATCACGTGACTGAAAGTCTCGTAAATTATCGAAAAATAACGAAATTTATCGAATGTGGCATTCAGTATTTACCGAATATAAATAATTTAAATACCGAATGTACAAATAATTAATTGAATTAAACATGCGTTAAGGAAAACAAATTGATTCGCTGCATCACACAAATACATGTATAAATATCAAATGTGAATGTCAATACAAAGAACAAGTGAAACTATTTAGCGAATATAAATTGTATAGATTATTGCATTTGATAAAATAAAAAAACATTCGATAGATTGGGTAAAGGTTTGGTAAATTGTTTGTTTTATTTGGTATTTATGGAATATTAATGTACCGAATAAAGAAGCAGTTTAAACACCATACACATTGCTCTAAAATGCAATATTTCGACACACATTATTTTTATATTTTCATACAGCCAACAAGATTACTAAAGCTTTAGTGTATAGTTTGACATGATTAAAAATTGTTTTTCTGCGTAACATCAAAGCACAATATAATCATTTAGTTAAGACACAAAAATAAATTCCCGGGTGAGATTCGGACCACTGCCGTCTGCGCACACGACGAGATCCATATAAGGCTTGTATGACCATATGGGATGGCTAAGGGGAATCCCCGAATACGATAGACTATGATAGTACAGGGTGACCGGAAAAAAAGGAGACCATTGAAGTAATCAATTTCTCCTAAACTAGACAAGTGCCATCAATGAAATTTTGCATACACTGGAACAGTTATATGGAAATTTGTTACTGAAGGTTTCAATACAAGCATTCAACTGGTTCAGGAGCTATGATCATTTACATAACATGCTCCAAATAGGCACAATTGAGACCAACGCAGAGTTGGATTCATATGGCAAACTACCCTTACATGTTCTGCCCTCTATGGCATTATTATGGCATTACATATAGCAGTGATTGCCTTCTTTAGGTCAACAATAGTCTGAGGATTGTTTTGGTATAGATTGTCTTTCAAATATCCATACAAAAAGAAATCAGCAGGATTCAAGTCTAGGCTGTAATGGCAATGAAGGGTTATCTGACATGTGGTTCATCATCCTGTTGCCAAAGTGCTGATTTACCCAATCTTAAGAGTCACTTTAGGTATTGGGCATAGTGCCATGTTACTAAAACCACTATATGGCACAATTAAATCCCATATGGAAACCAAGGGCTGCCCAAAACCTCCTTAGGATGATACTGTAACTGAGTGGGACCACTGAGTCAGAAGCCATAGGTCAGATAAGCTTCGTCTCCATACAACTCAAATTTGAATCCACCTGATTTCTTTTTGTGGGGCAATTTGAAAGACAATGTGTACCAAAACAATCCTGAGACAATTGCTGACCTAAAGGTGGCAATAAATGCTAAATGTAATGCCATAACAAGGTCGGAATATGTAAGGGTATTTGCCAAATGTATCCAGCTCTGCGTTGGTCTCAATTGCGCCTATTTGGAGCATGTTATGTAAATGATCATAGCTCCTGAACCAGTTGACTGCTTGTATTGACACTTTCAGGAACAAATTTCCATAGAACTGTCCTGATGTATGCAAAATTTCATTGATGTCACTAGTCTATTTTAGGAGATATTGCCTATTTCAATGGTCTCCTTTTTTTCCGGTCACCCTGTATTATGGGAGCTACTCACTTCTTCTGTGGACGTTCTAATTCAGAAGTGACGTCACGTTCTAAGTTTAGAAACCTTCCAAAAATAATATTGTCGGCGACAATCGAAGCAATACAAAGAACAATCCTCATAATTACACATTTATCGTGAGTATTTGTAAACAAGATTTGCCCCATTTGTTCACCATATACTTTCATCAAAGCTCAAAATCTTACAATTGGCCATTGAACAACCCAAGATTGTGTTCTACAGTGATGTGCAGGTTTAATCAAAATGTCATTTGATCACTTTATAGGTCACTTGAATCTCATTTCAAGATCCATACTGGAAAGAGGAGTTGCAAATGTGATATTTGTTTAAAGAAATTTTAGCACAACAAACCTTGTGTCAGATTATTTGGTTAGCCTTTGCTTTTGAAATAATTAGTACTTATTATTGTACATTTTATATTCATTACTAAAACAAGGTTTAGTTAACATTTACATTTTATTTAATTTACATGCCGATGCGAGTATTCAGTCTTTACTGCAAATATATAGATATGATGTAGTATGTCTGAAAAGGGAAACAATTTGACAATATTATGTGACCTCAGAGGCGATGTCATCAAGAATTGTCTCACTTCCTGGCGTCCAAATGAGTATCAATCTGTTGAGTACACTCGTCTAAGTAGTTACAGGTAATACAAGGTGACCGAAAATGTGAGTATCTAATATTAAACACAAATGCAATGGCGCAAGCTTCATTATGCAGTAGATATGAACTTTTCCATTTCCGGTTTGTCTTTGTTTATGTCATAGTCACACAAATCAGCGTTTGGTTTGAACTTCAGTTCCCGTCCCATTTTTTTCTTTCTGAAAATGATAGAAACAAATGTGTTAAATTTCTAAGGGACGATGTAGATAAAAAGGCCAAGATCGAATAAGATTTTTGAATTTTAGGTGGACACTTTTATTCTATCAACAATCAATTTTCATGGGCAACTTGCTCCAGCAAAAAAATAACATGGTCCATTTCTCAAAAAGCTATTTTATAACCTTTAAGTGAAACATAGTTTGTAATAGAGATAGTGCTGCCTATAGTGCAACATCACTTACTTCCCAAAGTGTTCACTCTCTTCAATACTTTCTGGGAGAGCTGTGTCCAAAGTATCAGGAAGAAGGAGCACTAGGAGTGCTGCCAAAATTGCCATAACCCCAAACACAAGTGTTGACAATCCTGCCCAATATTTATCCTGAAAAACAAGGTGACGCGTGTTTCATCGTAGATAGAACATCCTTTTTTGAATAATGTTAGTAAATGCACAAAGTAAAACATTTATTACCAGAAGTGACAACTGTGGGGCTAATACTGCGCCTATCCTTCCGAGTGTTGATGCAGACCCTATTGCTACGTTTCTACAGACAGTTGGGTACAACTCCGCAGTGAACATATAAACCATACCAAATGAAGCGGATATAAAAACTCTACCTATAAGTGCTAATGCAGTTCGAACAGCACTTAAATCTGAAAAGCATAACAAACGTCCTTTTCATGTATTATTTTTTATGGATCTCAACTGAGTTTCCGGCAAGTAGAAAACACGTGCAGTCATTAATTTTGACAATATTATTGATGATGGAATAATGTACTGAACAATGTTGATTGGATCAAGAGATATCAATGTATCATCATTTACTCACCAGATCTGTAAATGACAGGTAAACATCCCAATAAACACAACCCGGCGAGTAACTCAGCAACTGCCAGAGGGCGTTTTCTACCAAACCTTGAGACAATAAATACAAATCAATGTAATGAAATATATACGATTGGAAGACAATAAATTAACAATTAAGGTGTTAATATTTAAAATGTCACCACCTGTCATTTGTTACAGACACCAACCGCCGAACGCCAACGCTTACAATCAAGATTTTAGAATTAAGTGTGATGTATGGTACACAAATATTTAGATAAATGAAAAATGTTTTACTCGTACGTTGTATTGTACCACGTCAATAAATGGGTTTGTATTAATGGCAAGTTGGAAGTTTTATTTGTATATATATCTCATAGACATACTTGATTACGCTGCCAACTTTCAATAGATTTAAACAATTCTTTCGATCTTACGCCTTTAGAACTGCTATTCTTTTTACATTTTAACTTTAATCGAGTATGCATCTATATATATGTATATGTGCATACTGCGGATAGTCCGTACCTATCAAGAGTTAGCAGCATGATGAATTTTCCTGGTATCTCTCCAAGACCAGACAGGAAAAAGTTGAGATAAATGTTTCCAGGTAGGCTACCCATATTTAACGTGAGCCCATAATAGACAGTCACGTTTATAAACCTATGAATAAAAAAGCATTAATGGATATCCTACTCGAGCAAAGAGTTTAATGTCCTGAAAACTTCTGAGTAAACAAGAATTTCGTTGAAATCCTTAGGAAATGGCCGGCAGGGAAGGAAACGGGGTGTAGTACATTTATTGACAAAGTTAACACAATGCCAAATCAGTAAAGGAGAAGAAAACTCACCACTGGTAATAGACATTGAACGTTCTATTCCGAAGACCAGGGGTTCGAAACAAATCAATAACATTGGCACTTGGCTAAAATGCACATAAGGTATATTGAGCTGAATGTGTATAAAATTATATTCGTAACATTACAGATTTTTTTTTATTATTAAGAATATTTATTGCTTCATAAAAATATCATAATATAAATCCCTTCAGTCGCCCGAAGGCATTATAGAAGGGTACATTAATAGCACAAAATACAAAATTATGATTAGGTCAAGGGGTTCACTCTGCACTTGTGGTTGACCATGGGGTGGAAATATTAAGTGTGGATAATATAAAATAAAGTATAGTATATATAGTATGTAGGGAGGGGAAAACATTATAGGTTCATTTCAATGAATTCAGCGATACATTACAGATAATACAGTGATTTGGGTAAAAAAGATATAAACACTTTCCTTACCGTTACATCATTCATTTGTATTTCTACATTGTCTGGCAATTCCTTTTTATTAATCCTACCAATACTTTTAAGAATTTTCAAGGCTTCTTTTTGGCGCCCTTGAGTAAGAAGCCATCTTGGGGACTCTGGCAGATACCTGAGGATAAGAGGTAGAACTGGATAAAATCATATTGCGTAAAGGCTATCGCATTTGAATTCCATGCAGAAATCAATTTTGATCTGCGATGAAACTATAGATTTTTTCTGAACTATATCAACGACGGAATTAAAAAGAGTTGTTACAAGGAACGTTTACTTACTCAACATATTTAGCATATAAGTTTAATAAATACTCTGTCTCAAGAGAGTTAAACATAATTAAGTGATTGTTTCTAGCCTTTTTAACTCCGTAAACATACCCACAAGTGAATTACGTAGAAAGGGAATGAGTCCGGGGGTTTGTGCAATAATATACTGACCATATACACAATACGAATGGAATGAGAGGTACGGACATTGCCAATTGTTGCCAGTGGTAGTCTTTAAGAAGGAATGCTATTCCAGGTATCATCAGGTAACCTCCTATGTATATGAAACCACTTATTGAAAACCATTTCACTCTGTACTTCTGATGAATCATTTCAGTGTCTAAACAAGAAAATATGGCATAGTAATGTAAAAACAAATATCACTGATTTTCAGTTGTATGAAATAAACACAATACTTTAGTCGTTATAGCACCGAAATACACATTCAAGCCTTTGAAAGGGGGTTTAGTCTTGGCCGGGAAACATAGTACAGTCATATGTTACAGTATATTTCTTTGCTAATACAAGATACGTACTTAGGACAAAAAGAGCCGTGAAAAAGCCAAGACCAGTAAAGCCGAATAAGAACCTAAGAACCACCCAGACGATGTAGTTTGGAGGAAAGGCCAATGCAAACGATACAACCATTTGTAGTAGTAAACATATTATACATGTTTTGTATCTCCCAAATCTGAAAAATGTGTGCACTAAATGTTACATTTATACAGTATTGTCAAATGACAGATTGTCATTTGATGTGTACATTAAATAAAATACAACGAGTATAAAATGGATATAGTTTCCAGTTCGTGATCCTAAAATATGACTCATTTATCACCGGATAGTGAGGCAAGGAAAAGACACATTAAACAATAAAAACTGCACGGTGTCCTACTTGTCTGAGAAAGCACCCGCTGAGATAGCACCCAGAAACATCCCTGCCATAAATGCGCTTGAAGAGAATGCCAACTTCCAATCATCATCACATACTAAGTTGAACTGATATAATAAATAAGCTAATACTTGTTATAACAATACTCGGTAGTTTATGCCGTAGTTCGTTCAGTGCATTATACAATATCATATACACAAAATGTGACTGTAGATTATGGAATCGGTTCAAATCCTTTATGAGGACATTTTAATCATATTTTAATCGCCCATTTTCTATGATTGTTATTACAAATAAACTCATCCGGACATTGTACTCCACAGGAAACGTTTCGAGATTAATCTGATCATTGATAAATCGTGCACGTGACCTTGTTTACATGGATGGATTAGCAAGTCGTAATTTTTAATTTCATAATTTATGAACCATATTAAACAAATATCTAAAATTTTCAAGATACTTTTTTGTGATTGCAAAATGGTGTCCAACTCAGGACAAGCACGATAAGAAAGATCCGGTTTCAAACTTGATTAAAATGAAAATAACAATCCATCAATGGTACTTGTCATGAATGCAAGTTTAAACACCTACTTGTGATACTGTTGTGACTGTAAAGACCGATGTGTCATATTCCCAAGATTTGCACTTCACCACTCTCTCTGATACATTCATGGCGGTTGCCCATTCGGTTCTTAATGTCACGTTCCATTTGATGAGTTCTTCGTCCGAGAACGTGCTGTAGTTCCGATCATATTGCATGCACTTACTGTATCCCGCACTTCCATCGAACTTCACCTCTGTAGGTATTGATATTCGCTTGATTTGGTCCCTAGAAAGGTTACCTCTGTTTGCTAGCTCGTAATTAGCGCACCAGTGGTCCGGGACACCAGCCTGAAATACAATACCGGCTGACCACGTCCAAGATGACGGGATACTGTATAAAGATAGCCCAATAATAAATATTATTTGCCATTTTCCCAAGAGCCCTGCTTTTTCAAAGGCCTCGTTTAATGTCAGATACATGGCAGATTGACAGATGTGTAATTGTGTATCTTTCTATTGTAGGCTATACGTTAGAGAATGTCTACATGCTCTCTAAACCATACGATAATGCACATAGGGTGGTCCGTAAAGGGCCCCTCTCGTATCAAAAATGGAGGAACACCCGTACTGCAGTGAGCCTATCTGAACTCTTACATTTTCGTAAATATGATTTTGAGATTCAGAAAAAATTATTGGTAAAAAGGTAGTATTGATTGAACTTCCATTTTGTGTAAAAATAGAGAATCAAAGTAAATGAGTTCTTATGACGTCGGATTTTGAAGAACGTGTGCCTTGCTTTCGCATCACTAGACTATTGTGTTACATACCGAGCATTAGCTTATATAAAGGCAGAATCAGATCTATAGAGGTGACAAAATTACAAGTAAAATGTACAATTGACGTACCAATCTATTCCTTACAATCTCAAATACAATATCACCCAAAAGATTCATGATATGTTAAAAATTGGTGAAGTTATTATGGATTCAAAGTGCCAAAATAGGTGAAAATGTTTTAATTCTCCCAAATAATAAGAATGGTAACCATTCTAATAGAAAAATGACACATTATCGTAAAAATGTCTAGTTTTCCTGAAATAAAGTGTGCACTTTGAGGATTTTTAGAAAATTGACATGACAAGGAATGACATTAGCCAGAAATATTCTAAAATCGAAACAATTTTTTGTTGGCCTGCTCGTCTGCTATATCCGATTCTCTCTTTAACTTACTTCCCTTTCATATTAAGTATGTGCTTATCTTCTTGGTCTTTCGGTTTGAAGGATAGCAAATGAGTATGTGTGCTATGTCTTTACATATTCACTATCTACAAGTTATTTACTTTCAAAATCAGAGCTGTGCCAGTTTTGTCACAGATTTGGCAGTTTGTCACAGATTTTTAAATGGCGCCCAAAATTTTCTTTATGTCCAGAGTGCTATTGTCTGTCGTCTATATTTCTTTAGGGTTTTATTTGACAGGGAATACTATAACTGCGGTCACGGCCTGTATTATACACAATGTAATTGTTCACATTATAAATAACTAGACTAGTGAAATTGAACTAGTTCAATTCAAGACTCCAGATTGCAGGCAGGCAGGCAAAAATACATTCTGACGGGCTAACACGTTTGGTATATTCCTCCATTTTATGTACGCAAAGAAAACTATTGAAGTGTAGTGTCAGGTTTTCAAAAATAAGAAAAACATAAATTTGACCTTGATTTTGACCTTAGCAATTGGGTGTCCAAGTTTCGAACTAAGTTGTGTTGTGGGATATCGGTAATTTTGTTTGAACTCAATCTGTATGTGGTATTTTTCAATTTATCTTTTTTCTTCCATTCTATTCACTTAACATGAGGATATTATCATATCGTTTTTTTTCGGGATTTCAAAACGTCATAAAATCTAAAACTTGGAATCGTGAGAATATTTTCCATCATATTGATACCTCAAACCTTCTTGTTGACATACTTTTTCAAGATATCAGAAAAATAATTCTTCTTGCGTTTTTATGTGACATCATAAATTCTGACCTTATTTTCTATCATCCCAGACACATTTGTAAACTAATCACGTAAGCTGTTAAAGTAAACTCTGGTAGGCAAGAAAACGAAGGGTAAGAAGAAAGGAAGAATGGGAATAAAGAAAACAGGCAATGGCAATAGACTCCAATCTGGAGTTTAATTATATGAACATGAAGATAGGCCACTTAAATCTTATTAAAACTGATAACAACTACATGGACCATACTTTTATCTATAGTCAATAAGTGGACCTAATCAGAGAACAATTGAATACGGAATCGTGTTCTTCGATTTGCACTCTACAGTCAGCTTCACTTTGAGTTGAACTATGTGCTTTCTTTGTTGCTACAGTGGGTACTCCGATGTCTTCATATGTTGTTTCTCCAGCAGTTATATCAGTTATACCAATATCTGCTTTGGTTGTTGCCACAGTAGGTACACTGATGTTTTATACGTTGGTTCACCATCAGTTATACCAATGTATGCTCTCGTTGTTGCCGCAGTAGGTACACTGATGTTTTATACGTTGGTTCACCAGTAGTTATACCAATGTAAGCTCTCGTTGTTGGTGCAGTAGGTACGCTGATGTCTTCAGATGTAGTTTCATCAACAGTTATATCAATGTATGCTCTCGTTGTTGGTGCAGTAGGTACGCTGATGTCTTCATATGTTGTTTCACCAGCCGTTATATCAGTATACCAATGTCTACTATCGTTGAACTTGCTGCATTAGGAACTCTGATGTCTTCATATATTGTTTCACCAGCAGTTGTATCAGTTATACCAATGTATACTTTCGTATATGTAGTTGCTGCATTAGGCACTCTGGTGTCTTCACATGTTGTTTCATCAACAGTTATATCAATGTATGCTCTCGTTGTTGGTGCAGTAGGTACGCTGATGTCTTCATAAGTTGTTTCTCCAGCAGTTATATCAGTTATACCAATGTCTACTTTCGTTGTTGCTGCATTAGGCACTCTGATGTCTTCACATGTTGTTTCATCAGCAGTTATATCAGTTATACCAATGTCTACTTTCGTTGTCGCTGCATTAGGTACTCTGATGTCTTCACATGTTGTTTCATCGGCAGTTATATCAGTTATACCAATGTCTACTTTCGTTGTTGCTGCATTAGGTACTCTGATGTCTTCACATGTTGTTTCATCAGCAGTTATATCAGTTATACCAATGTCTACTTTCGTTGTTGCTGCATTAGGTACTCTGATGTCTTCATATGTTGTTTCATCAGCAGCTATATCAATGCCTGCTTTTGCTGTTGCTGCAGAAGATTCACTGATGTCTTTATCTGTTCCATTTCATCATTTGCCCATTTTAAAGCTGTATCATCTGAATCATTTACATTTGGAAAGGTTATTGTTTATTTACAGATGCTATTTCTAATTTTGTGATTGTGATTGTGATCAACACATTTTTCTCCATTTAGCTTTTACTTTTAAAACATTTGGTACTTGTTATTGTACATTTTATATTCAGCAGTTTACTAAATACATTTACATTTTGATTCAACGTACATACCAATTCAAGTATTTAGTCTTTATTGCTCGTGATTTATACAAATTGTTAATGCGTGAAAATGTATGGATATGATGTACTAAGTCCGTAAGAAAAGAGAAATATGTCACAATTTTGGTTATTTTCTGACAACATTGTGTGCCTCGATTGGCGATGTCATGTTCTGGAGTTGAAATTGGTATCAGCCTGGTATCACTCTTTAGACTACACTCTTCTAAGTAATTATATGCAATACAGAGTGTCCGAAAATGTGAGTATCCAATATTAAAGACCAATGCAATGGCGCAAGCTTCATCATGCTGTAGATATGAACTTTTCCATTTCCGGTTTATCTTTGTCTGTGTCATAGTCACATGAATCTGTGTTTGATTTAAAATCCTGCAGTTCATGCTCCACTTGTTTCTTTCTGAAAAGGATTGGAACAAATATGATAAGATCGAATAGAATTTTTGAGTTAAATGTGTAATTTTTTCAATAATCTTATTTTCAAGGGCAACTTGTCAAAAAACCTTTCAGTCAAATATGTAAACACAAGTAGGAACAGGAAAATACCAAAAATGGGTACAGAACATGGTAAGAAAAAGAAAACATCTAAGAACACACCAGTCATAAGAAAAATAGATCCCATTTATCCCGAATCATAATCCAACGCGAAAAGAAACAGTGTCTAATACACCATTGAAGTACTACATCCCAACATTTAAGTACCAATATCAGAATCCGAGACCATAACACCAAGGGACATTTTATTTATACTGAGTTATTCAAATACATGTTAACGAAAAAATATAAAGTTGATAGCCAATATTCAAAACATCATGAATAGTTGTTGATACTAGATAAAGTACTCATACGACAGGATAGAGCAAAAAATAGATAATACAAAACAAGCGCATAGTTTTAAAAGATATACTTCCCATATTATAACACCACTTACTTCCCAAAGTGTTCACTCTCTTTAATACTTTCTGGGAGAGCTGTGTCCAAAGTATCAGGAAGAAGGAGCACTAGGAGAGCTGCCAAAATTGCCATGACCCCAAACACAAGTGTTGACACTCCTGCCCAATATTTATCCTGGAAAAAAGGTGGCGCATGTCTGATCGTAGAACACGTTTTATGGCAAGACTCTCAAGAACCTAAACACAATTCTTTCTTGGATATCTAACCATGTGTATTACAAATACTTCTGTGTAGATATTATACAATGTTTTAGATTGTCATATTGATATCATAATGGGCAGAAGAATTATATATAGCCTAATGGGACATTGTTTTTGTTAACATTGAATCATAGACTGAGATATTGGGGGTTAGTTTTTCATATGACAGGTTGTTCTCTAAGGTGTACATTGTTTCTTGATGATAATCTAGTGCCATTTTGCTTTTTCTCTGTGTCCATTGTGTCCGGTTGATATTCAGAGCTTGAACTCTACATTCTATATACCATGCAAGGTATTATAAAACTCCTTCCTGACAAACATGGTACTTCAAATAAGTGCTCAATACATATAGAGAAGCATTTATTACCAAAAGTGACAACTGTGGGGCTAATACTGCGCCTATCCTTCCGAGTGTTGATGCAGACCCTATTGCTACGTTTCTACAGACAGTTGGGTATAACTCCGCAGTGAACATATAAACCATACCAAATGAAGCGGATATTAAAACTCTACCTATAAGTGCTAACGCAGTTCGAACAGCACGTAAATCTGAAAAGCATAACAATCCTTTTCATGTATTTTTTAGTATGGATCTCAACTGAGTTTCTGGCAAGTTGAAAACATATGCAGGGGTAAGTTATTATTTTACCATATAATTGGTGATGGTATAACTGTATAACGTTGATTGGATCAAAATATATCAATGCATCATCATTTACTCACCAGATCTGTAAATGACAGGTAAACATCCCAATAAACACAACCCAGCGAGTAACTCTACAACTGCCAGAGGGCGTTTCCTACCAAACCTTAAGGAGACAATATGACAAATCAATGTTATGATACACTAGCGGATCAAGAAGTTAACAAGGGGGAGGAGGCAAATTTCGAAAATCATGAAAACCCCTCCGCGGACAATTTTTTGGGGTCTCTGAATCTAAAAATGAGTAAAACAACAAATGATGTTTATAAAGAGCCAAATGTAAACGAGAAATAATTCTGCTTACTATCAATATTTGAGAATTTTGTGTGATTCAAGTTGCAAAAAATATTGAAATGAATAATAAACTACTCAAATGAAAAAAGTTACGTTTAACTCATACATGAAGATTGCATTGCACAAGGCCGATGAGTTTGCATGGATAGAAGACGGGGACCTCCCCATCCAGTGTCCAGAGATGACATATGTCTATAATCTTATGTCTATAAGATGACATCATCGCTGATTGGTCAAATCAACAGACGTCATTCAATGGCGGTTTGAAAATTTTCTAGTTATGCTTCGAGTAATACCATGTTGATATCTCGTGTGTTAACTAACATCATAGCTTGTTCTTTCACATCAAAATAAAAAAAGTAAGTAAGGAATTTACTAACATCGATTAAAACATCGACGTGCCGTATTCAGAAGACTAGCCGGTGAACATTAGAACAAACGAATGTTGAGCAAGAGACGTAATTATGTATGTCATCTCCAAAGCACTGGGGTTTTCCCTCCTCTTTGTTGCCTTTCATGGAGAGCAAGATGGCAGTTTCTGATTGTATCTATTCATATCTTAGTAACTGGCTTGGTTACACTGCCATCTTTCAATAGATTAAACAATAATGCCAAGGAGGATTGGCTCCCAGGGTTCCATCGCGATATTCTTCCATTACATGGATTCAAGTCGTGATTACAAAATAAACTCGAATATTGAGTTGGAGGTCTGAGACCAATCCTCCTTGACGTATGCTATTTTCTTCCATTATATTTCAATCCATTCTTCATCTACATTTACATACTGCGTATACATGTACTCCATACCTATCAAGGGTTAGCAGCACGAGAAATGTTCCTGGTATCTCTCCAAGACCAGACAGGAAAAAGTTGAGATAAACGTCCCCAGGTAAGCTACCCATATTTAACGTGAGCCCATAGTACACAGTCACGTTTATGAACCTATTATGTGAGAGCAAAAAAATACACGTTAACGCAATTAAGTAAAAAACAACATGTACATTTTCTGCCCTCGAAAAATCTGTGAGGATATCCAACTCGAGCACAGAGATTCAAAATCCCGAAAACACAAGCTTCTGGCTAAATAAGAATTTCTTATAAGAATAAGAGTAAGAAAACAAATTGGGTATTACATCTCCCAACAAAGTTCTTCACTACAGCCAAATCATTATAAATCAGTAAAGAAGAAAACTCACCATTGGTAATATACATTGAACGTTCTTTTCCGAAGACCAGGGGTTCGGAACAAATCAATAACATTGGCATTTGGCTAAAATGGACATACAAACATTAAGAATGTTGAACTGGAGGCGTAATATATTTTTGATTGGATATTTTTCTTATCCATTAAAGAAAATTCGTATACCAAATCTGTACATTAAACGAAAATACCGGAGGCCGAAAAAGACACGTAATCATTTTTCTTACCGTTACGTCATTCATTTGTATTTCTACGTTGTCTGGTAATTCCTTTTTATTAATCTTTCCAATACTTTTAAGAATTCTCAAGGCTTCTTTATGGCGCCCTTGAGCAAGAAGCCATCTTGGAGACTCTGGCAGATACCTGAGGATAAGAGTTAGAACTGGATTAAATCACGGCAAACAGTTTAGCATTATACGTATATAAAATAAGTAAAAATTACTTTCTCTCAGGATAGTTAATAATAGGGTACGTATAAAGTCACGATTTCAAAAAACAATGAAGCCCTTTTAACCCCTTAAATACCCTCAATCCACTGGTGAAGTATGTACAAACGGAGTAAGTCCAGAGATTTTATGCAAGATTATATACTGACCATATATACAATATGAATGGTATGAGAGGTACGGACATCGCCAATTGTTGCCAGTGGTAGTCTTTAAGAAGGAATGCTATTCCAGGTATTAACAGGTAACCTGCTATGTATATGAAACCACTTATTGAAAACCATTTCACTCTGTACTTCTGATGAATCATTTCAGTGTCTAAACAAAAAAATATGGCATAGTGTAATCAAATAACAATTATCACTAATTCTTGGTTATATATTAAAGAACGGAAAAAAATAACAAATAAACAAAAGCCGTTATATTGTATAGAAGCATTTGTGAGAGGAAGCTTTATCTAGTCTTGGCCTAGCCATATATATAGTCATACATAAATCTCCATATTTCTCTGTAAAAACTCTTCAATTCTATCAAAAATACGCACTTAGGACAAAAAGAGCTGTAAAGAATCCAAGGCCAGTAAACCCGAGGAGGAACCTAAAAACCACCCAGGCGATGTAGTTTGGAGGAAAGGCTAATGCGAACGATACCACCATTTTTAGAAGTAGACATGTTATACACGTTTTATACCTTCCAAATCTGAAAATTAAATGCATTCACTAAGGCTGCGTTTTTGAACTGCCCGCGGCGCTAGCAGACTAAGTAAGGTTGCGTAATACTGAATTAGGTCTCCACTCGAGTATTTCTTTTACTCGTGTGAATTTCCCGCGGAGCTTGGATGAGTTTTTTTGTTGAAAACATGCGACCATGCAATTTGCGCTACGGGGCGTTTTGTTATTTTTCTTGGGGAAAACAATGTACTAGCGCCGCGGGCAATTCAAAAACGCAGCCTAAATGTTACATGGTATACAGTCGGTAGATTAATATATAGATACAAGAAAAGCGAGTATATAGAATGGATAAACAGGGTATTCAGTGCCTGATCCTGAAATATGACTCATTGATCACCGGATACGGCGGATAGTGGGACGAAGGAACGAAGAAAGACAACTGCATGGTGTAATTTATACTTGTCTGAGACAGCACCCGCAGAGATAGCACCCAGAAACATCCCTGCCATAAATGCGCTGGACGAGAATGCCAACTTCCAATCATCATCACATACTAGATTGAACTAAAATAACAAATACAAATAAAGATAATATAACAACACTCGTTTATTCCGTAGTTCGTCCAGTGCATTATGCAGCATCATGTTCCTTAAAATGTGACGGCTGCTTTATTCTAATTTTTCTCCCATCTTCTGTGATTGTGATTTGTAAATGAATTCAATTTAATGAACCAATCCTATCTGCTCACAGGAAACTATTCGAGATTAATCTGGCCAATAGATATTCGTTACGCATTATTTTATCTATTTATGGACCAACTTTAACACATATAGACTTATTTCACGATATCTTTTTTTGCTATTGCAAAGTGGTGTCAAACTCATGACAAGCACTATGAGAAATGTCCAACATTACACTAGATAAAGATAATATAACAATCCATGAATGGTACTTGTATGAATGCAAGTTGAAACATCTACCTGTGATACAGTTGTGACTGTAAAGACCGATGTGTCATATTCCCAAGATTTGCACTTCACCACCCTCTCTGATACATTCATGGCGGTTGCCCATTCGGCTCTTAATGTCACGTTCCATTTGATGAGTTCTTCGTCCGAGAACGCGCTGTAGTTCCGATCATATTGCATGCACTTACTGTATCCCGCACTTCCATCGAACTTCACCTCTGTAGGTATTGATATACGCTTGATTTGGTCCCTAGAAAGGTTACCTCTGTGAGCTAGCTCGTAGTTAGCGCACCAGTGGTCCGGGACACCAGCCTGAAATACAATACCAGCTGACCACGTCCAAGATGACGGGATACTGTATAAAGATAGCCCAATAATAAATATTATTTGCCATTTTCCCAAGAGCCCTACTTTTTGAAACGCCTCGTTTAATGTCAAAAGCATAGCAGATGTGTATCTTTCTATTGTACATTAAACAATATGTACATCAAAAAAAGTTTCACAAGATAGTGCTCAAGGGGCGGTAGGTCGCAAAAGGCTACCTTCGCAACAAAATGGATGAACACCGCACCTATGGTGAGCTTATCTCAGGTTTTTACTTTTCGTAAATTAGCTACTATTGAAAGAGATTTTGTGCCTCAAATGTACGTACAGTTAACAGAAAAATTTTCATTGTTAAAAGGTTATATTAATCAACACTTTTTTACATACTTCAATTTTTACCTTGTGACATCAGGCTCGAAAGAACATGTTCCTTGGTTTTGTAACACTTCACAGCATTGTGCTAAATAACAGGAAAATAGCTTACTCATTGTCATTCTTATTCAGTCGGTCTTCATTGCCATGAATCGGTTAGAATGATATCAAAGGAGTATGTATGACTTTTCATATTCGTTTTCCAGAGGATATTTACTTTCAAAATCAAAACTGCGCAAGTTTGTTCCAGGTTTGGCACATTTTTAAACTGCACGCCCCATGAAGTTTTGTGTATAGGTATTGCTATATTTGGTCCTTTTGTTGACCTCGGTTTTGGTCTAGTTTGGTTCGTGTAACAAAAGCTAAGAATGCTATTTTCTACCGTCTTAATTTCGATAGGGGATAATTTGATAACGGATACGATAACTGCAGTAGCGGTCTGGTTTATACACAATCGATTTGTCTTACAGCGAAAAGGTCATATAAATATCTACATGTTACACTTTAAAGAATATGAACATGAAGATAGGCCACTTTAATCCTATTCAAACTGACAATTACTGCATGGACCAAAGTTTTATCTTAAAAGTGGACCTAATCAATCAATAATTTGATACGATATTGTGTTCTGTGATTTGCACTCTCCATTCAACTTCACTTCTAGGTGAAGTACGTGGTTTCTTCGAATGTTGTTTCACTAGTTACGTTAATGTCTTCATATGTGTAGTATTAATTAATGTCTATTTTCGTTGTTACTGCAGTAGATGCGCTGGTGTCTTTATGTGTTCATTTCAACTGAATCTCTAGCTGTATTATCCAAATCATTTACATTGGGAATGGTTTTTGTCCATTTACATATAATACTTCTAATTTTGTCAATATTTTGGTCAACATTTACGATCAATACGATTAGCTGTACATGTATTTACACACCAAATAGTTCATACGGTAACTCAATTTAGGAAGAAATAATAACCATTGTAAAATATTTATTAATACATTATACTTAATTCTAAATAAATACATTCACAAATATCACTATTAATAAGGAAAGCAACTGTGTAATGTTGCAATCAATGAGTCCGCTGGAACAATTGCGACCGTTCTGTAATATTGCATCATTATTTTTGTTGACTATATCTCTTGTTAGGCGAGTTTTAAGTATATTCAGTGGATTAAATATTCTTGGCATGTCAAAGAGTATAGGATCTAACGTTGATGTCGGAAGTTGTTTTCTAGTTGCATATCTTATTTTGGGTGAAGTAGCTTTTGCTGTGGGTGTAACATCTTTTGTGGAAGATGCCGATGATGCTATGGATGGAAACAATGATTGGGATGTTGTTCTTGTTGAGTCTAATGCGCCTGAATGCGTTGTTGATATTGTTTTTGATGTTGATGATGTAAATGCTGCCTTGGTAGATTTTTGATTGTCATCCAGGGTGCCATTTGGGGGATTTGGAACCCTAGTGCTTTCGAATATTCCATCTGTGGTGAGTGCGCCTGTAAGATTAGTTACACGCGTTGTTCCATTTGAAGTTGGAGAATTTGTTAGCCCTGTAACTTCTGATGTTACTCCTGATATAGTAGTAGTAGTAGTTGTCGTAACATTGTTCAAAGTTTGTGATGACAACGTCATATCTGTCGTAATCGTATTTGAGTGTACTGTCTCCCCAACAGTCTGAGTATTTGTCTGTGTAGTTTTGGCCGTAACATTTGTATTAAGTGAAGTTGTTGTCTCCTCATTTTGACCACCTGCATTCGTAGTACCTGACACTATAATACTTGAAATGGAAGTAGAAACAAATTGAGATATAGCTGATATTGTCGATGTTAGAATTGGTAATATAGCTGTAGTTTGTTGTGATATCACAGTATCCGTAGCAACAGATGTGGTAGCTATAGTAACGTTAGTGGAGTTCTGTAACAAGGTTGACAAAATAATTGAACCAGTTGTCTGTGCGGTATGAAATTCGCTTGCCATAGTTGTGGATATAAAGTTTGTAGAACTATTTTCCACACCAAGAGTGATATCAGGTAAGGATGACGCATTTGATTTTGAATCAGTAGAAGAATGAGAATTATTTTTTAACAGATCGGTTGTGACATCTAATGGTGGTACAGTGGTGATATTAGTGGTAGTATCAAACGTTGTTGTTTTTCTTTCATTGGTCGAAGTATTATTGTCGTTTGCCATTGTTGAAATAGGTGATCGTGTTTTAGATGTGTCATTAACTCCTTCATTCCTCGTTGTGTCTTCATATGTGGTAATGGCGTTATCTAAAACATAAGCAGAACCACTTGATATGGTTGTATTAACATTATTCCATTCAAGGTAAATATAATATTTAATTCAAGGTTTATAATTTCATCAAACAACAGACATATTTTTCTGGTTGCGAGTTAATAGCGGAGAGTGACGTGACCAGGTATAGTTAAATTGTTTAAATACACATTTACTTGTTGTTGAGAGACTCTGTTGGTATAAGTATTCATAAGTTCTATAGAAATACATGAACGTATTCGACAGAGTTTGAGAGTAGAATTCATAGGAAAAGGGTCTCATTTTGTAGAAGTTAGAAGTAGATAAAAGAAGATAGTCAAAGTTGAGAAAAAGATAATTGATTCGCACCCAATAATCTGCCTCTTGGAACAACGTAATTCTTCTCCAAATATATTCTTCCAGTCTCGAATGAAGACAGCCCATTGTTTGCTGCTTCACGATCACGAATCGTCGCTAATAGATCATTGTTTGTGCTTGGTACATCATAATTGATCATTAATTCAAGCTCATACATTTTGGAAAGAATATATCTTAAAACAGTGTTCTTGGGAGATCTGGTTTCAGGTACATTTTTATCTGGAAATGACTTGCTTGTTTTGCGTCTTCTTCTTCGTTGTACTTTTAGGGGCACAATAAATTCTTCACTTGCAGTCGCTCTCTTGACATGGCGCTTTCGTTTACTTGAGTGTTTTTCAGTTACAGTTAAGTTATTAGTTATTGAGGTAACAATAGGAGCAGAAGTAGTGGGGTAAAGTAGAGAAAGAGGTTCAGAAGTCGATCTTGCATGTATGCTCCTTCCTAGAAAATATACGTAAATACAATAAGGGTGTATTGTCAACCTATGCTATAAAGACAGAGAAGGGCAAGATTCATAAATATTTTTTAGAAACGATAGATTGAGATGAGTAAAGTGATAAGTATATCAGCTTAAAAGTAAAAACAGACAGGGGCAATAGTAAATGCAATATAAAATAGAACGTACATTGAAATGAAGTCCTTTCAACATATCTAATCTATCGAAATGCATACCTGTAGTTATATCAATATCTTTATCTGTTGTGTCACCGACCGTTATTCCGACGTCTGCTTTCGTTGTTGCTACAGTAGTTACGCTGATGCCTTCATCTGTTGTTTGACCAGAAGTTATACCAATGTCTGCTTTCGTTGTTGTTGTTGTTGTTGTAGTAGTTACGCTGACATCTTCGTCTGTAGTTTCACCGATAGTTATACCAATGTCTGCTTTCGTTGTTGCTGCAGTAGTTAGGCCGATGTCTTCATCTGTAGTTTCACCGATAGTAATACCAATGTCTGGTTTCGTTGTTGCTGTAGAAGCTACGCTGACATCTTCGTCTGTAGTTTCACCGATAGTTATACCAATGTCTGCTTTCGTTGTTGCTGTAGAAGCTACGCTGACACCTTCGTCTGTAGTTTCACCGATAGTTATACCAATGTCTGCTTTCGTTGTTGCTGTAGAAGCTACGCTGACATCTTCGTCTGTAGTTTCACCGATAGTTATACCAATGTCTGCTTTCGTTGTTGCTGTAGAAGCTACGCTGACATCTTCGTCTGTAGTTTCACCGATAGTTATACCAATGTCTGCTTTCGTTGTTGCTGCAGTAGTTAGGCCGATGTCTTCATCTGTAATTTCACCGATAGTTATACCAATGTCTGCTTTCGTTGTTGCTGTAGAAGCTACGCTGACATCTTCGTCTGTAGTTTCACCGATAGTTATACCAATGTCTGCTTTCGTTGTTGCTGCAGTAGTTAGGCCGATGTCTTCATCTGTAGTTTCACCGATACTGATACCAATGTCTGCTTTCGTTGTTGCTGCAGTAGTAAGGCCAATGTCTTCATCTGTAGTTTCACCGATAGTTATACCAATGTCTGCTTTCGTTGTTGCTTCAGTAGTTAGTCCGATGTTTTCATCTGTTGTATCACCGATAGTTATACCAATGTCTGCTTTTGTTGTTGCTGCAGTAGTTAGGCCGATGTCTTCATCTGTAGTTTCAACGATAGTTATACCAATGTCTGCTTTCGTTGTTGCTGTAGAAGCTACGCTGGCATCTTCGTCTGTAGTTTCTCCGATAGTTATACCAATGTCTGCTTTCGTTGTTGCTGCAGTAGTTAGGCCGATGTCTTCATCTGTAGTTTCACCGATAGTTATTCCAATGTCTACTTTCGTTGTTCCTGCAGTAGTTAGGCCGATGTCTTCATCTGTAGTTTCACCGATAGTTATACCAATGTCTGCTTTCGTTGTTGCTGCAGTAGTTAGGCCGATGTCTTCATCTGTAGTTTCACCGATAGTTATACCAATGTCTGCTGTCGTTGTTGCTGCAGTAGTTAGGCCGATGTCTTCATCTGTAGTTTCACCGATAGTTATACCAATGTCTGCTTTCGTTGTTGCTGCAGTAGTTAGGCCGATGTTTTCATCTGTTGTTTCACCGATAGTTATACCAATGTCTGCTTTCGTTGTGGCTGCACTAGTTAGGCCGATGTCTTCATCTGTAGTTTCACCGATAGTTATACCAATGTCTGCTTTCGTTGTTGCTGTAGAAGCTACGCTGACATCTTCGTCTGTAGTTTCACCGATAGTTATACCAATGTCTGCTTTCGTTGTTGCTGCAGTAGTTAGGCCGATGTCTTCATCTGTAGTTTCACCGATAGTTATACCAATGTCAGCCTTCGTTGTAGCTGCAGTAGTTAGGCCGATGTTTTCATTTGTAGTTTCTCCGATAGATATACCAATGTCTGCTTTCGTTGTTGCTGCAGTAGTTAGTCCGATGTTTTCATTTGTAGTTTCTCCGATAGTTATACCAATGTCTGCTTTAGTTGTTGCTGCAGTAGTTAGTCCGATGTTTTCATTTGTAGTTTCTCCGATAGTTATGCCAATGTCTGCTTTCGTTGTTGCTTCAGTAGTTAGTCCGATGTTTTCATCTGTTGTATCACCGATAGTTATACCAATGTCTGCTTTTGTTGTTGCTGCAGTAGTTAGGCCGATGTTTTTATCTGTTGTTTCAACGATAGTTATACCAATGTCTACCTTCGTTGTTGCTGTAGTAGTTAGGCCAATGTTTTCATCTGTATCATCGATAGTTATACCAATGTCTGCTTTCGTTGTTGCTTCAGTAGTTAGGTCGATGTCTTCTTCTGTAGCGATAGTTATACCATTGTCTGCTTTCGTTGTTGCTGCAGTAACTACGCTGGTGTTTTCATCTGTCGTTTCTCCAGCAGGCATACCATTTTCTCCATTTGTAGTTGCTGCATTGGTTACGCTGATACCAATATCTGTTTTTGTTGTTGCCCCATTGGTTACAGTGATATCTTCATCTGTTATTTCATTAGTACTTTCTGTTGTTACTCTACGAGTTGTTTCTATATCCGATTCTAATGTAGGGTTTACGCTTATAGTTAAACCTGTTTTTGTGGTTACACTAGGATTTGCTTCTGTTGCTGCTTCGCTTGAGGTGTGTGAGCCTAATTGTGTCGTTACCTCAGTTGCAGCATTTGGGTTTAATTCTTTCGTTGACTCAGAGGATAACATTTTGTTTGATTGTGTGGTTGCCTCACTGGATACATCCGGGTTTGATTCTGTCACTGCCTCAGTAGATGTACTCCTGTCTGATTCAGTCGTTGCCTTGGTGGTTACACTCTGGTTTGATTCTGTTGCTACCTCTGTGGAAACACTCCTGTCTGATTCTGTGGTCGCCTCACTGGATACATCCGGGTTTGATTCTGTCACTGCCTCAGTAGATACACTCCTCTCTGATTCAGTCGTTGCCTTGGTGAATAAACTTTGGTTTAATTCTGTCGCTGCATCAGTGATTACACTCGGGTCTGACACTGTTGTTGATTCAGTGAATACAGTCATGATTATATCCGTCACTGCCTCAGTGGATGCATTCGTGTCTGAATCCGTTGTTACTTCAGTGAATGCATTAGTTGGTACACTCTTGTTTGATTCTGTTGCTACCTCAGTGGATACACTCGGGGCTGACCCCGTTGTTGTTTCAGTCAATGTACTGTGGTCTGATTCTGTTGTTACCTCAGTGGATACATTTTGGTTTACAGTGATTACACTGGGGTCTGGCACCGTGGTTGATTTATTGAATACAGTCGGGTTTATTTCAGTCGCTTCTTCAGTGGATAAACTCATGTATAAATCTGTTGTTGCGTCAGTAGATACACTCGAGACTGAATCCGTTGTTGCCTCAATGGTATTATCTAAACCAGTTGTTGCATCAGTGATGATAACTAAATCAGTTGTAACAGCAGTGGTTATTTCTAAATCATGTGTACTATCAGTGATGATATCTAAATCAGTTTTAGCATTAGAAGTGATATCTAAATTAGCTGTTGAATTCGTTGTGATATCTAAATCGGTTTTGGCATCAGTTGTTATACTTGGATCAGTTGTAACATCAGTTGTTATACTTTGATCAGTTTTTACTACAGTGATTTTACTTTGTTCAGTTGCTGCATTTGTGGTATTATCCGGATCAGTTGTAGCATCAGTTGTTATATCTAAATCAGTTGTAGCATCAGTTGTTATATCTAAATCAGTTGTAGCATCAGTTGTTATATCTAAATCAGTTGTAGTATCAGTTGTTATATCTAAATCAGTTGTAGTATCAGTTGTTATATCTAAATCAGTTGTAGCATCAGTTGTTATATCTAAATCAGTTGTAGCATCAGTTGTTATATCTAAATCAGTTGTAGCATCAGTTGTTATATCTAAATCAGTTGTAGTATCAGTTGTTGAATCCAAATTCGTTGTAGCAAGAGTTGTTATGCTTTGATCAGTTGAAGCATCAGTAGTAATATCTAAGTCAGATGATGCATCAGTTGTTAAGCTTTGATGAGTTGTAGCATCAGTAGTGATATCTGAAGCAGTTGATGCATCATTGGTTATACTTTGTTCAGTTGCTGCATTTGTAGTAATATCTAAATCAGTTGTCGCATCAGTTGTTATACTTTGATGAGTTGTAATATCAGTTTTTATACTTTCTTTGGTTGCTGCATTTGTGGTTATATCAAGATCAGGTGAAGCATCAGTTGTTCTATCTAAATCAGCTATAGCATCAGTTGTTGAATCCAAATTAGTTGAAGCAATAGTTGTTATGCTCTGATCAGCTGAAGCATCAGAGGTAATATCTAAACCAATTGTTGCATCAGTGGTTACATCTATATCAGTTGTAACATTAGTGGTAATATCTAAATCAGTTGCAACAGTTGTTATACTTTGATCTGTTGTAGCATCTTTGGTTATATCTAAATCAGTTGTAGCATCAGTGGTATTATCTAGATCGATTGTAGTATCAGTGGCAATTTCTAGATTAGTTGTAGTACCAGTGGTGATATTTAGATCAGTTGTTGTTTCAATGGTATTATCTAGATCAGTTGTAGCATCAGTGGCATTATCTAGATCAGTTGTAATATCAATGGTAATATCTAGATCAGTGGAAGCACCCGTGGTGATATCTAGATCAGGTGTAGCATCAGTGGCATTATCTAGATCAGTTGTAGCATCAGTGGTATTATCTAGATCAGTTGTAGCATTAGTGGCAATATCTAGATTAGTTGTAGTACCAGTGGTGATATCTAGATCAGTTGTAGCATCAGTGGTAATATCTAGATCAGTGGAAGCACCCATGGTGATATCTAGATCAGTTGTAGCATCAGTGGCATTATCTAGATCATGAGTTGTAGCATCAGTGGTATTATCTAGATCAGTTGTAGTACCAGTGGTGATATCTAGATCAGTTGTAGCATCAGTGGTATTATCTAGATCAGTTGTAGTATCAGTGGCAATATCTAGATTAGTTGTAGTATCAATGGTAATATCTAGATCATTTGTTGCACCGCTGGTGATATCTAGATCAGTTGTTGTTTCAGTGATATTGTCTAGATCAGTTGTAGCATCAGTGGCATTATCTAGATCATTTGTAATATCAGTCACAATATCTAGATTAGTTGTAGTATCAGTGGTAATATCTAGATCAGTTGAAGGACCAGTGGTGATATCTAGATCAGTTGTAGTATCAGTGGTATTATCCAGATCAGTTGTAGAATCAGTGGTATTATCTAGATCAGATGTAGTATCAATGGAAATATCTAGATATGTTGTAACACCAGTGGTGATATCTAAAAGAGGTGTAGTATCAGTGGTATTATCTAGAACAGTTGTAGTACCAGTGGCAATTTCTAAATTAGTTGTAGTACCAATGGTGATATCTAGATCAGTTGTAGTATCAGTGATATTATCTAGATCAGTTGTAGTATTAGTGGTACTGTCTAAATTGGTTGCAGCATCAGTAGTAATATCTAGATCAGTTGTAGCTCCAGAGGTACTATCCAAATCAGTTGTAGTATCAATGGTATTATCTAGCTCACTTGTAATATATGTGGTATTACCTAGATCAGTTGTAGCATTAGTGTTATTATCTAGATCAACTGTAGCATCGGTGGTATAATTTAGATCAGTTGAAGTATCAGTTGTACCACCAGTGGTAATATCAAGATCAGTTGTAGTATCAGTCGTATTATTTAGATCAGTTGTAGCATCAGTGGCATTATCTAGATCAGTTGTAATATCAGTGGCAATATCTAGGTCAGTTGTAGTATCAGTGGTATTATCTACACTATTTGTAGCACCAGTGGTTATTCTTTGATTAGTTGTAGCATCGGTGGTTCTTCCTTGATCGGTTGTAGCATCGGTGGTAATATCTAAAATAATTGTAGCAGCAGGGGTAATATCTGGATCAGTCGTAGCATCAGGGTTTTTATCTAGATCAGTTGTAGCATCAGATGTATTATTTAAATTAGTTGAAGTATCAGTGGTATTATTTAGATCAGTTGTAGCACCAGTGGTAATATCTAGATTCGATGTAGCATCAGTGGATTTATCTGGATCAGTTGTTGTATCAGTGGTATCATCTAGATTAGTTGAGGCATCAGTTGTATTATCTAGGTCAGTTGTAGCACCAGTGGTAATAATTAGATCAGTTGTACCACCAGTGGTAATTTCAAGATCAGTTGTAGCATCAGTTGTAATATCTAATTCAGTTGTAGAATCAGTTGTTATACTTTGATCAGATGTAGCATCACTAGTAATATCTAATTCAATTGTAGGACTCGTGGTAATTTCTAAATCAGTTGTAGTACCTGTGGTATTGTCTTGATCAGTTGTACCACCAGTGATAATATCTAAATCAGTAGTAGCATCGGTTGATATACTTTGATCAGTTGGAGCATCAGTAGAAATATCTAGATCAGATGTAGCATCAGTGGTAATATCTAAATCAGTTGTAGCATCAGTAATAATATCTAGAACAGTTGTAACATCAGTTTTAATATCTAAATCAGTTGTAGCATTGGTTGTTATACTTTGACCAGTTGGAGCATCAGTAGTAATATTTAGATATGTTGTAGGATCAGTTGTATTCACTGGATCATTTGTAGCATCAGTGAAATAATCTAGATCAGTTGTAACATCAGTTGTAATATCTAAATCGGTTGTTATACTTTGATCAGTTGGAGCATCAGTAGTAATATCTAAATCAGTTGTGGAATCACTGGTATTATCAAGATTAGTTGTAGTATCTATGGTATTACTTAAATCAGTTGTAGTATCGTTTGTTATACTTTGATCAGTTGTAGTATCAGTAGTAATATCTAGATCAGTTGTAGCATCAGTGGTATCATCTAGATCAGTTGTAGTATCAGAAGTTATATCTAAATCAGTTGTAGCATCAGTGGTAATATCTTGATTAGTTGTAGTATCAGTAGTAATATCTAAATCAGTTGTAGCATCAGTGGTATTATCTAGATCAGTTGTAGTATCGGTTGTTATACTTTGATCAGTTGTAGTATTAGTAGTAATATCTAGATCAGTTGTAGCATCAGTGGTATTATCTAAATCAGTTGTAGCATCAGTGGTATTATCTTGATCAGTTGTAGCATCAGTGGTATTATCTAGATCAGTTGTAGTACCATTGATATTATCTAGATCAGTTATAGTATCAGTGGTATTATCTAGATCAGTTGTAGTATCGGTTGTTATACTTTGATCAGTTGTAGTATTAGTAGTAATATCTAGATCAGTTGTAGCATCAGTGGTATTATCTAAATCAGTTGTAGCATCAGTGGTATTATCTTGATCAGTTGTAGCATCAGTGGTATTATCTAGATCAGTTGTAGTACCATTGTTATTATCTAGATCAGTTATAGTATCAGTGGTATTATCTAGATCAGTTGTAGTATCGGTTGTAATATCTAAATCAGTTGTAGTATCACTGGTATTATCTAGATCAGTTGTAACATCAGTTGTAGTATCTAAATCAGTTGTAGTATCACTGGTATTATCTAGCTCAGTTGTAACATCAGTTGTAATATCTAAATCAGTTGTAGTATCACTGGTATTATCTAGATCAGTTGTAACATCAGTTGTAGTATCACTGGTATTATCTAGATCAGTTGTAATATCTAAATCAGTTGTAGTATCACTGGTATTATCTAGATCAGTTGTAACATCAGTAGAAATATCTAAATCAGTTGTAGTATCACTGGTATTATCTAGAACAGTTGTAACATCAGTTGTAATAGCTAAATCAGTTGTAGAATCACTGGTATTATCTAGATCAGTTGTAGTTTCAGTGGTTATTTCTAAATCAGTTGCTGTATCAGTGGTATTATCTTGATCAATTGTAGTATCAGTGGTATTATCTTGATCAGTTGTCTCATCAGTGTTGATAACTAGAACAGTTGTAACATCAGTTGTAATATCTAAATCGGTTGTTATACTTTGATCAGTTGTAGCATCAGTGGTATTATCTAGATCAGTTGTATCATCTGTGGTGATAACTAGAACAGTTGTAACATCAGTTGTAATATCTAAATCGGTGGTTATACTTTGATCAGTTGGAGCATCAGCGGTAATATCTAGATCAGTTGTAGTACCAGTAGTAATATCTAAATCAGTTGTTGAATCACTAGTATTATCAAGATCAGTTATAGTATCGGTTGTTATACTTTTATCAGTTGTAGTATCAGTAGTAGTATCTAAATCAGCTGTAGCATCGGTGATATTATCTAGATCAGTTGTAGCATCAGTGGTATTATCTAGATCAGTCGTAGTATCATTGGGAATATCTAGAGCAGTTGTAGTATCAGTGGTATTATCTAGATCAGTTGTAGCATCGGTTGTTATACTTTTATCAGTTGTAGTATCAGTAGTAGTATCTAAATCAGCTGTAGCATCGGTGATATTATCTAGATCAGTTGTAGCATCAGTGGTATTATCTAGATCAGTCGTAGTATCATTGGGAATATCTAGAGCAGTTGTAGTATCAGTGGTATTATCGAGATCAGTTGTAGTATCACTCGTATTATCTAAATCAGTTGAAGTTTCAGTGGTATTATCTAAATCAGTTGTTGTATCAGTGGTATTATCTACAAAAGTTGTTGTATCAGTGATATTTTCTAGATCAGTTGTAGGATCACTGGTTTTATCTAGATCAGTTGTAGTTTCAGTGGCATTATCTAGTTCAGTTGTAGCATCAGTAGTAATATCTAAATTAGTTGTAGCAATTGAGATTATATCTAGATCAGTTGTATCAGTGGTATTATCCAGAGCAATTGTTGTATCAGTGATATTTTCTAGATCAGTTGAAGTATCACTGGTATTATCTAGATCGGTTGTTGTATCATTGGTATTATCTAGATCAGTTGTAGCATCAGTGGTATTCTCAGGATCAGTTGTAATATCGGTGGTTATATTTAGATAACCTGTAGCAACAGTTGTAATATCCAAATTAGTTGTTGCATCGCTGGTAATACCTAGATCACTGTTTGCACCTGGACTAATAAATAGATCCGTTGTAGCATCAGTTGTTACATCAATATAGCAGTCAGTTTCATTCCAATGTACCAACTTTCCATTTTGATCACAATACAAGCCTGAACATTTATTTCTAACTATGTTAACACCAGCTGGGTAGTATGTACCATTATAGAAACACGAAATAAGTTCCTCAGTTGTTGCACTAGTAGTGGTATCTAGATCAGTTATTTGTTCCAAAGTTACAGTTATACTTGCTGTGCTTTCATCAGGAACGCAATCTGTATCATTCCAATGAATTAACTCTCCATCTTGATCACAATATAGTCCAGAACAATTACTCCTAACGATGTTACTCCCAGCTATGTAGTACGTGTCATTATATAGACAAACAATAGGTTCCTTCGTACTGTATCTTGATTCATTCGAGATGGTTGTATTTGACTTAGTTGTCTGCTCAAGTGGGATTCTTGTAGTCGGATCAGGGCTTGAAATTGTGTCATTCTGAGCCATGTTTGTAGTAGAGGGTTCAATTGGCGTCGCAGTTGGGCCGATGGTTGTAAGTGTAGTTGTTGCGACAGTTTTTGAGTCGGATGTTGTCGTTTGGGATATGCTTGAGTTTTCCATGCTCTCTTTTCCTGTGGACTCCTTCACGGCTGGACTAGTTGAATCTGTGTTTAAGAAAGCCTGTGTGGTAGGGGTACTTGATGTTGCAACTGTAGTTCCCTTTGAAAAATTTGTTGTTTTGATTGTCGTTTGCTTGTCAGATTCTGATGTCTGTGTAATGATTGAATATGTTGTTTGTTTTGTGGTTGAGGTTGGTGCTCTGGTTGGAGATGTCATGGGAGTTGTTGGAGATGTCATGGGAGTTGTTGGAGATGTCATTGGAGTTGTTGGAGACACGCTACACTGTGGATTGTGCCAGACAACCGGCACGCCACCTTCCCGACAATATGTTGTCTCACACGGTGTCCAGTGCATTTCTTGACCAAAAAAGTAAAACCTCCCATCACTGAAACACCCGAACGCTGCAGTTGGTTTTGATGTGGTAGTGCCACCTATCGGGGGCTTTGTTGTTGCAGGTTTGACAGGTGCATTGGTGAAGCACCCCACGTCATCCCAATGTGCTAGCATACCACCGCCGTGACATAAAATCCCCGAACATGCGCCCGAAGTATAGATAAGCTCGCCAGTCTGATAAAATACACCATCGAAAAAGCAGCCATCTTGGCCCGTAGTAAATGGAAGAAAGCAGACGACACACCAGACGATGTAAGGCAAACAGACCATGTCACTGTCACTCAACATCTGAAATAAAGATGTGATATTTGATTAATCCATATGTGTAGAATCCTTCCAATTACATTCTTTAATAAAAATGTGCGTGTAGCGATATTAGTCGCCTATTGAAAATAAGTGACCGGTTTGCCTGTTGCATGAGAGACATCCTGAAAATAATCCGAATTGTCACACATGTCGCCATGCTCATTTTCCTTTTTAGAAAAACATTTATTGACATTCAAATTTAGATAAAAACATTTGTTCAAAACAGTTCTAAAAATGAAAGGAAGTTAATTCAATTTACCCATCGTCTTCGGAGAGTCCTTATTGATCATTTGAATGCACTTAATTTGACACACTCAGTACCACTAAATCCATTAAAAATCAGTAGTGTAAATAAACTACAAATTCTTGTTCACATCTTTATACTAGGACAAGTTCAAACACCAAACAATCCTTCGGTCAACATACACACGATGTTTAAAGTAAAAAACTAATTGGATTTATGATTACAAATGAAATAGGCCAAAAGGCTGTCATAGGCAACCAATTGACCAGTATTGAAATCAACCTATTTTAGATACTCGCACCATCTCCGTCCCGTTTTTAATATACCTGAAGAAAATTAAAGAATATACCTTGATCTCTGACGATGAATCTATTATATATCCAAGATTAGTAACTAGACATTACTTTCATGGCGTCAGCTAAACAAGCTTTATCTCTTTCGGAAAATCGTTTGAAATTGTTTTTCGTTCAGATATACATGCATGCTATCTTTACAAAATATAAGGATCCAAATGAAGCAAAATCTATTTGTTTTCACTGTTTCGACTATTTACACTGTATTTAACTTAACTATATAATTAAAAATGATGGTTTTTAAAACATTACCATTTATTGTGCAACAAATGTTTTATAACGAAAATGCCGCATTCTAATTAAAATTTTAGATAGAATTATTTTTTAAAAGATTCAACTTGTTTATAAATAGACATGTTAAAGATAACGTGACTTGTGGCAACAATAGCCATTTACCTAAAACCTTAAACATTTCTATAGCTGATAGATTTGATTGAACTGTCAAAGACTTGCATATTAATTAAAGTATTGAATTGTATGTCCTCCAAGTTCTCCCCCTTTCGAAAAAGATGCATGTAGTGTCTTTTATATTTACCAAATATTATTTTGGGAAACCTAATCATCTATATTGAAGATATTTTTAGCAAATATTTGTGCGTCAGAATCTCCTGAGATGGAAAGATTGTTTGGCGCGGCTAACGTCAAACCTCGAGATATCTACATTGAATGTATGCAGATCAGATTGAATGACAGCAGAGCCATGAATTGTTAAAGGGATTACCCGACAATACCTAGGAAACTTGTACATCATAACCTTTTTGAAAGCTTTTTCGTCCCCTTTTTTCAATCTGCTTGAAATGTAGACACCTACTAATGAATCCGAACATTTTGGTCTTATAGGCGTTGGCATGAGAAGGATTTAAAAGGGTTAGGAATCAAAGCAAAAATTACTCCAACTTGTTCAATCGTAACCCTTTAAATTTTCCCAGCCCAGTCCATGGTTACTCGAGGCCTATCTCTGAGAAATACAGTAGCCAAGCGAAGATGGACCTCGGCCATGATATTTTAGTTTATCAGCCAAGACAATTTAATTGCACGATTGTTGTCTATTGTTGTCTAGATTATATCATTTATGATAACGTTTAATTAATCACGAGAAACCAGTTTTTAATTTTTGCACGAAACATTACATATCACAATGTTGAAACTATTTGGGTTCGTAAGGGCTTGGTTGACAAAGTTGAAAGTAAGTGCCATGTTGACCCGTTCGCAAGTTTTATGCGATACGTCAGCAATAAACATAAGATGAGGTACACACGTTCGTCCCGCCCGTGTTCACATCTCTCTTTAAATCTCAGTGAGGCAGGGGATTTCACCCTTTATTGGTCTGGGTAGTCTTGCATCAAGACTTTCCCTTATCAGCTTCATTTCAAGATGTTCAGGTGACGTGTAGAGAACGACTGCACCGGGGCTTGAAGCAAGACGAGATATGGGGCAAATTTATGTATTTGGAGTGAAATTGTCTCAGAGGCTTAAACACATTGCATTATTCTTGAGAAAAGACCTATTTGGTTTAGTAATTAAAGGACTAGATCTATTGAATTGATACATTTGTATCACCACCAAACACAATTGTAGACTCTCAAGACTCGCATCTTGTTTGACGTGTCACCAATTGCCCTTAATTGTACTGAAAAATTACTGGAGTTGCAATTATAGTGTTTTTGTCATTTTGTTGTGAAAAGCGTAACTTGTTACGTTTAGCATGTGATTATCAGTTATTACAGTTATTAAGTTACAGTTATTAAGTTTAAGTTTATTCCAATTTTTTAACATGTTACATATAGTATTCATATACAATCTGACGCAAAGCGTATATTGTAGTTCAAGGATCAAAAGTCAATATTTGTAAATACAATTATTTTAATGAAGTGCAGGAATGCAGGAAAAGTGAGATGGTAGAGTCTGCTAGAGTTACATATAAATTAATAAGTTGATATAATATAATGTTTAAGTGCTGCCTTGAATTTAACTGTACTGACACTGTGCTTAATTTCATTAGGTAGTTTATTATAATATGATGGTCCAATATATTTAAGTGAGTCCCACCCAAACTTAATGCGGTATTTAGGTTGGACTAAAAGGTGTTTAGATCTTGTGTCATGGCCATGTTGGGAAATTTTAAAATAGTCTTTAAAAATGTATACAGGAAAGCCAGATGGTATGTTTAAGCATCTATATACAAATGTAGCAACATTTAAATGATAAATATCAAAAATTGTCAAAATGTTTTCTCTTTTGAATAAAGGGGCAGTGTGCTCTCTAAAATGTGAATTTGTAATTAATCTAATACATTTCTTTTGAATAAGATGTATTGGTGTAAGTATGTTCTTTTTTACATGACCCCAAATAATATTGCAATAGTTAATTTGAGAAAGGATTAATGAATGATATACTTTAAGCTTAGAGTCATGATCAAGGATGTCTCTTACTTTATAGAGAATGCCTGTTATTCTTGATATCTTATTAGTAATATGCTGAATATGCTTTTTCCAATTTAACTTTTCGTCAATAAATACTCCAAGAAAATTAACACTACTTTCTCTTTTTATTGGCACATTGTCAATATGTATATTTATGTCATGGATTAAATTTCTACCAGGAGTAAAAATTATGAAATTAGTTTTATCTAAGTTAAGAGATAGTTTGTTAGCTTTAAACCATTGATTAATTGTTTGCAGTTCTTTGTTTAATAGTCTAACTAGTTCATCCATATTACGATTAGATATAAGTAAATTAGTATCATCTGCATATAATACAAATTTGATAAGATTTGAGGTTGAAGTAATATCATTAATATACATTAAAAACAAAGTCGGTCCAAGTATAGATCCTTGAGGTACACCACATTTGATAATATCTTGATTTGAATAAGTGTTATTGTAGCAAGTGATCTGTTTTCTGTTTTCTAAGTAGGAAGTGAACCAATTTTTTACATTTCCCCTTAACCCATAAAAATCAATTTTTTCAAGTAGAATTTTGTGATCAACAGTGTCAAACGCCTTAGATAAGTCAAGAAACAGTCCTATGTTAAAGTTATTATCATCAAGAGATGTTCTGAGGTTTTCAAGAAAAGTTAAAATTGCCATATAAGTTGATTTGTTTGGTAAAAAACCAAACTGACTTGAGCTAAGTATTTTCTGTTTTATAATGAAATCTATAAGTCTTTTATGCATGAGTTTCTCTAGCACTTTTGAAAAGATGCTAAGAAGAGAAATAGGCCTGTAGTTAGAGAATAAACTAGGTTTTCCTTTTTTGAAAATTGGTGTAATTTTAGCTGTTTTAAGAATATCTGGGAAAATGCCATTTACAAAAGATAAGTTACACAGGTGACTAAGAAGTGGAGCTAATATATGTTTACAATATTTCAAAGCACAGGCCTTAAACCCATCTATTCCCGGAGCCCCATCCTTAAGGTTAGAAATTATCAAGGACATTTCATCTGGAGTTATAGGGTTTAAAAACAGGGTAACATTACATCATTTGTTTGTGAGTGAGAGACCTCAATTAATGTATGACTCTAAAACCCTAACGGTAATAGCCAATTTTAATTATTGAACAATATACATGTATATAACTCAATACAATTACAATTAAGACAATACGACACGATACCATACGGCGCGATGTGATTCAATTATATCTATTTTGACTGGACAATAGACGGTTATCAATTCGCTTAGTATATATCTGTACCATGATATAAATTATGTTGTCAACCTCTTGATCGGTCAACAGTTCTAGTGTCTCGCTCTGGTAAACCAAAGAATACGTTTATGTTACTTTGAAAGTTAAGCTTTGCAATTGTTGTATTTAGACCCTACTCTAAGCACATTAAGTTTAGTTAGAATTTCATACGGCATATTTAGATTATAAATGTTCCTTATAAATAAATATAAATAATTATTTTCTTCCTTGTCAGGCACTCCAAAGAAAATCTCATAAACACGTTTTAGAATGTGACTAAAAATACATAACATAAAGAAAAAAGAAAGCGGTAAAATACTAGTCAAAGATCATATAATTTGAACCTTTTGACATGTTACTTTATATTTTTATATTACTTAAAACAGCGTCAATGGAAGGCTTTCATTCATAGGTTTACGATAGGGTTACTTAGTTTTATTTGAATAACTCATGATGAAGTTCTTAGAACCGTTTTCAGTATGAACCAAAATAAAAGATTTAAACTTTAATTGCATTTCACAGACGCTGTATCATTAACTTCGTTTTGCAATCGAATTAAATACACTTTAAGCCCGTTCCAAATGATTATTCTTAAATTGTTTTTATGGATCTTTACTTATCTAATTGTCGATAAATTATGATTTAGAATTGTCCATCATTTGAATAAAGTTATTACACAAATGCTGATATATGAACAATAACCCATCATTCCAGTGTCCTTATTATAAGAATACTCAAATCAATTCAATACTCCATTGCTTTCTATTTGAATGCCTGTAAATTGAGTGTCTTGCTTGTCATTGAAATGCGGATCGGTATTCTTTACTCTATTGACAAAACAGCAATAATTCATTCGTTGACTCATACATTTTTGAAGTTTTAGCTTACATTACATTTTACTATTCGAGATGGTAACGACTGAAAACTTCAATTTACTATTCAATTACAAAATAATACTCGACATAATCACCTTAACATAAATCCACGTCCATCCTTACATAAGTGCAATAGACATTCCCGGCGTCACACCACGTGAAGTCGTTCCATTTGAGGATCGTCGCTGATATGTTACTGATAAGTCTTTTACCCTGCAGGGATTGTTAAAACAGGTATACAGGTGCCCGCCTTTTGGTGATATATTTACGCAAGTTGTCATTAAACGAACTAACGCAGGTATTACACGAGTAAATCAAAAGTCCCCTATTTATACACCGATACTACACGAAAGTTTGTTTAGAGCCAAGTCTAAGCTATAATATACTTGAAAATATCGTGCAAAGTATGGAAGAACATGATTAAAAGTGTATTTTATGTTTATCCAACAAGCCTCTGGGCATTTACTTCACGGCATTGTTATGAAAAAATAAATAGTTTCAATAGTTTTACGTCGAGTTCACGTGATTTAAAATACTATAAACCTGATATAACTAGCGTGTTATACTGTATTAATCCAGGACGCAAATTTTTGTAGGTGCTTTATTGCACGAGGTTCTTGTTTGGATTAACAAGCTCATCAAGTCTCCAACCGAATTCCCTTTTCAATATAACTAGAAAAGAAACCTTTTTTCCAATAAGGCCTCAGTTCCCATGAACTTCTAACACTTAGACATACTCTCAATAATTCTAAACATTCTAAACTTATCTTTCCAAATATTTTGAAAATATTCTTATCAACGCGAGAAACGTTAAATGTCATTGATATTTCCTTAATTATTATGAACCATCATGAACTACATGAACTAACATGAACTACGTGAACTAACATGAACTACATGAACTAACATGAACTACAATGTAAATGGCCGATAGGTCATATAATATATTCATTTTCAGGACTTCTTATTTATAAACTGGTACAATTATGAGTACAATGTGGTGCCATTAAGGGGGTTGTCATAGTTATCAAAATCAAAACAGAATATAAGGGAGTGGCAGAATGGTTTGGACCACACAAGAGATTATTTTAACACGCCTTACCAAAAAAACCGAAATACCACTCTTGAAAGCAAACATAAATGAATCCACTATGAGTCCATAAGGCATAAATGTCCATTTTAACTTTTTAAAGGTCTGTTGTTAACCTTGAATTTCCAATACAAAATGATTTGAATCGCAAATAAAGCAAATTGGGTTAATCTTCATAATCATATGAAAGTGAAAGAGCTAGTGGTGATGTTTTTTGTGATTATTTAATTGCAATACAGGAAGCATAAGAAGTACCAACTAATATGAACATTTTAAAAATATATTGATTCCTAAACAAGTTAAGTTTTTAAGTATGTGAAGTTTCACATTCTTGGTGTTATATTTTAAATTCTTATCGTGTTTTTATTGAATCAATATTTACAAATACTTCGAATGGTTACTTTGGATGAAATTGACAGAATGTCAACTTTATTTCATTTTTGCTTTCAAGTTTCTTTACGCGTTTATTTCATTTCAATATGGCAGCAAAGAAAAAAGAGTGTAAAATATTGGAAGTATTATTTTCTAATTTTAAGCATTCCAAGACTTCCCTTAAAATCCTAATTAAATCACAAAAACAGTTTTCTTCTTTTAACAACCTTTATAATTATTTCTATAGTTGATAAATCATTTATTTCTATAGTTGATAAGAATCCAGACAGGATTCGAAACGTTCTAAAGGTTGTGAATATAGGAAGATTGTTTTTGTGACCTAATTTTATTATCTGAATATCTGGTCAACTGTTGATATTAAAGACGACAGAAATGTTCAAACACATTACAGTTGAAAAGGGGTATGTCCATGTTTTAATTGTTAGATCTTATAAAAATCAAAGGATTTATATCATAAAATTGGATATGACATGGGATGCGCTGTTTGGAATATGTTGGTGTTGTTGTATTATTAAACTACATGACTAAGAGGATCCAAATTCTTCTTCAAAATCAGAAATGTCATTTTGACACTACGTTTTCCTTTGCGATTTGTTATGAATATACTATTAACGTGATTTCACTCATATATTATTGAAACGTCAATTTCAATAGCATCGTTCAAATTGAACTTTAAATAAGTATGGATTTAACTTTTTTCACTTAGATGTCAGCTAAAAGATTGATATTTACAATCAGTCAACTGGTAAGTTATCTCAATAACTCATGTAAAAGCCTCCTCAAATATATCAGCTTTAACAGAATTTAATGTTCATACACTTCAAGTGACAAATATTTGCATTTCATCTATAAAAAACAAGATTGGATGTTGATAAAGGAATAAACATTTGCCTTAAAACATGTTATGGTACAGGGCGATAAAAAATGCAACCCTCTAATTTTGTACCCTGCGTGCAGAGTCTAGTTAAACTAAAGACGAAGCTCTCTTTTAAGAAGTGAAACGAATGCAAATGGTACTAATTTTGTACTATATCTTTCAATATGATGAAATATTGCGCAGAGAGTGCGATGCGAGTGGTGTACTACCAGTAACATTTATGAAGAATCCACTTGCTAAATGGGAAAATAACAAATATAGAAGTTTTCAAACTTGCATTATTGAATCATTTGACTGACTGAGCAAGCATATCTGGAAGGAAACGTGAACAATTTAAGTCCATCGCCGTTTTGCTCATTCAAGACTATTCTGGACAAAAAATTCAAAGAGATTCCTTCATAATTTGTTGCATTTCTAGGGTCACTCTGTACTCCAGTGAACATGTAGGTTACTTGATTTCCAAATCAGTAAACACATTTACAACATTTAAAGAATCATTCAAAGGAAATTATTCACATTTAATGAAATATCCTTGACCTTAAATATGACCAGAAAGTGTAATTTGATAAAGCACTTCTGATATTTCTAAAATCGAAGAAACTTTGTTTTGATCATGTTGATAAATCAGTGGCAAGCATTAATGGTTATAAAATATATTTGTGGATAACTTTTAAAACAAAACGTTACTGAAACTTCATGTATGCATGTATTTCTCTTTATTTACAAAATATACATATATTATACAGAAATTGGCATTTTCCATTTAGCAGGGGTTAGTTTCAACCTTATACCTCACTCAAATTAAATGCTTAAAACACAAATCATCAATAAATAATTTTCAGGGGCTATACTCAAATTGAAAATGAGAACACTATAAGTGAGAGTAAAACAGATGTAGGGGCCATATTTGGATAAACAAAAAAGTTTTCATTTAAAGTGTCTCACATATTCGATCAAAACTTGCCATGCAAACATGTTAGTCTACTTTACTGGCCCCCCTTGCTGTAACAAGGAACCCAAAACACATTAAAACGTAAACATAAACCAATTAGTCACTTCACTTTGAAAGTGGGGGTGTTAGCAAATGTGTATTAGGCCATAAGAAGTAGATTCTTTGTTTTGCGTCCTGGCAAAATCCAAATCATGCAAGGGTACAAGGAAAACAATCACAAACTCAAGAAAAACACAAACTTGTTTGCTGAGAAATGTATTCATTTTATGGGCATAAAAAGGGATGACATACCAATTTGCAGTGATTACAAACACATATCTATACATTTTATACAATATATTTAAACGTCAAGGGTAAAAAATAAGAAAATACACAATGTATGCCAAAATAATTATAACACTGTCAATTTTGACGCACATCAAATTATCCGCCATTTCGTCTGATTCTAATTGAACGAAATGTAATGGTACTTTCAGACCCTTGTGATTGCTATTTTGATGTGTTTGTTTTTTCTGATTTACTCAAAATTGCGCAAGCAAGAGGACGCAAAGCAAAGAATCTACTTCTTATGGCCTTAGCAGAATACGCTGTGTGCATGGACTAACACAATATCAGTGGGCATTTACGGTGTCAACTTAGTAACCCTTGCATATCGTGCTCTCTCAAGTATTGAATAATTTTTTTATGATCTAAATGTTTGTGGTTTCTAAAAATGTGATATATTTTAGTTAGAAATACATTAATTAATATATTCATTCAAACAGCACTAGAATGCGGGAAGAAAGAGCAATGGTGACAAAATGCAGACAGAATTTTCCGTAAGGGTTTCAAACATATCTGAACACAATCAGATGTACTTCATGTGTACTGTTATTTTTAGTGTTGTATTTATAGATATAATTTCACGTATTAAAATCATATTTTCCAGCAATGACTTCAAATTCGGAACCACACTCATATCCCATTTTCTTCAATAACTCCAAACATGTGTAAACATTGACCATGTGCATATAAATTCAGATTTCACGAGGTCTTTCCTATTCGAGTACTTCATACACCCCTGCATGGATTTGAGTTGGATTCGCCTTTTATACGTGAGCCGACACACTCGCAAACGCAAAACAGGTTAAAGAATTAAGAAGGTTACCTCTTTCATTATATATAATGAAAATCATAGTATTATAGTACAACATTAGAAACAAGGCATTAATATGCAGGATGTCACCACCTGCCATTTGTTAGAGACTCTGAACTCACTACACCAACCATCGAACACTAACCACTGAACATCATCCACAAAAAAAGTTGGACACTAAAACTATATGTCACAACTTGTGGAGGTGAAATAACAAAGTCATATATAGATCTACAAAAATACTATTGACCTACGTTCAGGTAAACTATCAAAAAGATTTCACAACAATGTAACCAAGACGTACTATTTTAACCATTTACTTACTAAGGTCTATAATTGTTTTATTTTTCTAATTGTTTAATTGTTCATTTAACACCATCTAAGTCAACAGTACTTTCAACGTTTACAGTTTCCGTTTTCAACTGTTGACCTACGAGTCTATACTTGTATACATATATATGTAAATATATGTATATGCATTTATATTTACACATACTGCAATAAAGTAATATTCTATGAAATTGTGCGCTTGCTTACAATATTCCATTTGGTATCATACGACATCACAAACTTATGACATCACAAATATATGACATCACTGATATTAACATCAGAGTCAGAGTTGTAGAAACATCGATTTGAAACATTTGATGTAATACTATATCTGTAGTTTGATTCATTTTGTTTTGGTGTCATTTAGTATTGCATTAGTTATACTCAGAGATGTAAAGACATTGCCCGGTTCTCTTTTAACCCCAAAACTAGGCCAGCAGGGTGCATCATATCGATTTTAGTCCCACAGTTCATAAATCATAAACCAGTAGCCAATTTATTTGACTTCTCATGCTGAAAAATAAGCCGGTCCAGATTAAACATAACTGGCTCTGATGTTCATGTCGCACCCTTCTATGTCACTATCATTGTTCATCTCTTGTAACTGTTGTTTTTATGGGCCTAGTGTTGAGCCCATTTGATGGTCTTCAGATCAATCCCTTCTTGTACCATCTCCCAAAGAGGACTCATCTCACGCAACAGTGTCACATGTTCTATACACTTCTCAGCTGTGAAATCAACTTCTGCCTCTGTGGTAAACCTGCCAATTCCAAACCTGAAGCATAAAACCAGAAATTCATATAGCACCTGTAATCTGTGTTAAGAGCTTTTAATAAGTTTCCATGATTTTTATTCATAATCTATAAAACAGCACTCAGTTAAAATGAATTAAATAGATAATTAACCCCTTGAATACCAGAGCATTTTTCATTTTTGATTGTTTTTGCCATTTTACTCTCTTACAATAATCAATGTTCATTTTGAAAAAATTAATGATCATACGAGGGGCGAACATAATGTATGTATGTATAAATACATAATTTGAGTAAACTGCAAAAAAAATATGTGTCAATCTTGGTATTCAAGTTATCAAACAATTTAACATAATTGCAGAGTTTGGCATAAGTGCTGACCCACTGGACAGTATCCAGTTACAATATTACCACCAATATACACCATTTGCCTATGAATTGCTGTACCTTATAGATGAATGTGCCAAGTCTTCATCAGCACCAATAGCTCTAAGAACGTATGATGGTTCTAAAGATGCTGAAGTACAGGCACTTCCAGATGAGAGCGCAATGTCCTTTAATGCCATCAATAAGCTCTCTCCCTCAACATACGCAAATGACAGGTTGACGCAGCCTAAAATGAAAGAGATGATTCATCATTTTGTGACATATAATGATGTCAATATGTGGATGAACAGGCGCCATATGGGTATGTATGAAGTCCAAATGGTAAATATTTGAGATGAAATAATATAAATAAATTACTAGGCTTTGTCATAATCTTTCGAGGGAAAGACTTTTTTGCAAGTTTTTATATCTTCAGATAAGACATTATGGCAAAGTCTATTTATTGTGAAATTTAAAATATCATTATTTATTGTGTGATCTGTAAAATGATGCCCTCTGATTGGTCAGTTCTTGTGCTGTACCAATCTGTATTGCTAGTTTGCTACTGAGATTGTCCCCGTTGATCATCTCCGTGGCAATACAGAAAATATTAGTACGGAGGACACAATCTCAGTAGCAATACAGAGGATAACACGATAAAAACGTTATTGAATGATTTGAAGTGCAATACAGGATATATTCTGTCTCAATATTCTGTATTGGCACTCGACTTTGTCTCGTTCCAACAAAGAATTTCTCGAGCAGAATATATCCGCATTGCACTTCAAATCATACAATAACTCATATTATTATATCACTATCTAGCTAGCGACAGTATGATTGGTCAAAACCGGGTCACATGTCGTGGGATATCTGGCGATATTCAATGGCAATGCTAATCAGATAAGACAACCATGAGATATCTAGCGATATCCCATGCTCCCGGGAATTTTCAAAGAATTTGATTTCGTTCAGTGTAAATAATTTAGTTCAGTGTAAGTCAAAATGGCAGACGAACCGAGTAGATTCAATGCATTTCAATGTTAACCTATGACTTAATAATATTAGGGATGTTTAGCTAGACAGTGATATAATAAAACAAATATTTCACTCTATTTTCGGTGAATACCTGTAGCACTTTCATAAGGTGATATTCCACTTGCCCTTCGGGCTTCGTGGAATATCACTTGTGAAAGATGTACAGGTATTCACCTCAATAGAGTGAAATATTTGTTCAGTATTGAAGATATTTAATGGTTATATGATATTTATAACAGGCATTACAGGAGTTACAGCTATTACTGTAGCACCTTTATACCTTTAACGAGCATAGCCTTACCCGGATATGTGTGTTCAGGATCACCATTACGTATTACATGCGTCATGTTTGACATACACTTGTCAATGAGTCTCTTGGACAGTGCAGATATCCTTTTATGGTCATACTGAAAACAAACATTTTTGTAGCACACAATCATCAAAGATTAGGAACACACAGTGAATATATTTTACATTGAATTTTCTAAATTATTCTATACATCAATGGTAACATACATTGAAGTTCCCTTTAATTCTTAAGTTTCTTCGTTAAACTGAATGGATATTATATAGTTCAATGCATGGAATTTTTAGATAAAAGGGTGTCTGCTCATTATTTTTATACTGTACTATCCCTCCAGCAAGAGTTATTGACTTCAATATAATCATGAAACTACATTTTGCACATAAGTAGCTGACAATTGATTCCACATTCAAACTCCAATCAAAGACTATAAAAACTAGATAACGGCAACTCCGCGGAGTAGCAAATCCCAACGAACAAAATATCAATTACCGAATTCCAATCAATTATACTCATTACTTTGGTTAAAATTGAAAAATTTAGATTTTAGATTTGCGAATTCCTGCAAAGCAGTCATTTTGAATTTTCTGAGGTACAAATCTGAAAAATAATACCATAATTGTGATCTACTCCAAAATTCCTTCAATTTGAGTATAATATAGCCATACTTTGAAGGGATCGAAAAATTATTGCGAAATCGTACATTAGACGGCCATTTTTATTTTGAATTTTACGAGGCTCGAATCAGAAAAAAGATACAATATTTGCAATCTACTCTTAATTGCCTTTAATTTGAGTATAATAAAGCTATACTTCAGAAAGATCTAAAAATAAGCGAAAATTTCTGTTTTCCTGACCCCCCATATACGGCCCCTGGGGGTCAGGATGAAAAACACGGAATATATGTGAAATAGATAGATGTTGCAAATATACTACCAAAATTTCAAACAATAATATTAATTACTTTGGTTTAGAATGAAAAATTTATGATTTTTGCGAAAAAGTCCCGTCATTTTTAAAGCGGCGGCCATCTTGAAAAAAACTAATATTTGAGTTATCTTCCGGACGGACAGACGGACGGACGGACGGACTGACGGACGGAGGGCTTCACTATATCCCTACTGAACTTCGTTCGTTGGGATAACTACATATCACATTGCAATCAATTTTAGATCAGCTGTCATTGTCAGAGGTTAGTGTGAAGTGTTAAGAGAGATCAGGGTATATACCTCCATTTCCTGCTGACTAATTTCACATGCAGCTCCTAATCCGACACAAAGAGGGGTCGGGACAGTACCGCTCCTCATACCACGTTCCTGACCACCTCCACTCTGTGGAGCTTCAATTCTCACTCTTGGACGTCTGCGTATGTATAATGCACCAACACCTGGAAAACCGTGACACCTTCTTTTAACCTTCTACAATTCACTTGATCCATCTTATTATGATGTCATAATTAGAGGACTAAGGAACTTAAATATAAAGACTCAGATCAGCCAAACATATTGTCTCTTTACATTTCGAATTGACATACACATACAAATACAGTACATGAGGATGGTTAGAAAAACATGAGTACTAATTTATCATACAAAACATATGAAATAAAAATACAAATAATTCAATATGACCTTATCTTTATGCTGGGAATGTTCTCTTTGCAAAATCATAAAGTATAGTGTTACCATCAACTTCACTTTCTTCACAATACATTAAATTAATGAATATGCATTTATCCAAATTCATATTTTTCATATCCAGCCCACCAAGGAATCTTCATTTGATAATAAATTAGTTCCCTTAGAATGTTTTTTGCACATAAATGACATGGTGAGAAGGCATTTTCTTCTAGTTTCCTAAATATGGCAAAAACACATGTCAAAACAAAACACTCAAATCTTAAAATGAAAGACAGTTCAACAGATATTTAAGAAGTAAGGGCCTAACTTAATCTTACCCTTGGGTCCATATATCTTGTGTCCACTTATGGAGAGAAGATCAATCTTCATTTTGTTAACATCAACTGGTATTTTGCCAACAGCCTGGGCAGCATCAGTGTGGAAGAAAACTTTCTTTGATCTACAGAGCTCACCTAATGAAAAAATGTAAACATGTAAATTAATAAATAGGATTCTAGGAATGAAATTTCCGACATGATAAACAGTAAAACAAATCTAATGTGAGAGTCACAGAGACAAGTTAAAGGCATTTGAATTCAAAGATTTTCACATCTTAAAGATTCTGCAAAACTTGGGATACTGCAAAATTTCAACTTAAAGGAATTATAATTAAGATACAGCAGAGCGTAAAATGTAAGAAATCATTTCCTTAATACTATCCAAATTCAAATGTAATGCTTATTGAAGATCTAAAATGCAAAAATGACCATCTTTGTCACTACCTTTCCAAGCAAACTGTTTCATTTACTTTAGGAATTGATTTTAAATTTTCCTGGTCGGCTGTGTATTATTAAGATGTAGAGCTGATGAGTTTTTTGGTATTCCGGATAAATAACATTGCAATCATTTTGAATCATGCTACCCTATTTCCAAGTCATGGAATTAATTTGACACCATATTTTCACTTATTTCATTAACTCTTTTGCGCGGTCAGGCGAGTTTTGTCGCCACTACGCTTTATGGCGTATGTCAACCTGGAGTCGACATGCTATAGGAAAGTTTTAGCAGACTTCAAAAGATGTCACCCTTGTATTGCAGTGCCAATATTTGGTACTCACATTTACAGGAAGTGATTTAAAATTAATTTGGCGAAGCAGTTTCTGAAAAAAATTATTTTGGTCACTTAATTGATTTATTTTGTAACAAATACGAATCTGGAAGTGATCAGACATTGTGGTATTTAAAAAGGGCTAGATTTAGACGGGTAATGATGATCAAATCGCTGCTACTCGTATATTCAATTATTCTGGCAGTGAAGCCTTATATTTGAAGCCTCAGAAAATGAAACTTAGAACGATGATGGGCCTGACAACTCTGTGCCTGGGGGACAGGCAAGGGAAGCTGCTGGGGTACACCAAGGTAATATTTAGTAGGGGTCTTATGTTTTTTTGCAATACATAATGTTAAGGGTTTTTTATAATCAGTGTCTCTAATTGTGATGAGTTCATACGTTAACATATGATTTATACAAATGTTTCCAATTATGAGTAAAAATTTGGTGGTGTTATCTCTGTTGGTTTAGGTTTTATGTCACTTTCAAATTGGCAGGCATAAAAATCCTAATTTTTAGTAAATTAATTACCGCTCAGTAGCGGTAAAAGAGTTAACTGTATGAAAATCATTGACATACCTATGTCTTCAACTGGCTGACGAACTCCTATTTCATTGTTGACCATCATGATAGATACTAACGAAGTGTCTGGTCTCAACGCAGCTTCAAATTGCTGGAATATAATATGCCCAAATGCACCGATTCAGAAGTAAAGTTTATAGGAGTTTGTATTGAGTAGGTTTATGTAATTGTTTTTTTATATGTCAAATACAGAGTACAGTTAAATTTACAAAAAAAGTTTTTTTAGAAAACATTCTTGTTATTTACTTCAAGGTAAAGTTGAAAATTGCAATCTTAACCTTTATTTCAAATTATCAATACCATTTCTAAAATGAATATTGCTTCAGTCTAAATTCCAATTGTCAGTTTTTTTAAATTCGGTATAGAAATTTTACCTGCATATCTATAAGTCCATTTGGTTTAACCGGCAAGTATGTGACATCAAAACCTTCAGACTCTAGCACCCTGCATGAATCTAGCACACATTTGTGTTCCTGCAAAAAATATCATTTATTCACTTTTCATTATCCATTCATATATATTCAATTCCATTAATCATAGAGAGAACATTACAGACCCTCTCTCAACAAAAATACAAAAGTACTGCACAGTATGATCTAAAAAATGCCAATGGTATAACATCTCTTAAAGACTAAATTTTAACCAATACTGTATTGTAAAATGTATGTTTATCATGTAACTGTACTGAAATTGTTTTTTGTAACTGCTTTAACATGCTAATTCTTTGAAATAAAAAAATAATAAAAAAAATAAAATAAAAATAAATAAAATAAACCCATGGTCTTATTATTGAAAAACTGAATGACTATAGGCTACTCCTGAAATGCTTGATAACGTTTAACTAATTGAAACTTGAAGCATGAAAGTATGACACAGTTGCAATGATTTTTCAATAGATGCAAAAAACATCAGCTGTGCTACATTAAATCTAGTTGTTGTTAACAGAGCTTGAGGCTGTCGCTTGGCTCATGCTGATCCCAAATATCTTAGAACCTACTGTTTGTGTAGTGATGACGTGCTTTTTCTTAGACTTGTAGAATCTGCCGACTCCCTTAACTGCAATATTATTAGACTCTGTGGCTCCACTAGTAAAGATAATCTCACGAGCATCCGCTCCAATCAGATCTGCCACTTGCTGAAAGGACATGAAATAAACAAATAAAATAGCACATCTACAAATGACTGTTACATCATGTTTTAGGTATCAGCTGTGAGAGATCATATGTTAGAGTAATTTTAAGGAAATAATATCCAATATTGAATTCAGAAAGTTGAAATGCTGAAATAACTTCACAAGGTTGAGATCGAGAATGCATTTTAAATGCCTTTAAAAGGCAGGTTAAGATAAATAACAGTTGTTAAATTGTGGTTCATTTTCAAATATATGAGTGATTTAGTGGTACCAGAGGACTAGGATCAGAATATACTGAATATCAGGCCTCCCGCTTAACTTTTTTTTATCAGGTACTGTAGTTGTTTCACTACTTAGTGAAATTTCGAGGTAGCTATTTGAGAGAAGCAAGTAGTGATGATTTTGATGAGAGTGATCTTTATTCTTATGACTTACCAGCGCAATAATTAGATATTACACTGTATAACATACTCACCCGGATATTACTATGATTCACTGTGATGATTTGCATATACATTTCATTGATAATGAAACTGAAGTCGATTATGATTGGTCTGCTTTCGTTCAATTGTAAAAGTTGTGAGTCAGTTCAAACAAGAAACAAAGATCAGCTGATCGACAAATCAATCGAATCCATGCATTTTCGCATGGAGAGTAATTAGGTGAGGAGCTAGTGAAGTTAGCTAGCTGGAGGAAATAACAAGCAGAGTTTTGGGTAAAACAGGTAGCAAATCGCTACCTTGGCAATGCTAATTTCGAGGCCTGAATATTGAGATCATGTTGTGACTAAGGGTGGGACATAGGATCACCCACCTGTCTTGCTTTCTCTACAGCAGACTCCGACTCCCATCCATAGGCATGTGTACGTGAGTGGGGGTTCCCGTAGAAGTTAACATTGTAAGGAAGCATTGCATCCAGTACACGCGGGTCCTAAAAATAAAATAAATATCTACTGAAATTGGACAAATGGTATGTCTTTATTTAAGTTTTATATTAAATTATAAAATAGGACCCACGGTCCTGTGCTCACACAGTTTGGAACCTTCAGAGGAATATATATCCTGACTTTAAAACAAAAATATTGATTTGGATTTGTAGTCTTGAACTTTGAGAAATAAACTTTGATAGCACAGTTGTGTGACCTAGTTTGATGACCTTTGACCTTGAAAATTTGACTTATTCAGAGCTCAGTAAGGTCTTTTGTGATTAAGCTGACCAAAATTTACATCCAAAAATCAATTTGAAAAATCAACTTTTTGACCTTTCGAAGGTAACTGAAGGTCAAGTAAAGGTCAAATCCTAAAACTAATGTCAGATTTGAGCTCCTGGCAACTTGTAGATGATTTTAAAAAAAAATTGGTCAAATTGAAGCAAGTTGAAAAATAACTTATTTTTACTGTTTTTTGACGTCAAATATCTCAAAAACTGTAAAAATTTGATGCTGATATATTGTGAAATATGTAGGGAATGCTTAAATCTAGTTATGATGTAATTCATTGCAAGAAATCTAGTATAAGGCAAACTTTGAGAAACTTGTCAATCACAATACCTGCCATTGACTTTATCACTCCCCCCAGTTTTCTGCAAGTTAAAATGCTAAATTCTGCAAGTGAAATTAGTGAATTCTGCAAGGGGAAAAGGCTAATTCTGCAGAAATTCCGCGGAAAATATCGTGATAGATATAATTAAAACGGGAAAATTTCATGATAGTTACATAGGCAGTCACTACGTCACTACTCAATACATGCTGCCATCTAGCGACAGAAATCAAATGACGAAGTTTAAAACTTTCACTTCGCATAATTTGGTAATTTTTGGGTTATTTCTACAAGGGATTTGACTGAAAACGTGTGAAATTGTTGGGGAAATTGTTACAGGTAAGACTGACTATTCAAACTTTTGGAAAATATATCGATTCCGCGGAAAATTCCGCGGAGATTGACCAAAATAGTTGATTCTGCAATTCCGCGGGCAAAGGCAAATTCCGTCCGCGCTCTGCAAACACGGAATCCTGGGGGCAGTGCTTTATACATGAGAAAGTTTCCTGAAAATGACTAAGTCCTACTTTTAGCCAAATTTTATAGAGTAAACACCAAAAACCGTAATTCCAAGAGCTTTGAAATCTTCAGAGGACATAAGTTGCATATACAGCAACTAATAATAGTTATTTGAAAGTTCTACTTCAACAAATTGCTAGTATTTACAGAAAATTTGACTTTTTGACGTCAAAATCCGCAATTTCTCGGAAACCGGGCGAACTTGGGAAATGGCAATGATAGGTCAAATAGGCATTATGGATATGCATAAAATGAATGTGGGTACGACTCAATCCGAATAGCAGTTTTAATTTGTGCGGCCAATGTTGACGGACGGACGGAGGGACCAACGGACGGACGGACGGACCAACGGACGGACGGACCAACGGACGGACGCCTGGTCGATCCCATAGGCTCACTGTGTGAGCCAATAAAAAATGTAGAAAAACAACATTTAATATGATTTCAATTACATGTAGACATTTCTGAATGAACAGTTAAAATACTACTGAATATACTGAGCATTTCAATAAGCTTGATGTTGACATCTTGGGCAGAAAGGTATGCCATAGGCAATACTTACAAGGGGTGTGGTAGATTGGGCATCAAGATACAAGGGTTTTATCTCTGGGATCTCTTTATCAGGAGCTTTCTGCACACGACCTAGAATCATAGTTAACTAGATAATGGCAACTCCAGGGAGTAGCAAATCCCAACGAACAAAATATCAATTACCGAATTCCAATCAATTATACTCATTACTTTGGTTAAAATTGAAAATTTTAGATTTTAGAATTGCGAAGCAGCCATTTTGAATTTCTGAGGTACAAATCTGAAAAATACTACCATAATTGTGATATACTCCAAAATTCCTTCAATGTGAATATTATATGGCCATACTTTGAAGGGATCGAAAAATTATTGCGAAATTGTACATTAGACGGCCATTTTGAATTTTACGAGGCTTGAATCAGAAAAAAGATACAATATTTGCAATCTACTCTTAATTGCCTTTCATTTGAGTATAATAAAGCTATACTTCAGAAAGATCTAAAAATTAGCGAAAATTTCTGTTTTCCTGACCCCCCATACACGGCCCCTGGGGGTCAGGATGAAAAACACAGACTATATGTGAAAAAGATAGATGTTGCAAATATACTACCAAAATTTCAAACAATAATATTAATTACTTTGGTTTAGAATGAAAAATTTAAGATTTTTGTGAAAAAGTCCAGTCATTTTTACAGCCGCGGCCATCTTGAAAAATTTTTTTTTGCGTAAAACTATTAATCAATATTCATCTTTCCACCAAATATGAAGAAAATCCGTCAACTAATATTTGAGTTATCTGACTGACTGACGGACGGACGGAGGGCTTCACTATATCCCTACCGAACTTCGTTCATTGGGATAATCACTTTGTATAAATTGTATTGGTTGATTGTGTTTTACCATGTAGCTTCTAAATATTCAGTTCTGTTGAAATCATAGCTGGAATCAAAGCACAAGCAGGAGCGTTATCAGCATCCTGGGCGATATTACTGTAGTTGATGTAGTTGAATGTACAGCTTACAAGTTTAGTCAAACTTGAAGTCAAAAAGTGAATTTAGTCTGTGTTTTACTGACTCAGAAAAAAAATATTCACAAAAAATCACCTGCAGTTGCAGCAGCCAATTCCGCACTTTGTGTTTGAAATGATCTACTGATCGTGTTTCTGCCATGTCGAATGACACTCCAAGAGGTTTTACAAAATCTACATATCATGGTTAAAGAGATAATAAGTAAAACATGCGAAATTATGAAAGTTATGCAAAATTCTACAAGTCTCGTTTTACTTCTCGCAATTTCTCGAAACAAATATATTTTCGTACCTTTTGTATTTATTAATATCGTGCTTTATTTGTCTTTATACTTATAATTGATACATTTATAAAGCAAATTAGCACTTAATCTTTTTGTCAGGTACCATAATTTTAGTTGGAATGATGAAAATTATATATTCTTAGCAATCCCTAGCTTTGCACATTTTGGAGTTGGAAAACAAAATTTCAAGGTTTCGCTTCACATTTTCTTAAATATTGCTTCTTCTACGATTATAAACATAAGATTTACTGTTTCTATACTACGCTAGGATAATTTACATATGAGGAAAGTATGCATATGGCTGACAACAATATTGAATGTGTGAATTCTGAGATTTTGGATCTGAAATGCTTCATTAGGGCTGCCATCGAACTCAAATGTCAGTGTCGACAGTCGAACTCTGCTGTCGAAAATATTGTCGACAATCGAACTTTCCAGGGAGAAAAAATCATCGGGAAAAAAAGAAAAATTATTTCTGTGTTGTTGGTTCGTTTTTTCCAAATCTTTCAACACAAATATCATACAAATGTTATGTAATTGCCTAATATTGTTACTAAATGCCAAGTTAATAGAATATTATAGACGAAAATGGGACAAATACCTGCAATGTTTCGACCGGGATTTATTTCGACTGCTCGGGCGAAATCTCGTACAACGTCTCGCAAGAGAGAAGAGAAGTCATGAAGGGAACTTCCGGGTGAATTTATTTTTTGAAAATGAAATGAATGTGAACAATATTTCCGCAGAATACGCGCACATAACACGTTGAAATGTGTATTGAAATGTATTGGGGCCATTTGGATATTTTCAAGTAAGTATTGATATCGTTTGCTGTCGACATGACGGGAATTTTTGTCGACTTCGTTGTCGAACTTGCATTTTGACTGACAAGTCGACGTTCCGACTAATGATGGCAGCCCTAACTGAAGCAAATCTTATGCCAAGCCCACTGGTAGGGCTGCCCAAATGGAAAAATTACACGATCACCATTCGTTTCTGATGTACTCCATTACAAACAATTGACCTTAACTGTCAGGTGTTGACATTCTAACAAAATGTGCAAAATCATTCCTTAATCATTTGTACCGTGTACACTGTTCTAACATTTTGTGCGGTCAGTTGGATACAGATCTATTTTTGGAATGAAAATAGGTGGAGTGATATGGCGAAACTATCGTCAGATATGGACACGATTGAGTCAACTAGACAATGGTCACCATAAACGAGTGGTTTTCAGTCAACATGTGGCAAACCGCTGTGATGATGCAGGTTCCACATTATCGTATCCTAAATTGACTCCTCAGCAAGTCAGCTCAATCTTACGCAATAATGAAAATACTTTTGAACTGAAACGTGGAAAATCTGTCAGGAGTTTTGATACAAATCAACTCGCAAGTAATGATCCCATTGAAGATCGCAGATCAGAGGCACGACTGACCCAAACCGATGGGTTAATGTTTGGAGTGTTTGATGGTCATGCAGGGTGTGCATGTGCTCAAGCAGTGAGTGAACGTTTATTTGAGTACATAGCAGTCTCACTTTTACCTCCCCACTTACTGGATGAATTCAACCATGCTTTGAAAGATAGGCTCCCATCTGTGAATACTTGGTTACTGAATTGGTATCGGCATGATAACGATTATTTCAACACATCAATGGCATCATTGTATAGGAGCAATCTCCATCGTTACGTCACAGAGATGCTATCGACAAGCTGTATGGAAGATGATCACGAGTTTGTAATGTGGGATGCACTTACCAGTGCTTTTGTGCGTCTTGATCAGGACATATCAACTGAGGCAATGCCAGGTGCTAATGGACTTGTTATCAATCCTGAGATGATCGACATTGCATTCTCAGGGACAGTGGCATGTGTGGCACATATTGATGGTCCACATTTACACATAGCCAACTCTGGTGACAGTATGGCAGTATTAGGCAGCTACGACGAGGACCAAAACAGGTGGCACGCCACAGAGCTTTCTAAAGAACACAATGCTCAGAATCTGACAGAAGTAAAACGTATCAAAGATAATCATCCTTCCAGTGAATCAAACTTTGTAATAAAAAATGATCGATTACTCGGACAGTTGGCGCCTCTTAGAGCTTTCGGGGATGTCCGCTACAAATGGCAGCATGCAGACTTAAAAAAACTTACCATGGCAATGAACACTCCTTATGCCCAGAATTTTATACCTCCAAACTACTACACTCCACCATATTTAACTGTCAGCCCTGAAATAAAATATCACCGATTACGATCCCAAGACAAATTCCTCATTCTTGCTACTGATGGATTATGGGATATGTTAAGTCCTGACATGGTGATACGTCTTGTTGGGCAACATATGACGGGAAAACAAACCTATGACCCCTATGTCCCAAACAAAGGAGTAAAACTGAAGGATATCAATTCAGTTCTCCTTAAAAGGAAATCTGGAATTGAAAATCGAGCAATTGATAAAAATTCAGCGACACATTTGATCAGGAATGCACTTGGAACATCTGAGTTTGGAGTTCAGCATAATAAACTGTCGTTAATGCTATCCATCCCGCAAGATATTGTGCGACTATATCGTGATGACATCACAGTTACAGTCATTTTCTTTGATCAAGACTTTTTGCGAACTTGTCCAGCTTAGCTTCAACTTGAACAGTGTGTGAAAATATAAACTCTAGGCAGAGTGCATGCTTTTCATAGAAAAAGTTAAACAATTTATATTCTATAAGGCTCTTAGCTCCAAATATTGATTCTGATTTATTTATTAACCCCTTAAATACACAGACTGAGGAATGTACATATTATCAATAACAGAATTTCTCTAAATGCCTCTAACTTTGCCAAATAGACTAGATGCGAGTAGAAATAATCTTGATTTACGTCATTAAATATTCAAAATTCATTCAACGTGATCTCATATTTGAAATCTGCATGTAAAAGTACATCTAGAAATGTGGTTTCGAAAATTGTCTATCAACTTTGAAAATTTTATTTTTTTGAAAATGTGACTTCTTGTTCGGGTTGATTCCCCATAGACCCCATGTTACAAAATCACAAAAAGTGAATTATCTTCTCTTGTATTGGACAGATAACATTTTCTTTTACCGGACATATTTTAATTTGCATAACTATTAGATACATAAGGGTTATATGAAAACTGAACCAAGCAAATAGATGTAATTTAAGTTAAATTGAACTTTCTACCATACCCGCCATGCTATCTGACCCGAACGAGCCACCTGGTGGTGAATCTGGTAACTACCTACTCGCATCTGCGTTATTGTGTTCAGTTTACATAAAATATGTATTAGAATGAGAATTTGAACTCAGTTGAACATTTTTTCAAATATTGCAGCATTTGTTGATGAGAATTTTGGCATCCCATTAAGAAAGAACTGTGCTTGCGCTAAGTGTTTTTCTTTTTTGAGCGTAAAAGTTATTTTTAACTTTGAACAGTTCTGCCCAAAGTTTTGTAAAAATTGCAATTTCCATGACATATCTTATTTTCAAAATCTCAAGTGGGTACAGCACCCATTTGAAGTTGCTTGATGCTTGGAAGAACACTGAGAAATCTGTTGATTTATTCATTGTATACATAAACTGGGGCAGACCCACTTTGTCGTCTATCAGGATGAGTATACTAAATTAGAGTGAGAGATGTAGCCACACATTGAAAGTTAAATTATGATATAATGCACCTATTAATTAAGCACTTTATTGCCAAAATTTTATTAAATTTTGCTTTTACTAATGATGAATGAACTTGACTGACCATTATAAGCAGTGTATTTGTATACTAACTATTATTGCCATAATTGATTTGCCAAAATGTGAGGTTGAGAGTTTCACAAGCATGTATACATGGTTTTAATCTAAATTGACTACTCAGAGCATAGACATCTGCAACATGTCTTAGATATACATACTTGTATATGTATGTAATGGGAGGGTTTTATACAGGGCTTATCACAAAATTTTAGAATAGATTATTTAAGGTAAATATTAATTTTAAAACTTTAAATATGAAATTTGTCAAAATACAACTTTCTTTAAGATTAAAGCCTTGTGAAAATTTTCATCTTTGAAGTTTCAAAATGAATACCGTTTAAAACTTAGTTTTAAAAAATGGAGTGGAACAAGAATGGATATAGCTGTTGGACTCATCCTGGAATCGTGGGCCTTAGTGATTGTTAAATAGATACAAAAATATCCATATATTTCCCTTGATGTACTTTTTGCATATTATGTACCTTTGTGTAGGTATAACGTATGAGATACTATAAAAATATGCAATATTGCTTACCACCAGAAGGTATAGTAAAACCTGTGTATAGTGAACACCTATGGAGCCACAAAAATGTGCCCACTGTAGGTAGGTGCTCACTACAGAGAGGTGATCTTGTACAGATATCAATGGTGTATTGTGCTGAAAAGGCTGGTTCACTAGACACAGGTCCTTACTAGAGAAAGATGTTCACTAAGACAGGTTTAACTGTAATAGATACATAATTGTGTTTTTTAACCTTAAACAGATGAGATGCCAGTAAGAGTAATCATTCAATATTCAGAATTTAGTCAAATTGATATCATACAGTCATATTTCATATCTGGATCCAAAATTGCATGTCATTCTGCCAAAAATAACCAATTTATTTGTTTACTGTATATATGTACAGTAAACAGGTAAATTGGTTACCACCAATTTATATGTTTGATATGATCAGTTTTATATGATGGAGGCCGAGGGCCTCATGTTTGTGTCATGAGTGCATCGTATATTAGTTAGTACACATGTAGTTACACATGTTATTTAGAATAAAAATTACATAATTTAAACTGAGAAAATCTTGTTTTGGTCCTTATTTAATTTGGGACCAGTTTATAAAAATTGAGCCCATCTTCTCCAAATAAGGTCTGTTTTCTCTAAAATGGCATAAAACTCTGCACTATCAACATTCAATATAAAATCGAAATGTATCCACTGTACTCCAGATGCTGTATCAATGTAAATTTAATTTGGAAGGGTACGTCAACAAAGGCATAAAGGGAGAAATACTTTATTCCCTTCATGTAGCCTCATGAGTCTCACGACTAAAAAGTTATTTAACCAGTGTGACTTCACCTATATAAGTCACATATCCATTACCCATACTGCCATAAACCTCAGGAAAGATAAAAAATCGAATTAACCCCATGCTTATGTTAAAGTTTGTATATACATGCAACTATTAAAGTGTTTTTCACTCCTTTTCAAAGCCTTATACAACTTCTTGCTGTGTTTACAGTATATATTACTGATTTTTACTTACATATTTTCAATGGATACTCATCTTTTATTCTATATAAAAAAAAAGAAAGTGATTACATTGACAGAGTGGGAGCTGTTACAATGACTCCTACTTTTAGCAATTTTCAGAAATGTTTTGTCCCATGTAATAAATGAGGGAACGATTAATTCAATTACAACAACATTGCCGTTTTTGGGCTTATTTCTTGAAAGCTTTATACATTATTATTATCATATATTTGTAATACATGTATGAGAATTCGATTATGGGGGGGGGTGTATAGAGATATTGTATATCGTATAAGAGGCTGAAAATTTATTGTATATTGTATAAGAGGGGGCAAAATTTATCGTATATGGTATAAGAGGTGTAAAAAATATGGTATATGGTATTTTAGAAAATATGGTATATGGTATCTAGAATTAAAGAAGGCTAATTATGAAGAAATTGTACCCTAAAGTTCCCCCATTGTGCCAACTCTCTTACTGTAACCGTGTTGGAAAAACATGGAAAAGTAGTCTCTATAATTGTTTTCAAATTCCAGGTCAATCGATACTGTTAGTTTAGAGAAAATCCCTCTCCAACTAAGAGTTTTGTGCCCTTTTCATTCAAATTTTCAGAGGAGGTGTTAAATACAGTCTCAAATAAGAATCACGCCCGGTGATCAGAAGAAATGAACGGAGGGGGGGGGGTAGATCTAGCTGATTTTCGGTATAAAATTCAACAAATCTTGAAGATTTATTTTTTCAAGAGAAAGTTTACAATTGAATGGCTAAATGAATAGACGCAGTGGACGGGGGAATATGTTAGGTCATTTTGGATTTTTTTTAACTGTGGACTTCTAAAATAAAAGATCTATTAAAAAGTGCAGCGTCGCCAACATGCAAATACCAATGTTTTTGCTATAAATCAACCAACAGGGGTCTCCACGACCTGTAATAAATACTTGTAAGTGAAGTAATTATCACAAAATTATTGGGTTTTGTAAAACATGTTACCATACGTTATATAAAAAGTAATCGAAAATTATTAAAATTGAATGGAGGGGGGGAGTAATTTGTCTATAAGACATATGAAAACTTCCAATAAATCCATATGTCCCCATTTTTCACTTTTCAGAGTTGTAACATCAAGTTACTGAGTAAGTGAGTTCATTTTTCAAGTACACGAATTTGTGGAAATTTCTTCCACCTTAAAGACATTTTACTCCCCCCCTCCGTTCACTCCCCCCCCCTCCGTTCAATTTTAATTATTTTCGATCATTTTTTATCTATCATTTGGAAAATTATTTTAAAAAACCGGCAATGAATTTTGTGATATAAAAATGTCGCTTATATATTTATTACATGTCGTGCAGACCATTGTTGCTTCATTTATAGCAAAAACATTGGCATTTGCACGTTGGCGACGCTGCGCCTTTTTTAATAGACCTTTTATCTTAGAACTCCATCAGTTCAAAAAAAATCCAAGAAGACCTAACATATTTCCCTGTGCACTGCACCTATTCATGTAGCCATTCAATTGTAAACTTTTGCTTGAAAAAATAAATCTTCAACATTTGTTGAATTTACCGAAAATCAGCTACTCCCCCTCCGTTCATTTCATCAGATCACCGGGCGTGAGACTGCCAAATGTCATTGACCATCTTAACTTTGATGAAAAATATGGTCACTATGGCTACTCGTGTTTCGGGGTATGTGGGATAAATCATGAAAATATTTGAGTATAAAGTGTTCATACAGCGCATGTTTTAATACAAGCATCACAATGCTAATATAGCATAATATAGCAAAAGGTGTTTATTTGGTCTTCAAACCGTCATGTGTTGGATTTCGGCTATTTATTGGGGATTTGAACAGGTGCATATGTTAGGCCAATGCATTAACTCCAGATCAAGCACTCATAGAGGTAATAAAATAATTTGAACTTTGAGACAGGGAAGGTTTTTCTGAAATGTTGTCCTTATTTTCAGCCCTTTCCACATATGTTTTTTCAATGTTTGATGCACCAATATGTTGCACTTTGAGACACAGTTAACCTCTAAAATATGATTTATTTGGGATAAAGTGGAAAACAGTACATGTATTTCCCATGTTATTTTCCCATAGGGAAAACTCATGTGATCCATTGTTTTCAGCTTAATTTTGGTCATCCAAAATTGATATCTTTAAAACCCCTGCATGAATCATATTTTCATTCAAAGATCTTAACCATGTCTCAAAACGCAACAGAGTGATCGATGCAACAAACATTGAAAAACAGGTGTGGAAAGGGCTGGAAATCAGGACAACATTACAGAAAAACATGTTGATGGGGTGTTTGCACCTTCCCTGTCTTAAAGTCCAAATTATTTTATAATCTCTATGACTGCTTGTCCTGGAGTTAATGCATTGGCCTAACATATGCACCTGTTCAAATCCTCAGAAAATAGCCAAAATCCAATATATGACTGAAACTGTTGCGATACCGTCCGTGGTCCTTTAAAAGAAAGTTATTTCTAGTTACATAGAGTAGTTTTCATTCTCATCAATACATCTTTGCCTTGAAATCATTTGTGAAACATGTGGTTTGACCTTCATGGAAATTTGCTTAATTTTGACACACCTTTGTTTAACTTATACTGTCTTTGAGGCTGCCTTATCTGAAACCCCGAAGTGTCTCATGTTTCAAATGTTTAAACAATCAAGTCTCATCTTGCCTTTATTTCAAACTCTGTTTCCAGACTCGAGTCCAATCAAAAATGAATTATCTACATGGAAGTTTGTGAAGTCCTTTATTTCTGAAACTGTTTTAAATACTTAATATTTTCCAGGTAACTGCTTTACAAAATTATTGTGCATTGTGAATCTTCATTATCTATCTGATAAATATTTTCCTCAGCAAACTTTATTTTCATAGAACACATGATGAATCTTTTATTCAACATTCTCAATTTTGCATCAATTATGTTTCAAGAATTTTTTTCCCTGGCTCACTATAGGACATTTAAATAAGTCATGGGAAAGTAGGTCATAAGAAAGAGGAGCACTAGGTTCCACCCATTCCAATGATGCAGGTTTTGTGCTAATTTTGAATATCTTTATGGTACTTTTACAGGTAATGGGCTAATGGCTTTAGCAAATTGTAGCAATGTCATAGTTAGTTTTTTTGGTCAAACTAGGTTGCTAAATCACTAAAGAGAAGTCATGAATCTTATATCATAAATGTGTTTTAAATCAACTTGTTTACCTGAAAATAAAATGTGGTCACAGCTTTTCTGATGCTGATGTACCCGAATGGTGTCTAATTCATAATGAAATAAATGAAATCATTGTGGTATGTATGTGGAGTCTAGTTGCCTTATAATAATACATTTACTTTAGTACATGGATTCTCTCCTAATATAATATTATTTCCTTATAAATATCCAAACTTTAATCAAAAGCAGTTTCAAAATTATCGTATATTGTATTTCACCTAAAATATCGTATATGGTATAAGAGCTGTGAAAAATATTGTATATGGTGAAAAAATATTGTATATGGTATAAGAGAGCTGAAAAATATTGTATATGCATTTCCAAGACCCTCTATACACCCCCCCCGATTATGGTCACTTTCATTATTAGAGCACTTTCACATTCGATTAGAAAGCGAAAGAGTATTTATTGAATTTAGTTCATGAAATGGAATCTAATTGATGGTATTCTTCAAAAACTTGTTTTCATTGTTTTCTAAGGACTTTAAGTTAATAGTTATATACATCCTTTAACTCCTAAACCATATATTTTGTAATAGATCCCGGGTAATTGAACGTATTTTCGTTTAGTGTAATCTCGAAAGTGACGAGACTACAACGTGACTTCCTGAAGGGGCAGGGCAGTTTTAAAAATATTGTCGGAATCAGTGGCAAAACATCCAATTAAGGTAAGAAAATTCACTTGTACACGCGATTTGACGATTTCATTTACTTCTTTGATTTTTCAGTGATATGATGCTAATGATTATATTTAATTTGTTGTATCACATTCAGCTGAAAAGTTGCATCAAGTTCGGGAATTATTTTTGAGTTTGACTTTCGCTTTGGAAATCAGGTCAGGAATCCTAATTAATTAGATTCAACAGGTGCTGATGAATCTTAAGTCAATTATAATTTTACAATGGCCCTTGGTAGTGACGAAAAATTTCGAACGGAATGCGTGACATATACGTAATTCGCGTGAAAAGTCCGAACGTAATGCGTACATTTTTTTCCGCCGTTCGTATTTTTGCTGTGTAGACCATCTTTTTTAGAACTTTTTCTACAGAAATATTTTTGCTTGACAATTACCAGGTAAAATGCGTATTTGCGTGACATTTTCTGTCACGCAAAAATAACTGGCGTGACTTCAAATTCTTCAGCAAATGCGTGACAAATACGCAAATTGCGGGACAGTTGACAGGCCTGAGATACCTACCTCAAATTCTCAATGCATTATAGAACTCAAGATGTAACTTCTAATATATTGGAACCGCCGATTGTCTGGGTATATCGGCAGAACAGGAACATTTTCTCTTTTTCATCGAGAGAGATTCCATCACTTTTCAAAATGGCGGTTGGATTTAAAAGGGGAAGCCCCCGTTTGGCTGTCCCGGATGTAGCCCGGAAGTACCAATACGGAGGAATTTGACGGTTGAAATAAGTTAAATGTTACACGCAAATATTGCGATCAAAAACGAAAATGTCTTCGTTATGCCGATAAACCCATACAATTGTGGATTCAACTACACGAAAAGAATGCTAAATTACCAAGGAATCTATTGAAGTAGGTATCTGAAGTGTAAGATCAGTAAAAAATTCTCCCATGTTGTAATCGCACAGGCAAAAGATTGAGATGTTCACAGGACCATAGTCCGGGAACGGGATAACATTTCACTGCTTCATTTCGTCAGTAGAACGGCAAAAATAAGAAATTGGGAGACCATTGTGCAATAATATATGGAAAAGTATATTCATAATGTACATGAATGACATTTGTATATCTTGGATTGCTTCTAGTTTGGCTTATAAAGTGTGTGGCCTCTTATATTTGGATGTTTCTCTGCCATGTTATTTTCAATAAGATTAACATGGCTGAAATTCTTCAAATTACAAGACGACACAGGCTTATTGCACAAAAAACTAAAAAATCTGAAATATACAAATGTCATTCATGTACATTATCTGTCCATCCAGAAGATAACTCAAATACGAGTTGACAGATTTTCTTCATATTTAGTGGAAAGATGTATATTGGTGAATAGTTGTACGCAAAAAAAAAATTTTCAAGATGGCCGCCGCTTTAGAAATGACGGGACTTTTTCGCAAAAACCATAAATTTTTCATTCTAAACCAAAGTAATTAATATTATTGTTTGAAATTTTGGTAGTATATTCGCAACATCTACCTATTTCACATATATTGTGTTTTTCATCCTGACCCCCAGGGGCTGTGTATGGGGGGTCAGGAAAACAGTAATTTTCGCTAATTTTTAGATCTTCTGAAGTATAGCTTTATTATACTCAAATGAAAGGCTATTAAGAGTAGATTGCAAATATTGTATCTTTTTTCTGATTCGAGCCTCGTAAAATTCAAAATGGCCGTCTAATGTACGATTTCGCAATAATTTTTCGATCCCTTCTAAGTATGGCTATATTATACTCAAATTGAAGGAATTTTGGAGTAGATCACAATTATGGTATTATTCTTCAGATTTGTACCTCAGAAAATTCAAAATGGCTGCTTTGCAGGAATTCGCAATTCTAAAATCTAAATTTTTCAATTTTAACCAAAGTAATGAGTATAATTGATTGGAATTCGGTAATTGATATTTTGTTCGTTGGGATTTGCTACTCCGCGGAGTTGCCATTGTCTAGTTTTTCTAGATTCGGCCATAGATAAATGGCACTTTTTGTCGTATAAATCAAGGTGATTTGGGGGTAGTGGGGCAAAGTTATAATAGTCGGCAGTAAGCCAATAAAAATGAAATTCGTAAAATGTATATAATCACATTCAATGATTGTTTCTAATACTGTAGAAGATGCAAATTAATCATTATTACTCTGTTTAGTAGATAGTTTCTCTCATTAAACAGATTAAATTCTCTTTCCAACGTGCTTTATTTCATGAAAATCGATTTTAGTTAATTAATGTGGTACCAGAATTATAATGATAAAACTCTCCCAATTTTAGATATCGTTTTTTTATTTTCCCCTACCTCTGATTTTTCAATTTCACAAATTCAATTTATATCCCGTTGCTATGTGGTTGCTTGCGAAAATCGGACCGAAATTATATTGAAATTATAATAAGTCAGCATTTATATATTATCTTACTAAATCACTAATTGTTATTGTTATTTGTAGTACTTTAGTTATTTCTTGAAATATGAATGTTAAAGACAAAAACAAGTTGAACTTGAAATTGTTGATTATTCCGTTGTACGTTCCACTGATTTCAATAAGTTTTTGTGATGCCTGCTATCTTTGAAAGTACATAACTTTAGTTCTAGGAAAGCAATTACCCTAATTTTTATTTCATTTAATGATAATAGATTATTATTTTAGGAAATAAAGCATTTGGGCACCAATAATTATCTTGAAAGGAAATTAACAATTTATCACAAAATGTCAAATTGTCACGTTGACCTTTGTTGAGGGAGGTGTGTGTAATACTATATATATTGGATTACATATTAGCTGTCAGCTAATACAAAAACGTTTTCCATATACATTATTTGATGTTATCACTGGTAAAGGGGGGGGGGGGTACAGCATTCGGAGACATCAGATCATTTTTAAAATCTTCATGAATTAATGAAATATCAATAGAGTTTTTTGAATAATAATTTGTTTTCCTCGTCAGAAAGAAAAGTTCTCCCATTGAGAATAATGTTAACTTTTTCATGATTTGTTGTCAAACTAATCAAGGGTTTGTCTATATGCATATTTCATTAAGTGCATTTAGTAGATTGTTTTGTTGAACGTTGAGAGATTGACAGCTGAGGCAGGTTATAAAATTCGACAGGTATCATATGAAACCATCTTTTGGCGCAGTAGGTAGCACGTCGGACTTCTTATCTGTTATCAATCTATTGTTTTGTCCCAAAGGTTGGGGTTCGATTTCTGGCGTGGGCAATCTCTTTTTTCTTTTTTTTGACACAACATATTTTTATCCTTTCTGAATGTTGTACTAATACTTACAAGGGTTTTGCAATATAAATGAATCTAAACAATTGTGTGTTGTTTTAGACTTATTGTGTTCTAAACAGATGGTTGTTCTTTGGTTGTCCTGTTGATTTTCTCAATATATTGGTGAAACTGTGCTCATGATCAAAATATATCTAAGGTATAAATGATGTTATATGAGCAGTTATATTAGGACATTACTGATTGTCCGGGAGAGAAATCTGGATGATCCAATTTTTTTAAGTTAGGTCAGATTTCACTTTCTTTAGAATGTATAAATAACTAAAAAATTGAGCGGTCTTCTTTTCAATATTGCAAAAAATCTCATCATGCAGGTCTACCTAAGGTTTAGTTTTATGTTCTGTTATTATACTGTAAGGTACATGTACCTCATCTTATCAAGCCAGATTCTACTTTATGAGTGAAAGAGAGCTGATTTTATGACTAAATTGATTTTTGTCTCGATAAAAAATTCATTTTGTATTGACTTTTGTGTTAAAATAAACAGATCAATTTAACATTGTGCTCACTTTATTGAAGGAATTAACACCACTTTTGAAGGAAGTGGAGGTTCTACTTTCTTTGCAACTAATATCGTGTGCCTGTTTCAATTGGCAATATTAAGTGTAGAGGAAAAATTTATTATCTTTAAATCGTACAAATTGAACTGAGTATTTGTAAATGATTTATAGAACAGAAGATTGGGATGTGGAGATTCCCATAGACTCATAGAGTTATCATTTCTCCAATTCCAGACTAGGGCAGTGTGACCCTATATAAGCAATAGGAACCCAAGGTATCTCCGATTAAGTTAGTTCTTTTATGCTTTCAAAATGAATGCGAGGCTCTGTTAAGAGTTATGCATTCTCTAAGGGAATTTTGTCTACACATTGACATAAATAGTGTAGGGAGACTAATTTAGTCTTTACATTTTTTAGCTTTTATTTTTAGCTCTATTTTTTTAGACCTATGTAGGCCTGAAATATTGAAATTAAAATGTGTGAAAATATGAAGCTGCAGTAAAAATATTATTGATTATTTACTAGAATCATTTGATGACTGAAGTACTTGTTTGGTATTTCAAAGGGCACAATTTAATTCATGCATTTTAATGAAAAGCCCTAATAAATGGGTTAACTTATCTTTTAGTTCATAAGGACATTTATCATTCTGTCTCAGACCTTTGCCCTTGATTGAGGTATATAATGATCTTTGCATATAGGGGCTAAACATATGAGACAACATGATATGTTTTATAGCTCATTTTATGGAATCACACATGCAGGTGAATTTATTACTTTGAAATTACAGGAAAACTAATGTACATGACGTATGAAGTGTCGATATAGAAAATCACTCAAATGTTGAAATCAGGTCAACTGGTTTCACAGAACAACATCTTTAAATGTAGAATGCTCCTTTTAAAAATGAATGTTTTTAGAAATTGATTAATTGTCGAAAATTTTTACATAAAAGTATTTATGGAATATTCTCCGAGTTTACACATTATGTATATCATTATTCAGTGAAACATTTAGTGATTGGTGAAATATTTTTTGATTCATCATCATCATTTCATTACAAGTGTCAACATATTTAGTGTGTGTCCAGTGTTATCATAAAACTAATAGCAAAGTTCTCAATTAGAGAATATCAAGGTAATTAACAGCCTCAGGTACTATCTATGAATACTATCATACAATCATGCTATATGATTGTACCTATGATTGATCTGTCCTCCGCTATTAGTTCATAATTTAATACTGTTCTCAGTTCTTTGTAAAATTTGAATAAATTCATGTGAATGTTTCGTGTTTTTTCCAATTCGGGAGTACCAGTATTCGCTTCATTCCTTATATATTTTTACTTTGTTTTTGTTGACGTTTTAATTATCCATCTTGCATTTCAAGATATTAGGACAATATGATTACCTTCAGGTTATAATATTATAGCTGCCCTATATAGTACTAAGGAATTATATAAATACATGTTCAACAAAACATGATCAAGTGTTCAAGCTCTTTTTGATTAATAGTATCAATTATGTTAGCTAAATCTGGCATGGCATAATGGGTCAATTATAAGATGGTTCTGCAAATTATCAGTGTTGGCGATTCAACTGCTCACTTAGACACATAATCTATAGATGTATCCCTTAATTCAATTCTATCAGCTATGGAAATGATTGAAATACCCTGGACTTAAGATTGGTTACAAATAATACTGCTGAACAGCATTTATACCATTATACATGATGAATTATTCATAATTTCATAGTATTTTTCACTCAGATTCATTACCATTTCCCTTGAGATCAATTGTAGTTTATGCTTAATGCATTATACAGATAAATGCAGCAAGATTTTCAATATGATTTTAAAACATGAGGCAGATAAAAAATCAGGCTGAAAGATAAAACATCGGGCTGAAAAATGCATACACTTTCAAGATATGTTCAGAATAGAGAGGTATTTGGATAAAATAGATATACCTGAACAAGTACAGGTCACAGGTCTTATTTTGGTAGAATCATTACTCATAGCCTCTAGTCTTGTAGTTGCTCTAGTTAGCAACTAGGTAGATAAAGAGGTACTCTACCTGATAAATCAGAATGGAGGTAAAGTTAATTAGTTCACAAACTCTGTATTTTTTTAAGGTTCCAGGTCCCCCAGTTTTCTACCTACTGACTCCACTTTGCATGTTTACGTATAATATGAATGCAACACATCCTCCGAGCGATTATTTATACTTTTAAAAGTTAAACCTTCCAAGACTGAAGTAAAGTAAACCACCTGTATCACTACACTTTATTGATGCCACCACCATAAGTGGGGACACCAACTTCGTTAAATCTGCCATTGATTACCATGTGGTAAAAGCCTTGAAATGTAAACTGAATAAATGCTAATCTGAATGCTTTTTATTGGTCCCAGTAGCGTCTGGTTGAGACAGGTTTCAAGAGTGTTTGCCTTCAACATATTCTGATTTATCGTATGATCTGTAAAACGAAGCCTTCTGATTGGTCAGTTCTTGTGCTGTACCAATCTGTATTGCTACTGAGATCGTCCCCATTGATCATCTCCATTGCATTACAGAAAATATTGGTACGGAGGGGACATTCTCAGTAGCAATACAGAGGATCATATGATAAAAACGTTAGAGAATGATTTGAAGTGCAATACAGGATATATTCTGCTCTCGATATTCTGTATTGGCACTCGACTTTGTCTCGTTCCAATACGGAATTTCTCGAGCAGAATATGTCCTGTATTGCACTTCAAATCATTCAATAACTTATATTATCAGAGTCACTTTTTATCTAATGCTTCTGGAATCTCAAGATGAATGATAAATTTTATGAATCTCTCTGATACCGGAAATTACATCATGCCTTGCATTTGTATTTATCACTTATATTTTCACTTGAACCTTTGTGGCTTGCACAATTGATTTATTGAAAGTTTACTTTTAAATGTGTAATTCTTTTACATCATCTGATAATATATTAATATAAACTGAAGAGGAGGTATTATATCAGCGAGTAAATACTGCAGGGCTATAGGCACAAATGTTTTCTTGGTTCAAATTAAAAAAGCTTTTGTGCCTAGCCCTAAGGTATTTATTACTTGATTATAGCAATCTGAGGTCTATATTAATATATCCAAGCTCTTTAAATTTAATTAGGATTCGAACCTGAAAACTCCTCATAATCGTCTGTTTATTTCCTATTCCCAAGTTTGAGTTTAGCAGTGAACGAAACACTTAATACCAGCTAGGTATTGTATCGAAGAATAGATACCGAGTGAAATATATTGACTTTGTTCACAGTTTATAAAAGGTGGGAATACAGTCATGTTTGAATTTATTATATTATTTTATTATGATATTCATTATTGACAGTGTATGTGTTAATGATTTATTGATACAGCCTGTGATGTTTTCATTGCCAAAATGTTAATTTCACAGAAATTTTTAAATCACTTAGAAGTTTTACAGCTACATGCAACTTCAGTGACTCAGAGAGTATTTACATTGGTAGAGAAAATACAAAATAGAATGGTACCACTTTGCAGTTTCCATGTAATAGTCTTTTTTAAAGATGTTGAATTTTCAGGGCTGTACCATTTATGAGATAAAGAAATTTTGGGTAAATGGACAATCATTGCCAATTATCTCATATTGACTGTAGTCCCACTGTTCAGTTGGACTCTTTTTCAGGATTTTATTAGCAGTGGGTGATTTTCATCATTTGTTAAAATCACAAAATCACTTGTTGTTTTTAGACTTTTCAACTTTTCCATGTTGAATTTATGATTTCTATTGATTTTGCCTGTTGTTTTCATTTATTTAGCCTGTTGTGAGATATACTAGTGAAACCCCTGCTTCATGCTCAGTTAATGTATGAAGACGTGTTAAGGAGGTTCCACGGGTATAACCAAATGTACTGGGATATTTAATGGGAGGGGGTCAATATTTGAACACCTTTTTGAAAATATATATGGCTTATATGCATTAGTGCTCACCTTTTGAAGAAAAATAAATGAATAGAAATAAGAGTTTGCCCCCACCCCTTTGTCTGCTACTATGAAAACAACAAACCATTTTTTGTAAAAACAACCTTATAATTAAGTGGCCCATCCTTTACCTTTTTCATGGCAAATGTCAAAACTGTAAACACCCTTAAATGAAACACCCTGAGGAAATTGTTAAGTTTTGTTTATTTTTGGGTCAGCGCTGAAAGTATTATAACAGTCAGTAACATAGTGGGAGTTTGTTTTTTGTGAAGTTCAGCTCTAAAAATAAAGGTGTAGTCTATAAGAAGACATCCATGATCAGCTACTTGGAATTTAACCTCCATTTTATGCAACTGATGATCTGTTATGGCCTTACATGTTGGATTATGAAAAGTTGTTGATCTGTCGATATATTGGTGGTTATGGTGTTCAACAGGTGGATGAATTGACATATTGAAGTAGAAACTGAGTGAGAACAGAGAACAGGTAAATGGAATGTGACAAATTGTTTATTTGTATTTTTAAATTTTTTTACCCGGTTATAAATTTTCCACATATTTTTTACTCTTGATTTTGCTTCATTTTTGGAAAATGATTCATTGACTCTGTGATTGACCTTAGTGTATGGATTTTGCCTTTAGAAAAATTATTTTCTCGTTCAACTTGATCAAGAGGCAACAGCTTGAATCTGATTTATTCTGTCTGTTGTACAGTATATCAGTTTGTTTTTATATTAACTCGAGCTTATAAGGTGGTAGGAACATGTTTAAAAGGTGAAGACTTTATCTATCAAAAATTCTCATTTTCAAGGTTCTGCTCAATTTAGTCAAATCATCCCATTTTATCCTGATTTATACCAATATTTCCTATTTAAGGGCAACTATTCAAAATTTTTATAATTTTTAAAATGATAAAAAAATGAAGTTAATGTAAAGTTTCAAATAAATGTAGTGACAATTAGGTCACTGTTCTATGTCAACAATTTGTGTGTTTGATGTTGAAGTTATACAAAATACATATGTACATTTTCCAAATCAAATGAATAGTGTAGTTTGTATTCTGTAAAACCTGCTATAAAACCTTAAGTGAAACACTTTCAAGTAGAACATTTAAGAGTGACCTGAGGCGTACCACAAATACAAGTTTTACTGTACCATACACTTTACTGTAAAGTTGAGTAAGCAACAGGTGGATGATGTACTAAAATAGGACTTGAGTATGAGGAAATAGTTTTGTAATCCTAACGTCACTGATTCTCTACACGCAGTGCAATAAGGCAGAATTCATAATTATATAGAACAGTTTTAAATGTGACTTAAAGAACAGTTTTAAATGTGACTTAAAGAAATGGTGCTTGCTCCTTATGTCGTTAAGTTCAGTTAATCAGGAATCAGGATGGTCAGCTAACATCAGCATAATCCGTATATATTGGGGCCCCCCTATATTGGTTAACATGATTAGGGAGAAAGGTGCCTAGTATGTTATACCAGTTTTATTACTTTATATTTTACTTCAAGTTGAGTCATAAATCCCTAGTAGTACAACTGTACAAGGAAATTCCACCTTTTCCTCTTACTATATTTATCAAGATTCTATTTTATAAAGTCAGAACACTGTGACATTTTATAAACTGTATATGGCTTTACACTAGTTGTGGTGAAGACAGGTGTAAACAAACTGTATTTGTTAAGGTATGTGTGGAAGGTTGTTATAGCAACAGATAGTTTCCAGTTGCAAGATGTTGTCAGTTGGCATGGTAACCATATGTTAGAATCTTTGTTATGTGAATACACCTTGAAATATCTTATGCCAAATGTGACTAATGAAGTTTGATTATAACTTTCATTGACTTATAGTGATTGGAATTGCGCAGAACCTGATAGTCAGGGATTTTTCTTTAATTTGCGCTTATTGCATTTTTTTGTTATTGGTTCCACCTTTTTAATCTACTTGTACATTTTTGGATTTATGATATGACTATGGATGATTATCATATATGGGAGCTCCTTATTGAAGATATTGATATGACTCATGCAAGTCACATGGTTTTTAATAATCAAAACGTTAATCATTAAACTTCATTGGATCAATCTTATTCTGTCTTTTCAGGAGTGACTTCCAAAAGGGAACAATAAAGAAATCAAAATGGCAGATGAAAGCGGAATGCCCTCCACCTATGAAACAAAAACAACTACTACAAGTAGCTCATCTTCGGGACCACGCATTAATGTGAATGTAGACTATATTAAAACTATACCAGGAATCCTCAAAATTGTAGAAATTGTAAGTATTTCTTAAATATGATTATCTTTGACGGAATTCATAATTAGATTATCATGGGATTAAGTCTAAAGATATTAAATCTGAAATAATAGAAAATGCCAGAGAAAATCAGAAACATTCACACGCATACTCTAAAGCATGTACATGTAATGTCAAAAAAGCTATGAATAAAATAATGATATATAAAATATAAAATAAATAACATACACTTTATTATGATACATGCCTTGCTTATCTGGATAATAGCTTACAACATGATATCAGAGATCACGATAGTTGAAAAAACTTGTTAGCCATTGTGGCTAAATCTTCCAAAATATTTTTAGCCAACCAAAATATGAATTAGCCATTTTGAAAAACCGTAAAAAAGGGAATTCGCAATAGAGGTGTCACGGTCCAAGAAAATTTCGGTACGGTACGGAACGGTACAAATGGTCTCAACACGTTACTTTCGGGATGGGACGGGACAGAACATTAAAAATGATGAAATGTCTGATGATGACAGTTTCACTTTCAGTTTCACTTTTCAAAATCATATTCAGGAATAAAAAAACGTCCATTAAAATTGAATGTAAAGCATCTGCCGCGAATGTGATCGGCATTTCACATAGTCTGCACGGTGTAATATTACCAATTCGTTTACCTTGTGATATCGGAGTCCCAAAATACTTCCAAACTGCCGACTTTTTCGACTTAGATGCCGGCTCGATTTTTCAATTTCTTTCCTACATCCGGCATACTGATAATGCACTAGATTTGCGAACGACGATAAAGAAATTTACGAACAAGCATTACCATCTACCTGAAATCGCGGGTCCGTTAATAACACTTTTCAATGCAAAGAAGTGTAATCTAGGTACGAGGTAAGTGAAAATATTTCAGAACGAAATCGGAGGTGTTCCTCGCTATTTATACACGTTTTTATGCATTTTAGTGAAGGAATCTATGTACCGATATTAACCCTTCCTGTCCCATGTCCCGAACCGAAGCATCTGGACCGAAATTCGGTCCAATATCGGGAAACCGTGACACCTCTAATTCGCCATAACTGCGAAATACCTTTACATATTTTTCGCCACCTCTTTCGAAAATTCGCAATTGGCGAATGGCGAACGTCTACCGTGATCTCTGATGATATGTTGCATTCCTGAATAATGATTATCCAAAACTTTGTAGAAGTAACAGTATTTAAGTCTTGCATCAAGTCTATCCTAACTCCCCCCTGCTTCATGTATATTCTTGCTCACAGTATATATGTTATGTTATGGGGTTACTTGGTATAAAATGCTTGATGCAAGACTAACTTGACCAAGAAAATGCTGTAATGGTTTGATTTTGGTATATATGGTTGCTTTTTGCATGTTGTGAAACTATTATAAAACTGCATTTTGTCCCCCTAATCTTTTATGTCACCACCAGAAGTGGTGACATATTGTTATGGTCTCCAATTCATTTGGATGGCGGTTGGTGTATGGCAGTCAGTGTCTGTAACAAACAGGTGGTGACATTTTGCATCTTAATGCCTTGTTTTAATTATCTTCCTTCCTTGATCAATGGGGATTCCTACCAGAGTTGCTACATTCTGACATTGAAAGAAATATTGGGGAAAATCTAAGTCTATGTATACCAGCTGAATTTGCATTTATATTATTGATTTTATTCTCCCGGCCACAATCACCAAGTTCGTGAATTAAATCTCTTGCATACCAGAGCATTTCATTATTGGACCAATTTTACAATTTTTCAATCTTAAAACCTGATTTGGTGTTCATTCGGCAGACATACACATTTAAAGGTCATTTTGTTGAAATGTAATCTGTCCAGAGTAATGCAGGAGTTTCATTGCAATTTATGACAACAAGTAACATTGAATGGAGACAACAGGCAAAATATTGAAAATTATAATCTCCATATGGAAATAGTTCTGGTAAAAGCAATTGGAGAAAATCACATGTTGTTTGTGGGTAATGAAAACATATATATCTGTTGATCTGGGCACACAAGAGGTGAATGGCATGTGTTGTGTTGTAGGTGTTAAGTTTGATCACATTCATATGTGGAGTGATTTGGCCGTGGTGGCAAGCCCAGGGTGGAGCCTGGAATGGTTTCGTTTCCATGACATCATTCATTTGTTGTATCGTCTGGTTGCTCCTACACGTCAGCAGTTTGATCAGCCAGTTACCAGGACCATGGATGCTCATCGTAAGTTAATCATTTGGAAAAAACACCAAAAAGTAGTTACTCAACAGATCAATCTTCCAGGACCATTGGTTTTAAGTTCTTATGGGAAAACCTAGAGAAAATATGACAGCTGTTTGGCGCAAATAGTCGGAACCCAGGACCATGGATGTGTAAGTTTGTCATATAATAAACATAGCCAGCTATGAGGGTCGTTGATACACATTGTAAGTTAATTTGAGCGAAACATATAACATCAGGGAATTGTGACTACCAGGAGCCAGAAGCTGAAGCTACAAGGAGTGGTAAGAAGAAGAGGTGTTATCCCATGGTTCATATTTGAATCCTAATTATCTCTTTGTGCACTTCTATCATTTATCACAAAATTTCTACCATCTAATTTCTGAAAACAAAAGTATCTGCCATTTCCTTTGTGTAAGTAAAAAGGGTAAAATAACCATTTGGTGAAAAACTCCATACAATACATGGGTGTAGAACTGGTACTGTATTCACCCAATCAGACATTAGACATTAATATACTATAGTCAGACTCACACCATTTTCATAGTTAGTGGTTGTTGAACCTTCATTGGAGGCCATTAGATCCTTCTCTCCATTGGTACAAAGGTCTCAGATTATGTCTCTCCTTAAGTCTGCATTGCAGCAATGGAAGAGGTTGGTGGCCAGCAAGTTTTTAGGAATGCTCATGCTGACCCTGTCCATGTTTCATTGTCCGATCAAGCCTGACCATTCTTCTGGGTTTTAGCAAGTGGAGATAGTAGAAGTAGTTGAGTTTCAGCATTGGGCATCTTGCCTATGTGATATGAACGGTTCTGTAATGGTCCAAGAGTACAGATGTTAAGGCTGCTGCGAAGGTGGCATTCATATCCCGTGACTGCCAGTTGAAGCCCTCTACTGAAAAATTTAGACATGGCAAAATGTCAGTCTGTGAATATCAGTTGATGTGTTAGATGTCTTACTTCTTCACTTCTGTTTGTAACGTCAATTACAGTGGTTTAGTTCCTTACTCCGACAGTTAAATCTTGGAAAGCGTATCTGTCATAAATGATATTACACTCCCAAAATGCAATCTGATTTTCGACGCTGTTTGGGTGGCAAATTTCGGTGATGTTTCGGCACCAAATGAACTGACTATTGGCTGTGTATAAGTACGTTGTCTAGACTACACTGTACATCTATCTTTTTCCTGAACTTTCTTTTACATTATTGTCATGGTGATAGGTATGATGTCAATATGCAACTTATCTAGCAATCAGAAAGATAACGATGAGCAGCTTTATCTGGCTTCTTCATTCCCTCATTGCATTGCATATACCGGTATTTATTAATGCCATTGCAAAAACTCCATTAAAACTTTATTAACAATTAGAAACTAGCCTAAATAATTGATTGCTTGCTTGCTTGGTATTGAGGGCTTGTTATATACTAATGGATGCTCTCTGCTGTTTTAAATGCATTTTAGGAGTATTAATATGGTATCATACATACATGTACTATGGGGAACGAATTACACTGACTCAGTCAACTAATATAAAGGTACATGCATATGTGTGATCCCTGGCTCAGACATGGGAACTGACAGAGTTGCCGCATGTTGGGGATCCCACATAAACTTTTGAATGGCGCATTTGTTGTAGGTGCTAAGTTTGATCACATTTATATGTGGGGTGATTTGGCCGTATTGGCAACCCTATGGCGGTGGCTGGAATGGATTTGTTTCCATGGCGTCATTCGTTTGTTGTATCATCTGGCTCCTCCTGCATGTCAGCAGCCTTATTGGCAAGCTGCCAGGACCATGGATACTCATTGTAAGTTGACATTTGAAGAATACACCAAAAAATAGTCGCTCAACAAATCAGTCTTCCAGGGCTATTGATTGCAAGTTATTTTTGGAAAACCTGCAGAAAATATGAGTGGTTGATGTAAATAGTCGGAACCAAATTATACCAGGACCATGGATGAATGTGTAAGTTTATTATCTGAATAAACATAGACAATTTTGAGGGTCGTCGATGCATATTTGAGGGAAACATATAATATGGAGGAAACATGACCACCGGGGGTCAGAAGCTGAAACTACAAGGGAATATAGGTGCTAAATGTAAGTTAGCAAATTGGTGAAAAGCCCCATGCAAAGGTGTGGAACCAGAAGTCATGTAACCAGACGCTGGGATATATTTAATATTAAAATACTGTTGTCTGACTATACATACCATTTCCATGGGTACTGATTGTAAATTGAAGCTTCAGATGAAAATATATGCTTTAACAAGTACAATTATTAATTAGACGATGGGTGATAAAAGTTCTCAATCCAGCCATCTTTTCATTTATTCATTGTCATGGTGACAAACACGATGTCACTAAGGAACTCATCTGGCTGTCAGGAATTAATGGTACTTGGGCACTTGGGCTTCTTCTTTCTCTTATTGCATCACCTGTACTAAAACTAAACTGCACAACCTCCTTAACAATTGGAAACGTTGGCCCCATTGATTGAATCTTTGCAAGGGCTTGTTTTAAACTAATGGATGGCCTTCTTTGGCTCTTCAGTTTATGAATGCATTTTGGTAGCACTAACATATTAGAATATTGGGAATGAGGATATTTGACTGAATGCATCAACAAGTATGGAGGTGCATGTGTTTGAGATCCCTGGCTGTGCCATTGGAACTGTTATGGCTTGTGCCTCGATTGGTTAGGAGGTTTGGAAAGGCTGCATGGTTTCTAATGTAAATAGCAGTTATTTAACACAATTGATTGTGTCTATATGATGCTATCTAGGTGCTCTCTCTGATAACCTTTATCTGCGCTGTGGTAGCGTGGTGGGGCAGCTTACAGGGTTGGGTGGAGTTTGTCTCCATCTCTTCCTTCTTTAGCACAGGGCTCCTCCTCATCTTCTACATCATTGGTCTCATGGATAGGATGCCAGGATGGAGGCTTCTAATTGTAAGTACAGTTTTCATTCATTGTTGTGTTGTTTACAACAATGATGTTGGAAAAGTATCAATGTTAGTACACAGGGGCGGAACTAGGAAGCAACAAGGGGGGGGGGCCCAAAGTTCAGGTCAGTGAAAAAATTGTCAGCACTTGCGCGGAAAAAAATTTTGGGTCCCTAAAATCCATAAGTGGGCCCAAATTTTGAAATTTTGAGGCCCATTTTCTTTAAAATTTGGCCTGAAATTAAAAAATAAGGCCTTAAAAGGCCCAGTAATGACCAAAAAGGCCCACTTTTTGGGGCCTGAAGGCCTTGTTTGGCCCAAAAGTTTTTTGGGCCCAATTTTTTTTTCTGGGCCCACCCAAGGGGGGGGGGGCCCGGGCCCCCAGTCCCCCCCCCCTAATCCGCCAGTGGTACATCATTCAGTTTTTAGTTAGACAAAATGATATTAGAATTATGATTATGGATGGATGTTTCTCAAAACACCTGGGATAAAATATATATTTTAACTCGGAGAAATTTAAATTTCTGTTTGGAGTATTAGCATTATAGTATGAATGAAGCCTACAAATAGCCCAGAGAATTACAATTTTTTCATCCTGATGGGTTAAGACTGAACATAAGGTTTGTTTTAAAATTTTGTTATGGGTTTAAAGGTATACTCTTAACTCCATTGCTTTCCTTATATAGTTGCTAAACATTTTCTTCATAAAATATGAGAAATTGTTTTAGTATGATCAAAAGGGATGATTTAAAATTTTGTTGGTCATCTCTAGTACTGCCATAGTATGCTGCCATCTTTCTAACAGGGAAGTTAATAAGCAAGGAGATTGGCAAAAATTGACTTTCATAGAACTTATTTTTTAAGCAAAACCACTCTATATAAATGTGGAAACCTAATATATGTGGAACTTAAATATAGGTGACTTTGCGCTTCTTGTATATTGTTTCAATATATGAAAATTAAGAAGTATTTTTTAAAATGGCAGCCCTTTGAAATGAACAAAATATTTTTAAGTGATCAAATTTGATATTTTTTTATATTCATCAGGCCCATAGCCAGGGGTGATTTGGGGGGTTTGAAGTGAACCCCCTAGAATTGAACCCCCTCCTTGGCTAATCCTGGCTATGGGCCTATTTATTGATAGTTTATAAATGGTTCTTAACAACCATATCAAGACAGCAACAGGATGGCTAGGAGTATCCCTTTAAAACACAATACACATGCCTATTTATGAGTTTCTATAAAATAATATGTATGACTGTATTCATCTAGTACATTTTGTTAGCACCTTAAAAATTAGCTACCAATGAGTCAATTGTTAGATTTTAAAAATAATGAAAATTTAAGATTTTTGAAGTCAATTCTAATTCAATTTTCTAGAATATAACCTTTTTACAATTGTGTCATGAAACATGTTATCATTGTGCTGTGTTATCAGCCTTGTATTATTTTGCATTGTATACCAGTGGTCTCCCCAGGAATTTTCTCAACGTGGTACAAATCCTAGTTTTCCTATTCTGGTCAAAATAGACCGGTATTGCCAAAATATAGAGATTTTCAACAGGGTGGCATGTAATGTTTAACATAATGCACTGTAGTACCAGGAGTGCAAAACCTGGTTACACCAATATTGGGGAGATCACTGTGCATATAATATACAATAATGTATATTTGAAGTGATTAATTTTCCTAGCATTGATAATTGTAATTGTTATTTTAGGAGTTCATCTACTATTGCGTGTTCACTCTGTTTTTCCTCATCTGTGGTATTGTGGCTGCAGTCCGGGGCCATTGGCACTCATCCATTGGGGCTACTGCAGTGAGTATGGTTTATACATTTATATTTAGTCTCCAATAGGGAGTAGCTGTGTAGTCTGCATCAAATATCTGCCCTCCTGTCTTCACCTCCCGTTGGATTTATTTCACCTCATTACTTCACCTTAATATGAATCTACTTCACTCCATTATGGAGTTACTTCACCTCAATATGAATCTACTTAACCTCATTTTGGAATTATTCCACCTCAGTATGAATCTACTTTGCATCATTGGGGAGTTACTTCACCTCAATATGAATCTACTTTACCCTATTGTGGATTTACTTCACCTCAATATAAATCTATTTCGCCTCATTACGGAGTTACTTTACCTCAATATGAATCTACTTCACCTCATTACGGAGTTACTTTACCTCAATATGACTTTACTTCACCTCATTTTGGACTTACTTCATCTCAGTATGAATCGACTTTGCGTCATTGGGGAGTTACTTCATCTCAATATGAATCTACTTCACCTCAATATAAATCTATTTCACCTCATTGTGGAGTTACTTCACCTCAATATGAATCTACTCTACCTCTTTGTGGAGTTACATCACCTCAATATGAATCTACATTATCGCATTGTGGAGTTACTTTACCTCAATATGAATCTACTTCACCACACTGTGGAGTTACATCACCTCAATATGAATCTACTTCACCACACTGTGGAGTTATTCATCTCAATATGAATCTACGTTATCGCATTGTGGAGTTACATCACCTCAATATGAATCTACGTTATCGCACTGTGGAGTTACTTCATCTCAATATGAATCTACGTTATCGCATTGTGGAGTTACATCACCTCAATATGAATTTACTTCACCTCATTGTGGGGATTTAGGAGATGAGAGTCACAGGAGCCTTAAGAAAGACTATTATCTTTAGCCCTAATAGAAAGTTATCTTACCTCAGAAAAAATAAGTTTATGTTATAGTGATAAATTGGCAGATCAAAGAATAAAGCCTCCCAATTTTTCTTTGGAGATTTTAAAATTGTTATTGTACACAATTAAGCCCAACTAATTAATTCCCATTGATTGACAGTTCTTGATGCTATAATACAGTTTCTCTAATCAGAGCTCAGTATTTAGATTGCATAACAAATATATACAATCTCCACCTATACGTAATACCTATATATTTTGAATTTCAGTTTTTCGCATTTGCAACAACAGCAGTTTACGCAGTTGACACATTTTTCCAATTCCGTAACTGGAGAGCAAATGGAGGATTGACCACATCATCAGGGGGTGGTACCTCTACAGGAACCACCACCGTTACAACAACCGAGACCACCCAACAATACTAAACAAACCAGTGACAAAAAACATCAATGAAATATCACAATGGTCATTATTATTTCTAGTGTGAAATCAAGTTCAAGTAAAGAGAAATTACCCAGGGTTAAAGTTTATAGGAATTGAGTTCTGACTCAATTTTGTATGGATTGTAAGAAACGTAGCGACTTTATTCAAATATTAAAGAGAAAATGTGTGAAATAATATGACCATAGGGTTGTTTTAAGAACGATCAGTTATAAGGTTTCATCATATCTATCATATTTATACATGGGATGTTATAATTATTATTTAAAGGAATCCACAAGATATAGAAATATACAGAATTTTAAGCACATGTTTTTCCTGGGGGAATGTTTTAAGCGAATGTTTGTGCTGGGAAGATAGTTTCCAAATGCCTGTGGAAATAACATTTTATATCATTTAATCATTTGGATAGCTCTTGGCTCAACATACCATATCATGCTTTAAAATGTGCCTTATGTGTATAACCTTAAGAGTTGTTGATTTATGAAGAATAGGAAATAAATAAACCAGTCTAAAACTTATGGTTGTGATATCACAATTAAAGCGCTGATTATTATCACTCATAAAAGTGTTACACAATTATTGTAAGACCAACCAGGAAAATCCTGCATTTATTACAGCATCTAGCTGTCTAGAAAAGTGTGACAACAATCCAGCCTGTAACACATAGCTGTCTAGAAAAGTGTGACAACTTTCCAGCCTGTAACACCCAGCTGTCTAGAAAAGTGTGACAACTATCCAGCCCGTAACAAAGTCATGCAAGTCTTCAAATGTTCAATGGTCATTTCATTTGTATCGTATTCCGTAGGGAATGATTAAAACTGAGTTTAAACTGTGTTGATTTTATACACTTACATGGATAATGTTGAATGTTTGTTACCTTTTTATTATTCCAAACCTTGCCATGACATGTTAACAAAGGAGGATAAGTGGATCCCATAGTTCAACTGTCGATAGATTCATGTGCTAACAAAGGAAGATTAGTAAATCCCATAGTTCACCACTACCAGGCAAGACCCTTATGTGCTTTAAAAATCATACATACCAGAGGGACCTTATACATGTATATGCAATTATACATACCCCAATCTTCTGTCATTCATCTTCGTTGGTCACTGACAGATGGGCTTATGGTTTTACTATGTCCTCCAATATGTCAACCAAACATAATATTTTCTGAAAGTAATACTGTATTATGTGACTTTATTACTATTAGTGCTGTTAATGATGAAATAGGTTTGGCTCCTTTAGCCACTTTTACGGATACTTGACTTTTACCTTTTCTTAAGTTTTGACTATCAAAACATCAAGATTCAAATTCAAGCTCCTGAACTAAGTGTATATAGATGTATATATACCAATTGAAAGCTATATAGGAATCAAAATGAAATAATCTCTTTATAGGAACATCTTGCATATTTCAATTAAAATCATTATGAAGAAAATTGTGCATATTTTAAGCTATGTTGTTATGGAAAATCGAACAAAGAAGTGATCCACCTTGTGTCATAAAACCAGTATATTTAATATATTAATCCGGGTGCCAATGTATATATTGTAATTCTTTTAAGCTTAGGGTTCAAATATTCATATTATATATTATATATATTCATATTTTATATATTGAGCTAATTGGTAATGTTTCTACATTTGAACTGTTGTTCTATGCTTAAATTAAAAGTACTTGTGGTTGTGAATACTTCTTGATAGTTAACACCACAAAATGTGAATACCTTTTTTCTTTTATTTTTGTGTCTCCTTAGGCTTCCAAAAATATTCTACTCATTTATTTTTATAAATAAAACTTCATTTGTTGTTATTATTTATTTGTTATACAAATACCACAATTATTTTAATCAATTCACAATAGGAAGGGGAAAGCATTTTTGGTACTATTTTTCATGATTTTTGGCATTATTCTCCATAATGTTGGCACTATTTTTCATGATTGTTTGTACTATTTTCATAATTTTTGAAGGTGTTTTCATTTCATTTACTTAGCTTGGGGTGGAAATATTTTTTCTTTTCAACTAGAATTAAATCATGAGTGACTTCTCCCACTAGTCTCATTATGTATTGTAGTATTTTTAAAATCATCAGCACATGTTCTAAAATCGCTGTATTATATATAGGTGAACATTTGGAGGTATATTTGATTTTGCCTAGAAATATATAATATATACTGTAAAGTTGGTTGAGTTTACTGAATATATTTAAATCAATATTAATAGTGCTAGTGGTTTAGGGAAAAATGAAAATTCTCTCTTTTGAATTATCTGATTTGTAAACATTTTAATTTAAAGGGTCTTTTTGATATTAAAATTTAGCCTTGAATGCAATTAAACTATAAGCCAAAAGCTTTTGACCAAATCGATTGTTTATAATTATCCTAGAAACAAAGTGCTTTTCATTTCAATATTAACTAATATTTGTTATAAATAATTGAATTGAATCTTGGATTTTGTTTGTGTGTCTTTGATCTTGTTACGTTAGAGTTTGCTCCTTCATTTTGAAATTCTGTCTTTGAGTTTAGAAACACCATGTTATGTGAAAAAATTGGAACATTTTATACAATTGATTTCTTGTTTATTAAAATATTTTAGTGGTGATGAAAGAAGAAATGAAATATTGTCGAAGCCACCAAATTTTGTTTGTAAATGGTGCAGATGTCTACCATCAATATCTGTAACAGATGTTACACTTTGATAGTTGTAACAAGGTCATTTTGTCATGTTAACTTTTTGTTATAGGTATAAATAGGTGCTCTTTAATATCAATGCAAATGTATACTGTTTTCATGTATGATGTTTAAATGCGTATGAAGCTTATTGGTTAATACATGTATTATGGATATTTTTATAATTTCTGATTCAGGTCTTGTACAAGAGCTTCCATGTTAAATAGTTTGTAAAAACGAACCATTAGTAATTATTTAGGTTTTAAAAACCTTTGAAATATCTGAATGTCATCGATTTAATGAATTAGATATCCTTACCCAATGAACCTCTTCAGTGAAGTAATCTGATTGGAGTTCAGAACACTTATTTTGCTTCCATGTGATGTTTTGCAAGTGATGTTAGAGATGTGTATTATTGTACATTGTGTATTGTACATTGTATATTGTTAGTTAACTACTATCAAATCATCTAGTGTACTCTCTGATTTATAACTAAGATTTATATATATATACGTAAAAGTTGTATTCATCACATTCAATAAATAATGAAATTGTATATGTCTTTTTATGTTTGGTAACTTATGGGGCTGAAATAGGCTTGAAATTCCTATAAAAAATAGTCATTGAAATAAAAGTAAGTAATTGATTCTACTAACATTTTAAGATTTGCACAAGTTTGTTTCTAAGTGTTTTTTCAATTAAAAAGTAAACTAGAAAATTTATGGCAGAATTGCTTGCAAGAAGAATATATTCAGTAAATATTTAAAAATGTCTATCTTTCATGACTTTGAATTTTGTGTGAACATGGATTGTGTTTAGAATATTTGTCACATTGTACAAAACTGATACAAAACAAAGTAAAATAGTAAATACAATCACTATAAGTTGAATTGTGAATTTCTTTTCTTCTTTTTTTTTATCTTTGAGTTGGCGGTGACTTGCTATTTTCTGAGGCCTTTATCATCTTAATGTTCAGGCCTGTAGCCAGGGGGGTTCGCAGGGTTCGGGCGAACCCCCCCCCCCCTGGCCAAAAATTCTTTCAAAATCATGCAGTTTTTCACCATTTTGAGCACTTCTCAAGTGATTTTAGCCATATTTGGGCCAAAATTGTCAAATGTGAACCCCCCCTGGAAATTTTTGAAAAATGAACCCCCCCTTGGCAAATCCTGGCTACGGGCCTGATGTTCAACACCAATACTAAACCCATGGTCCTGTGTATCGGAAGACTGCATTAGCAATGACATAGTAAATTACATAAAAGAGTTTAACATTCTGGAATTTATATCTTGGATATACATATAGTCCACAACATGCTTCTGCTACTTCAGATGGGTATGATGAATCTATCCATGCTGGAATATTGTATATGCCTGCACATACCACTGTTATTACGATAAGCACCTTTTTATTTTTATTTACAGTTATCAATGTTCCCCATCCTCTTTCCACATGTAATCATGTCTGCAGTATACTATACTTTACCCTGCGTGCAGAGTCTAGTTAAACTCGAAGCTCTCTTTTAAGAAGTGAAGTCAAACGAATGCAAAGGGTAACTATACTTCGACAGTGCTATCATTTGTTGTATCATTGCAAACATTAGCTGAAACTGAACTAACGTTTCCATTCATTGTATGTAGTTCATAGTTATCCGGGGATAATGAAATGTCTTACTCTTGTAAATGTGATTTCCTATGTGATCTGTTTTTATTGAGCTCACGTATCTTTAACAATTAAATGAACTGGTATTGATAAATTCTTACTAGATGTTGTTTCATCGAAATTTATTCATAGAAAACAATTTGAATGTCAGTTCTTGAATTAGAATAAGGATTTTATGAAAAATAATTTTTTCCACTTAGAGGAGTTAAATTGATAAAATTGTTGGAAGGTGTCATTAATCTAACTAAGTGGGTTGGAATATCAATGTGAACCTATTCTACTTGATCAATATTACTAAGCAATTTATTGTCATTTAGAGTCCCTGGTGTTGTTATACTCTAGCCTATTGTGTAGCTTTCAAATTGAATCGCGATAGTTTATTTGGAAATTGATACAAATTAACAACAAATGCAGCAACAACAATATAGAACGGCAACCTATACGTATCAATCACCCATATACAAATGCATGTAGTTCACGGTTACGTTGTGAAAAACATCGCAAGCTTAAACTCCCTATTGTTTGAACTATAGGCATCTGATATGGTAGCTATCTTTCACAATTTTTTACACTTCTCAGTCCTGTCAACCTGAAAACGCGTGACCTCAACTGTACCAAGGTATAACACCTAATTTGTGCTTTTGAACACCAAAGTTAAGATTTTGAACACCCACACATCAAAATTTCGACACCTTCAATTTTTCGCGCTGGCTTCACTCGCCGTTTCATATTCGCATCAACCAAATTTTTCCTAGAGTATTTTAACTAGTACAGTAAAATCTGTCGTGAATATTTCTCTTAATGAACACCCGTCTCTAGTGGACATCCTTCCTTCGCACATTTGCTATTGACTTCTCTATAAATTACCCTCTCTGTAATGAACACCTACGAACACTGAACATTTTCTCGGCAAACAAATTTTCAAAACACAAAGGTTTCACTGTATAAAGCATGGAAATTAAAATAAAAAATGGTATGCAGTACTATAATTGTTTATATTCGGTCAGAACACACCTGCCCCTTTCCAGGCTTGACTTCGCCCCCCCCCCCTTATGTAGTTTTCAAAATGTCATCACTTCTGGTGGTGACTTAGAAATTAACACTATAGATCTTGAAATACATTTTGTGGACGGCGGTTAGTGTTCGGCGGTCTGCGTCTGTAACAAATGCAACAAATGGCAGGTATTTTGAAATTTTGCATGTTAATGTCTTGTTTACTTTGTATATGTATTTACATAATATACATAGTATATATTGTATAATATATATTATAAAGCATACTCTTGATCTACAATCGTCTCTTCGATAATTCTAAGTTTCTTCCAGATAATTTTTGGTATTGCATAATTGCTAATTGTTTGTCTTTTCTGATTGTTCCATCGAAACATTCACTGGATTGGTTGAATGAAAACTTTCTTGTGACATATTGTAACCACCCTTACTCCCAGGTTGTAACTCGGAATGGCCCGCTGATGGCGCCTCTATATTATGAAATGGCGCGGAATTCGCCGTTGGACTATTTTGGCGGAAGAATACAGGCGGCATTGCCAAAATGTGGATGCTTGGATCTCCCATTAATATTCCCTTCTCCAACAGTACGATCCTCGCCCAATAAAGAGTGTCTCCTAGCAACGTGAAGAATGTGAAAAAACCGAATACCTGAAATTGAAATTGATAGTTTAAACGAAAACATCTTTTGCCAATTAGCTTAATTTTGAATAAATTAAAATGATTATATAAATGATATACAGTGTAGCATAACATTGAGTGAGAAATCGTTATCTTTTTGGAGAATTCAAATGAAAAAAATTGAAGAACATATTTAAAGAAACAGTTGGATGATCCATCAATGTTTAAGAGTAAATTATTTAAAACGTCCCATATGCTTAATATAATCCACATCAAAATATCAGAGACAGCTCAATTGCAAGATAATGATAAAATGATGGGTGACAAAAATTTGGTTTAGAAATAAGGCAAATATGCGACAAAGGAAACGTACACATGCACCGTTGAACGCTCCCGAGGCGCAGTTGTATCCTCGGTTGGAACCTGCAAAAACGGATGCTGCAATCAGGTAGATGAAGCAATAGATGCCATGGACAATCAACTCCTGGAAGAAAAAAAACAATATCTGGAATACAATCAAGCTATTCTAAAGAGATTTACGTTACATTCATTATGGTAAATCACAAGACCGATTCAAAAACAAAAAAACTTACATTAAGGCTTGTAGCGAGAGGCTGGAGCCTCCAGTGTAGGCTGAACAAGCTAAATGTGTGCACGATGAATATCGCTATACAGACGAACCAGAAAGAGAGGGTAACAAACTTGAAGAAGCGTAGCGAGTGGATGTAATGCGTTACATTTGCACACCATATCAATTTGGATTCATCAGAGCTCTCAACGATGATGAAGGCCAGGAGGGTAAAAAACTGGAAAACAAATTTGAAGACAGAATTATTATCCAATATAATCTGTGCTAACAAGATTTGGATCAAAGACATAGAAATTGTATATGGACTGTATATTAATGGATTAAAACCCCTGTATTTTTAGTTAAGTGTTTTTTCCTTTTTTCTTGACGAGACCCTTAATTTCTTTACATCTCAATCGTTTCAATTATATTTGAACGTAATCATGCCAAAACCTACCAGTTCAAAATATTTAAACAAAGCTGGGACACTCTTCATATATTCAGTGTCAAATGCCTCCTTTGTTTTAGAAACGGGATCCACCTGATCAGTGGATAACGATCTCGTTGTGATCACCTCTTCTCGTGTTGCTTGAAACGTTACGCCTGACGGACTGTTGTCAGAAATGTCAATCGTTGTTCCCTCGGGAGGGTTGGTATTTTGTGTCACACCCCCTGGTGTTTGCGGCGGTGCGGGATAGTCCCCAAATTGTGCAGGTGCTTCGTACTGTCCAAATGGGCCTCCTTGAGGGTACTGTTGTTGATCAGAGGGATTATATCCAGGCGTTGTTTGTTCCGAAGACTGCTGTGCTTTAGGGTTAGTCGGGTCTCCTTCCCTTGGTGCCATTTTATGTTGAATTCCTTCAGCTTCTCAAACCCAAATTCTTCTCCCAATAAGGTATAACGTATGATAATATTCACTTTATTCCGTTTTTATTTTTTTAATATAAACCTTTATATGCTTATATCTTGCTTATTTTCCCACGGTTGGTCAATAACATGATTCACTAGCTGATGAGTAAGACCAATATAAAGTATATACATATCTTTTCATATTACATTAAAACAATAGTATAACTCGACTGAATGAACCTATGTTTTGTTGCTGGACTTTGGTTGATTGTTAAGATATCATTAATATAAGTATGTGGATCTGTACCATATCAGATAACCACTCAAAGATAACTGAAATTATCTCAGTATAACAACCATTGTGATTATTAATCATTTTACGAGAAAAAGAAAAGAATTGATTTTCTTCATCCTCAGAGATCTAAGATTGGATTTGAATATCATTTTCCGAGAGAGTAAAAGAGAGAAGTACCCTTTGCATTCGTTTGACTTCACTTCTTAAAAGAGAGCATCGTCTGTAGTTTAACTAGACTCTGCACGCAGGGTAAGAGAGAAGGGCATCCACTAGCAGAGACACAGGTGTTCACTAGAGGGAGGTGCTCACTAGAGGGAGGTGCTCACTAGAGGGAGGTGCTCACTAAGTCAGGTTTTATTGTACAGCTTCTGTGCACAGGCTATGTGTAGTTTGTCAAGCCTATTAATTATTGCCTCTTCTTATTTTAGTTTCTGGTTAGAGCCATGTGCTCTAGGAATAAATATACAAATGCTGTGAACAATCACTCTAGATCATGTACAAAGTCATATAATAATTGGACTAGACTTCAAAAGATGGCGATTTTGGTCACCAAAATATACCTTCAAATACGACGATGATTGAAACCTGTTTTTCAAAAATATGACTAAATTGTCCGTGAATGTAAAGTGAAACACGCACAATCATGTAAATATATCATTTTTATTATTTATATACGCATACTTTGTATGTACATTTAGTAATAAAAGTAAGCCTAATATGTACTACATTCTTGTAGACATTGCTTAGACACTTTACTATAAGATGATTTCCTAATTTCAGTTCATACTCCATACTTTGATTACAAACTTACAAATTTTCTCGCTTGTTGACCACAATGAGGAATGACACCAAGGGTTCCAAATTGATTTTGACCTTGACCTTGATCGACGACAACGTGGCAGAATATCGAGTTGGAACCCTGGGAGCCAATCCTCCTTGTTAACAAAAACTTCAGGTGTACAGATTCCCTGAACACCCCCTCGTCTCCTCAGATGCGCGGCCTTTGGCCACGCAATTACTTGCCGCGCAACTCCAATTTCTGAAAAACCCGACCTTTTCCAAATATGGTCCCTGCTTTTGCACATTTAACTACTCTTAATGAACTTGGTTTTAAGACCTTATTCACTGGCGACTTGAGCATGTACTGTCAAGATGGACGAGTTTATGAGTGTTCTAGCTGTTTCTTGATCACTATAAATAAAAGTAATTGTTAATTGTGTTCGTTCTCTCATAGTCTTAGCCCGGGGTCTTAGTATGTGCAAAGTTGGCTATTCCTCAGACAATCACACCTTCAGAGCCAGCAATGCTTAACCGGTCATCATTTCAAATGGTATGATTTCATTGAATTCAATTTGACCTTATTGGGCTACTTCTATCGTTTGAATTACTGATTATTGTTGCAGCGCCCCCTTTCCTACAAAATAAATATTCACTGAATTGTTGTCCTTCTCCCGATCCTCCGTTAGAGGCGACCACATCAAAGCCATGCTGCAACAAGCGTTGCATAACTTGCAAGGAATTCAGGTTACAGAATCCATTCACAGGGAACCTAATGACGTATCGGCTATCAAGATTATATCCCGTATTTCTAGAGTCCATGAGAGCGGAGTTCAATTCTGGGAAAATCTCTTCCACCAGAGGACGCTCGGCGCTGATACAAACACGTTCTCCGAGGTCGGGAGTGACGTTCACTGCGACACAATCGCAGCATTCTGCCACACTGCCATCTTTATATTTCTTATGCCCTGATTTACGTTTGTTGGACAAATTCTCGATATCTCGGATCATATCGGGTATATCATAAAACTTGGCCTCGTAAAGTAACATGTCGAGGTGTGGGAACGGGTCTGGAAGAAGAAGTTCTGAGGTTCGCACATAGTTGAGAATATAGCGGAAGATCTCACCATCTCTGTCGATGAAGTAGTGCTGTTTGAGACTGTCAAGGACAATTGGGATGCTTCCGTTGAACATCTTTCCAAGCTTCGACTCCGGATACCTGGAATGAAATGGAACATTTTAAAATTAGTCATGTCATAGGTTATCAACGATAGTTTCAAAGTAACAAGAGTATTTACATTAAAGATCAAAAGACGTTTTAAGTTTAGTCTAGCCTTTTATAGATTAGACTTAATATTAGACGTCCGTTGGTTTAGGTCAACTTCAACAAATGTATAAAACGAAACGTCGGTTTAATTCGAGCACCATAACGAATAACGTTCATCTTAACAACGCTCTTTCACAACTCGAAGATACATAGGCACAGTTGGCAACCCATACCCAAACTATTCTTTTTAACTGGTCAAAGAGTGGTGTCGGTGCGCCTGATTTTAGGTTTTGGTCTGGCAATTTCTCAAGTCAATTCTTTATTTCACAAACGTTCTTTGATACAGCTTGATTCATTAAAGTCTTTGAGCTTTAGGCCTTTGGGCAGATTCTATTCCTACAACTCACTCTTGGTATAATCGATTGATTACATAAACCGCAGGGCAACATATAAGACCTGGCATTTTAGCCAAAAGGAAAATATTCAAAGAAAAACGAGATTTTGTGTCTGGTATTTGTGATAATCTTGCACCCAGGGCAAATCCAGCCTCAAATAACACATTGCCATCATCATCATCAGAATGTAATTCCTTCAAAACACCATCGGCAATATTTTCCATTAGTTAAGAAAAATAGCCTAAATGACAATAGCATTTCCGACTGCATGGCTTCTAACGTATACTCTCACACTAAAAAGTAGTTGCTTGCCTCAGTTAATATACAAATAAAATATACAAATAAAATATACACGTAAGCATGCCTTGACATTACACATTTTCTTCCGATATTTCCAAGTGCAAATAAGGTTTAAGTCAGAATCATACTCCGGGTGTTTCAATCCTTGTTATGGTTTGTGAAAATTATTTGGCAAAAAGTGAAATAATTTATATGACATGGTCAAAATGAGCAACATGGCATTTAAACAAAATTGATCCATAATGCTAAATATATCTCGAGGTCACTTGATTCAATGTCCTCGTGTCAAATTACGTCTATGTCAGAAGTCTTAAAACGAGAAACATAGATACACGGTGATAAATATTGTTTTCTAATTCCAAAACAGCAGTCTTCAAAACAAAATAGATCTTCATGTAGATGTTCATATTTCTGGGAACATTCTTTATGGAATCCCCCCAAACCTTGCGAAAAGCGATTAAAAGATTTCAGGAGGGCCAACTTTTCAAAATGGCTGCCTTATAACATGTATATAAGCTCAGCATGCATGTCTAGAACAAGGTCCAAGTAGGAAGAAGCAAGGGTCAAGTTCTGAAAGGAATCCGTGCAAATCTTGCTTGTTCTACTTTTTATTGAGGAAATTAGGATAAGTCTAAGCTTTTTCTGATAGATAAATAAGTGTATAATAAATTCCTTAAATTTGGTGTCTGTTAATTCATGCAATAAACGGATTTATTTCTCATTGCTCAGAGTATTTAATCAAGGTTAATTTTAACCAATACAAGATTAAACTATTTTTACCGAAATATGACCAAAATGCCCCATGAAATAGTAAATATAAAGTAGGCGATTGTTCAACTTTGAAGATACAACAAAAAATAAAGGTATACTTATTTATTTATTTATTACAGTGTCACCCGTAATTATACGGCCAGCCTCCAAAGGCTTATGAGACACAATTACAATCATATTATAAGCAGATAAGTCAGAATTAACACTTACTTTAATCTATCTTTAGCCTCCAAAGACAAAAGCAAAAAATTTGAAACATATTTACAGAGTGATTTAGAATTCAATAAGTACATTGTTTTCTTTTCATTATCACAAGACTCAAATAGATCATATATACCTTTTACTTTACAAAACATTTCCTCTCTTAATTTATGATTAACTTTACACTTGAATAAAAAATGAAACTCATCACCTATTTCATTCTTACATTGCCTACAATATCTCTCTTGACTTGGTATATTCTGCCACCTACCCGTTTCAATCTCTAAAGGTAAAGTGCCAGATCGAAATTTAGCTAAAACAGATCTTTGTTTTCTACTCAAAAAATTACAAAATAAATATTCAGACCTTTGAAAAGATAATTTAAAGCTCTTATAAAAAGTCAATTTTCTTTTTTCTCTAATTGTCTCCAACCATTGAGTTTCATGTAATTTCATTAATTATCCTTTCATTTGATTCACAATTTTTTTAAATCTTTACATTTTTTATATCATCATACATATTCAGCATGTCAACACTTTTACATATGCTCTGGATTTCTTCGTTCCAGGTAAAATCACTGTACAGGGTGTCCTCAAAGCCTATTAACACTTTGTATTGTAATGTAGCAACTTTATAGACATCCTGCATATTGAAATTTGTGGAGTATCTGTTTATGAAATAATGTCGTTAGAACGAGAAATTTGCAAGCCATCTGTTTGTTTTATGAAATCAAGATTTTCCCAAAAAAGGAGAAATTCGCGAAGTTTACTTGACCTTATTTAGACAGATGATCAGGAGTTGAGTGGGGACGACAATTCAAGGATCAAATGAACCAGAAATTTTTTATTAATTTCAAGAAAATAATGTCACCGAGCAAACATTTCTAGTTTAACAGTCACAGGCGACCGTTCACTTTTAATAAGACAATTAAACTATGCGGCATTGTTAGCATAATATTCACTTTGGCCCATGAGATGCGAACAAATAGGAATAACCGGACATGAACTTCGGGGAACCCTTGTACGTCCCACCTGGCTCCGTCTAACCCTAAAACCCTTAAGGTCCGATGATACATTTATTTTGCGAATCCATCGACCTACAGGCCAAGGATGATTTTTAATAATGGAATTAAGATGATGATATGGGATATTCCGTTCGTAGAGGTTACAAGCGATCTCATGCTGGATGTATATATGACCATAGGGTGTCTATATCTGAAACAGTCCTTGCATTCGTTTGGAAGTATAAAATGCCAATGGCAAAATGTCTATTATTTCTTCAAACGCTTTTTCACTAATCAAAGAAGCTTATAAATTATTGCTCTGGGTTAGGTTGCCATGGTAATGGATCTTTTCTTTCAAAATGCTTTAGATAAATTATGTTCTCCTAGTTACGCCTTGGGATAAAAATGTGATGTGGAAATATCGAATGATAAAATCTGACTGAGACCAACCAAGTAATTTATAGAACTGGATAGCCATTTAAATAAAACTGAACCAAATAAGACATGTTTATTTTTGCAAGATTTGCTGTTACCATTTCAGACAGTCTCGTATGCCCTGATGACCCACAAAGGTAACATTTGCGAATTCAACTGCCGGTTGACGGTTTCACCTACTATTTTATGGCCAACTCATTTAAATATAAAAAGCATCTGTCACTATCACCGTATTATCTAAGAGTTTGCCATTAGATAATAGGTTAAACCATCAACCGACAGCCGACAAGAGTCTGGTAGCATTCGCGAATTCAACTGCCGCCTGATCGATAATCGATCGATTACCGTCTATTTTTATGGCCAACTCATTAAAATATGAATTGTTCCTGTATACTATTCAGTCTGCCCTACAATAGCGGTCAATAGCGTCAGCCGACAGCCGGTGGTTGAATTCACAAATGCTAGAAAGGGTAGCACTTATCACGTACATCTTTATGTGTTTATGAATGATGGCCTTTGTCCTTGATTTACAAATTTGATAAAATAGTTATTGAAAGGTCTCTTTTGAGATAAAGTCAATTTTTTTAATATGGTAGCAGCGGCGTATCAAGGCATGATGCAAGCGAGGCAACTGACAAAATTATTACAAAATATACGTTTTTTCAATGAAATATTCCATTGGTCTTGAAAATATGAAACGCCTCTTTGAGAATCTTCAAAGTTTACTCGTCTTTTTCCTATGGTAAGAATGAATGCCTCTACCCGAGACAATGGTTTATAATATAAGTTAGCGATCATGATTTTTACAGTATTTCCAAGATAAAATATAAAGATAAAGGTAGCAATACAACAAATCTTACTTTGTAAGTGTTTCTAATGACGAGGTATAGATGGTGCCACCCACATCGATATGAACTGGGGCCGTGTAGCGGGTGGGTGTTGCCGGGAAAGGTACCCCCGATATTTTATAGATGTGATTGTTGTTGGGCACTGGCGACGATAGAGGGGGCGTTGATCCAGAAGACGACATCATGTAACCTCCTACAAAATAAACGCATCATATTATTTCATGAATCTTGAATAATATCTAATTGGCCAATGTGTCGTCGATCTAGTTGCGTTTACATGTAATTTTACATTTGTTTTTTTTTGTTGAAAAACTTTAATGTCCAATATTATAGAAAACACACCAACTGCAAAATACATATTGTATTATGGCCCCGAAGAAATACATTTAAACTCGGTCGCGCCTTGTAAATTATAGCTTTTCTCTGGCCTATTTCCCGAATTCACATTCACACATTACACGCATTATCGAAATGGCTTGGTGAACGCAGTTTATTTGTATACAATTAAACTGAGTGCATTATTTACACTTTTTATGCTAAATCATTTATTCAAACACATCTAGGCAAGGTGTGTCTGATTTCTACCAATCCGAACACGGTATTTCATATAACTGCAGTGCATTATATCATCAATCATTGCATGCAAGGTCGCTTGTTAAATATTTGTTAAGGTGACAACTTGGCTCTCCAGATTGAAATTTATATTTTCCAACTTGACCCTTGCAAAATGTTTCATTGAAAATATGTTCTTTTAGTGATTTTGTATCTTTTTGGTGATTTCGAAAAAAATGTTGCAATGTGTGAAAAGCATTTAAGCCCAAGACTCAATGCATTGTAGCTGCTTCATCCCACTCAGACGTTGTTTCCTAAACTTTGCATTCCCGCTGCGCCGTCATGCAAAGATTGGAAACAACACCTTCAATGAAATGATTCAGGACACAATGCACTGAGTCCACGGCTTAAATCCTTAATACGTATTGCATGGTCATTAATAACATTCTGTGAGTCTCCAATACGTGACTTTAGCATTTTAAATTTCATATCACCAACGAGTAGTGGAGGTAAAGTACTTTACATTTATTTCACATTTAAACTTCTCAAACGCTACTATTCAAACTGCAGGTCAAGAAAGTTCGTTTGAGATCTTATCAGTTCTTCTAAATACTGTAAAAGAGAAGCAGACTGAGTCACGAGTGTGGGTAGTCGATTGTAGCTCAGAGAAGCCTATGTCAAGGCAAGACTAAGAATAGGGGAATTCAAGATGGGAAAAAATATTCATGACATCAGCCTTCCCACTGTACCATTTAATTCATCTTACCGCACTCTCTGAAGAAATTGAAATGTTAAAATACCCACGGGTTCCAATTACTCGATCAGGTTACATGAATGGTAACCAGTCAACTCTCATACTCGCCTCTGGCCTCAAATATTAATTAGAGTTGAAAATCTTCATAAACTAACCCCGTGGGTATGAATTTCATCTGCGGATGCACTCTATTGAAAGGGATAATAATGAAATGTTATCAATACATTTAGACTCGTCAATAAAACGCATATTACAAAAGAGGAACGCGCGATTAAATACCATCGGGGAATTTCGGACTATTCAATTAGGCTATTTGAGTAATCTAAATCACCCAATAAGGAATTAGATTTGTTTTTAATCATCAAGAAAAAGTCAATTTTGCTTTTTGCCGAAAATGCGTGACTTTTGACTACGGTCGACAATGACGCATTTTACTCCAAAATTATTTTGATACACGCAATCTAATGTGTGAGTTCGCAGGCCTTGTAGAAGTACGTTTTGCCGTCCAAGTTGATACACTACATATGCATACATAATATCTACGGGGCAATGGTGCCGATGTGAAATTTATTTAGTCCAAGCCAAATATGGTCCATCCTCAATGGATTTATACCGTGTGACATGATTGCAACTGATTAATATATCCTTATTCCGGTCCAGTATCGGACCTACAGATGAGGACCATAATCCCTGGAGGTCAATAATTCTCTCAGATGGGGCATCTTATCGACGTGTTATACTTTCACGTTTCAATATACTTAGAAACTATATTTCTATCTATATTAGCAATGCATTTAACTTTACGGATAATCTAAACTAAATAACTTTCCTACCTTTAATAACGACTGATGGAATGGACACTCTGCTGAAACTGCGTTGCTTGAATCTGTCTCTTCTTTTGCCTCTTCCCTCTTCCTATACACTTCTAGACTAACTAGTTAATCCACCTCGCTGTTTTATCATGAGTTATAGTGTCGAATACACAGGCAGAAAGATTCTTGCCGGAGGGCTGCCCTCTGGCAAGATTTACATTTCGCGCTACATTCATTTTCTTAAAGGTGCTTAGCGATATAGAATAACATCTGAGGCCGTTGTCGATTTTGCCAGCAGCACTTTGTACTTAATGTTAATAAGAAAGCCGAATTATAAAAACAACTGTTATAAGAAGGCATCGGATGGTGTGAACCATCGGACAGGTGTTGCCATGGTAGTGACTGAGGTTATATGATGCGTAACTATGGCAACGCTCTTGGCGGCACAAACATATGGACATCAGCGAGACGAAGCAACCAAGACATATCAACCATAATTTTCGTGACTATTGTTTAGATACTTTATAAGTCACTGTTAAGAGTCTACAAATATAAAAATGCCATTCATCCAGCTCAATATCACGTTGTCGACATATAACACCAACCCGACGCAGCGAATATATGTTCTCAAATCAGTTGTTTTATAAAAGCATAAAGGCAGCTATTGTCCTCGGGGCATTTTTTGCTCAACTTACTTTTCTAATGAACATTTTCTGACATTGCCAAAGGGTTGGATGTAGTCTCCTTTATAGTACATCTATTCAAGAAAACTTCATAGACGGATTAAAGAGATATGTGAAGGAGACTTTAATCTTGATATCCCCCTGAATAACGTTGCTTAGTGGTCACGTCAAGCTCAGAAATATATATAAGAAAAAACAGGAGCGCACGAAGATTGAATTCTGTAATATCTCAATGTCAGAAAATCTCACACTTCTTTCAAAACTCAAATTAAAATTAGGTGAAATAATGTATCAGTAGCAGACGACAATTCGTTTGGTGATTGCTTTCATAGTGAGGATTGCAGGCGGCACATCTGAGACCATGGATGCCCTGAGGTAAAGCACGCTTGCCTTGATTTAACTGAAATGAAAAGTATTGCTTTTGATCGCATTTTATTTTACTTCCCTTGATTTACTTTACTGCATTTTGAAAGAAAATAAAAGTGCCAAAAGGTTTAAATGAGTTTCATATAATAACAAAGCTAGCTTAATAATGATTTAGCCCAAAGCTGAACGAATGAAGCTGACAATAAATCGCAGAAAGTTTAACTGATTGATGTTTATTTAGCGGTTTTCAAATCGAAAATAACTTACTGCTTTAATAGATGTCACGCTATACACGACCTATAACTCACGAAGAAAAACTCACATGTCCGAAAGATGGCGTCTCGATCATGTATATTAAACCCTAACATTAAAATATAGTACTCTCCATCCTCGATATCCTCAAATCAAAACTATGATCATTTCAGTCAATAGTAGGTTCAATATGGACAATAGAGAGTTTAAGAAAGTACATGAATTAATATTGGAATGTGTCGATCACGCAAAGTTTTAAATGCGGTTCAAGCGCTTTTAGATATAGTCTGCTTCAGATACTCGTTCAGCTTCAGAGTTTCGTGTTTGCAACGGAAAATTTCAAATTTCACGTTGGTTTCAAAGGGAATCATTATACTAGTCTATTGCCATACAATGCTGGTAATTTTGATTTTGATACTCAGTAGAGGTCGCAACGGTACTGAAAACCAGTACCGGTAACCATCACGCTAATAACCGTACCGTTACCGAAATACCGGTAAAAAGATGTAAGATAAAATGCCAATGCGCTGCCACCCCCACTTTGTTCCTAACTCTCTCCGTAGCTTCTCAAGTCTATATGCATACATGGTGCAAGACCGATTTGAACCCTTACTGATGAACTTCACGAAATAATATGTAACTATCTTACGAATCAAGATGTATTTTTAGTTTTAAATTAAATATATTACACATTTCAACAATTGGACAGCTATTTGTCATCAGCATCCAAGTTTATTGACTGTCTTGAGTTCTGGAAAGTAAACGGGGGAAAATATCCTGATGTGGCGAGTTTGGCTGAAACATATCATGTTATTCCTGCGTCATCCGTGTCAAGTGAACGTCAGTTCAGTGCAGCTGGCAACACCATCACTTCCAAAACGGGCACGACTTAAACCTGAGGTTGTCGATGCCTTATTGTTCGTAAATGACTATTACAAACATAATTCAGTTTCTGGATCTGACGTTGACACTACAACTACACCGGAACAGCCAAACATAACTACAACCAAATCTGAGCCTGAGCTAGAAGCTACTACACCCGAATTGCCAAATATGGACATCACATCTCCTGAACTGCCAAACATGGAAATCACACCTGGACTGCCCAAAATGGACATCTACATGTCTATGTAAATGTATGCATCGTGAAAGTTGAAATTAAACGAAATAATTAAAAAACGACGTGTCTTTTATTCCCCGGGGATTATCGTCGGTTAACCGGTTAATAATTTCAATACCGGTAAATGCTCAATTCCGTACCGAAACCGTATAACCGGAATTACCGTCAGCCTCTAATACTCAGTAGAATTCTTTCTGAAGATGATATATGTCACGCAATAGTACAAATATCTTACGAAACGTGCTCGTTTGAAATATGTATTGGGAAACCAGCTATAGAACTATCAATCATGAATAGCATATTTCATTATGCTGCGGTATAGGCTAAACGAACACTAAAGCCGAACGATATGATATGTATATAGGTTGCCGTTTCGATTTTATCTTTGATACAAGCTTAAACTCTCTGATATATAGGTATACAACTCGAACAGTTTTCCTAAAGAGCGGTATACAATAGACTAGATGCGAGTAGAAATAATTTTAATTTACGTCATTAAAAATTCGGTCAAACTGATGTCGTATTTGGAATCTTCATGTAAAATTACATCTAGAAATGTGGTTTTGAAAAGAGTTTATCATCTTTGAAAATTTTCTTTTCTTTTTCTTTTCCAATATATATTGGTAAAGGCTGACATCGTCAGCGTCAATCATTTTAGTCAAAGAAAACCTGACATATGCAGCGTCCTTTATAAATAGTCCAGTAGATTCCTCATTGTATTCTGTTGGTTCAGGTCGACCCTGACTTCATAATATCGGTATGTCTATGACTCACTATATGACATAATTACCTGTCTTATTATTTGTGGCAGACATTTCTACCTAAAATTATTTTATATTGTAATAAAATGTGCTAGAAAATGTTATTTAGTACTAATTTAATGGTTGCCATCATTTTTCTTCAAACATTTTGAACGTCTTAATTGTTGATCCATTAAAATTGTTTTGAATTTAGACACGACCTGTGTCATTAGATATATGGCATGTGGTTTTGAACAAAACCGTATCATCGCAATTTATCATTCTCTTATATTGTACCCTAAACATAAGATATAACGATATTACTTTTGGCATCTTTCGGAATGAAAGATATAAAAAATCGTAAAAACTACCAGGGATTAGATTGTGATATAGAACATTAAAATTAGCTGTCTTCGTGTAAAAATAACAGGATTAATTGAGAAAGTGAATGTATTCAAATGTAACCAGAGTATATAGGATCTTGAGAACGGGAGCATGTAAATATGTTAACTTTACGTGTGATGTATCATTTTCGTTTTTTTACTCCTACACGTTAGCTGGTTGTCTAAAAGTATGTATTCAAAAGAATAACACCTTTGTGGATATTAACGGATATTATTTGCAATAAGATGATGCTTCTCCAGGAGGTGACTCTCTTATGCATTCTAGCAGGTACTTTTTATGTTTTTGATTTTGTTGTAACATATATTTACAAGTTTCAATTGTGACATATTTTTGCCCCGGGGATTTTGTCCCCTTTCTTTATGACCCGTGACAGCCTCAATTGAAGATGAACAACAGTACATAATAGCAGTTGCATTGCGGGTACCGGTTTGACAGCCGGGCGACTCCATTCGACAGAATGTAAAACCGCTTTGTTTATGAATCTTTTCTTGTTCTCCAGCTAAACAGTTGGGAAATTTTGATTAACCAGTTGAAATTCTCAAACATAATTATATACAGGCTGTAAGGTTGAAAAGGGGGACATCTGATTGTCACACATTTTTAGGGGAGTGAATATGCCTTTAAGGTCGTCCGTTACGTCAAATGTACTTTTTTTATTGCAGCTCATTGTATTACGTCAACTTCAATTTACCGAGACAAGAGGCAAGCAGAGCCATCTATAATCTGGTCATGTGACTTTGAGGTTGATATATGTGGGATGAAGCATGACGTGGCCCAGGTAGAATGGAGGAGACACAATGGGAGGACAGAGACAGATCTTACTGGGCCCAGTATAGACCATACTTTTCGGACGAATGAAGGTAGATCATGCTTCACATTTCTAATGCAGTACAGAGTGGGCCAAAAACGATATCGATTGTATGTATGTTTTTATACAAATACATGAAAGACAATATGAGTAACGAGCAGGTTTCTAAATGAATTGTCCCATTTTTATTTCCATTTGTTTTCAACGTCACACCTATTTTCAAGACTTAGTAGTTTCCGGATAACTTGCTTTACAGCATAACGAATTTACGCATAATCACAAAATTGCCCAAATGCGTAAAACCGCGTAAATATGTATAATTGTCGAATGTGCTTCTTCTAGGGCATTACATCTATTTCGAGTCCTCAGCTCCGACTATCACTGGAGACAAAGCAAGAATATTAATTGAAATGGAGAACACCGACCAGGAGCATTGTCTAATATTTTACTATCATATGTACGGTGAAGGTATAGGGACCTTCAATGTCGAACTTTTGACAGGCAGTAGTATAGAGACGGTGTTTTCAATTACAGGTATAGTACATGCCATAGCTTTTCAGACGTACCAAGTATGAGTCGATCGTTTGTCGACAATGAGTTAATCGTCCAGATTCTGTCGGAGAAAGCTTTTTCTACAATAATGAGCACATGAGTTTTTTTTTTACTAGATATAGTATTCAAGCGCTCACAAGCGTAAATTTTGAAGAAAATTGAGACGTATTCGAGTTAAATAGTATGCAGAATCATGATCTGAATAAAATGGGGTCGAAAAATGACCCCTGAAGATGATTGGGCTATTTGAGATTTTGATGTGTTTCAACGGCTTGAGAAACAGTTATGGTTGGAGACAGGCATACCCTTTGCCATTCCCCTTACGATAGAGCCATATTTGGTACAGGGTGACCCAAAATGAATGCAACCCATGTTTTTGCTCGCCATTTCTATAACTAATATGATATGCTTAATTAGTTTTTTTACCCTTAATAAGATGAGGGTAGGTCAATCACTTAAATTTTTGCTAGGCGTGGTCAAAGTAGAACTACGAAAAGGACTAATTTTCACTTTAAAATCAAATGTATTGCCCAATTATTGACTACATTTTGTCAAGGTCACTTGCTCATTTACTTATATCCATTATCAATTGAAACGGGAACTAAGTCTATGCCCAATTTTCAATCTTGGTTTTATTTGGATTTCTTTCGTTTGTTGATCATGCAATAAATATTGCAGCGTTCACGAAGAACTTTCATATAGTAGCATATTTTCTGTTCTGCTTTCTCTTTTGCAGGAAACCAGGGTGACATTTGGCACAATAGAGCTATCAACCTGCCCAGTGGTTTTTACCTTACTTTCGAATCAATAAAATCATCACGTGATCAACCAGACAAGGGTGATATTGGTCTAGATGATATCTCAATCAGTGCAGGGAAATGTCCTCCACAAGACAACATTACTAGTGACATAACAATTGATGTATGGGGCTGTGACTTTGAAAAAGGTAGTTGGGATGATCCTAGTGACAGCGATGGATGTGGAATTTCATATGCAGGAATGGTGCAGTTGGAATCAGACGATTTTGACTTCTCACGTTCTGATAAGACAACTCCTTCTGGCCATACAGGACCAAAGGAAGGTGGAAGTGATGGAGGTAATATACTTACTGAGAGATACTAGCATGGGACCAACAAACATATATATATGTTTGTACATGTTATTGAAGCTGTATGGGATTTTAGAAATCTATGTAGAGAGTATCTGGTCGAGTATCTAGAGTAGCTATATGCAAATTGATTATATCGGTAGTGCATGTGATTACTTTACTTCCTAAGTAATTGTGATTCTAAATGTTGAGACGCAATTTCTTTTGTGCAGGATACTTTGTGTATACGGAGTCTTCCCCACCACATAGCGACCTCGATCGTGATAGAAGATCTGAGTATGCGACTATTCGGTCCCCTTTGTTCAGTGGCAATGGTCCGTTCACATTGTCCTTTATGTACCACACACGAGGACAACTCATTGGAGGATTGGAAGTAAATGCTCTAAATCGTGGTCTTCAACAAATTGAATTTTGTATGTATTCTTCATTATTTGAAAGACAGTTTTGAGCTATTGTTGTGCACACGCGCATGCGTACATGCGTGTGTTTATGTATATGGTGACCTCTAGTGGATACCATCAGTTTCTTTCACGTCCACTTGGCTGATGAAACAACCTTATTGATGTACTCACTCCGTGTAATTATTCATTCAAAGTTAAACATGATCTTATTCTAATCATGGCTATAATGATACATTATAATAGGCATTCATTAAAATACTACCAGTTTGGGTTTCATTTTAATTTTGTGGTTGCATCTTTATCATGATATTCTCACGTTGATTCAGTTTATCCAAAGCTGGACATGAAACCATCTAGCATGTGGAAGAAAGCTCTGATAAAACTGCCCGACGGAACAGCGGCTATTGAGTTTAACATTACCCTCCCAGATGACCCGAAATTTTGGTCTTCTGATATTGCACTTGATGAGATTCTTGTCACAAAAGGTATGTTGCATACGGAGCTATGCTTTGTTTATGCAAAAGTGGTGTGAATAGAAAGTGGATATCTTTCAAAATGGATATTTATTGTACAATCAGTCTATGCTGACACCTCACATGTTTAGTTTATCAAATTATGGCCACATTATGGCCTGGATATATAATTTACTCTTTTGTTTAGATTGAATTAATGTTTTGTGTTCTTCAAACTTTCGTCCATCTTTTATTACAGAGAGTGATGCTCTTACAAAACCAACCACAAGAACATCACATATAACGTCCACACAGTTCACAAGTACAGGTACAACACAATCATCAGCGGATGCCACCTTTCTATCAACAAGTACTGCACCAACAAAAACATTGACAACTGAAGTCAGTTCTAATGCATCAACAGAAGTAGTATCAATACCACAACTAACGAAGACCACAACAACACAGACACTAATGCCAGCAACTACAGCTTCACAACTGACCAACACAACAACACAGCAACCATTGACATTAGCAACGTTAACCTCACAGCGAAAAATAATATCAACAGAAGCAGCGACAACATTGCCGACAACAACAAAAAAGCCAGTAACTACGGAGGAGTTTGGTTAGTTCACCATTTTGAAAGGTCTAAACATTTCTTATTTGATGAATAATCTAAATCAACACGTGCATCAGCCTAATTCTATCAAAGGAATTGAAACCCCTGGGATATTGTTTTGAAACCATGGCAATTTTGAATCACATAACGGATAGGTATTCAATATTTACTTTCTAAGGTGAAGATAGCTCGATGTCCATTTTATGGTACTGCACGTTTGAGACGAAAGGTTGGGACGATGTTTCAAATAAAGATGGATGTGGCCTTGGCCAAAGGGGAATGAAACAGCTTGTAACGGACAATTTCAATTTTACTCGGACAAATAGGGCAACCCCTTCTCCTCACACTGGGCCTGCTATTGGAAGTGACGGAGGTGATATCTATTTTTTGTATTTTAATTTATTAAGTTTTTAATCAAATTAGTTTTCGTTTTTTTCATCCCAATAAATGTTCCCACGCATGTTTCTATGACGGAGAGCAAAATATATGAAATATTTATTTAGCCCTATCTAGTCATGGTCACCAAGGCTATTAATTATGTTAGGATTGATTGGGAAACGAGAAAGTCACAATAGAAAATGCGTTATACACTTATCAAAACATTGAAAAGTGGGTGTGGCCTTTGCGTCCCGTTTTCATGGCAACAGATGCAAATTCGGAAGAAATGGATATTAGATCCTTAAATATGAGGTATCTAGCTTTCATTTGGTATATGATATGTCCTTATACCTTTCAAGACTTTAAACTTCTCAAAATAAGGCTTTTTGAAGAATTTCCTAATCACCTATTATATTTTATCGTCTGTTTTGTAATTGTTTATTTATCCACATGCATATAGATCAGTTGGAGTATACATCTTAGATCATTGATGCAAAGAAAATACAACTTCCATTTTAGGCTATTATGTGTATACAGAATCTTCGCCCACAAAGAATAGTCCTGATCAACGGAACGCAGTGGCAGAAATACAGACACCAAATTTGTATAGCACCATTACAAAGTATTTGTCATTTAGATACCATACCCGAGGTTATCTAATAGGAACGTTAAATGTCATACCTATTTCGTCAAACTCGTCGAAGCTTCAGTTCGAAGATGGTAAGGTATTCCTGTTGCTGTATAAGCACATACACATACAACTTCATGACATCAAATGTCTCATACAATTGTGAAAATGAATTAAAGATATAATTTTGAACAGCATGGATGTAGCCTGATCACAGGATTTGTCCTACAAGTTGATTGCTTAAAAATTAGTGTTTGGATGTATAATTTGTCATTGTAATCCATAAAGCTCACACTACACATTATATGAATATTGTATTTTGAATTCCATGAATATTGTATTTTGAATTCCATGAATATTGTATTTTGAATTCTCAGCAATCTCCGAACTTTCAATGGAGTCCTCAAAGGGATGGAAACACTTTGAACAAGTAAAACTACCAGAAGGAACAGCCGCTGTTATATTTTCTGTCAGGCTCCCTGATGATGAACGGTTTTGGTCATCAGATATTGGACTTGATGAAATATACATACGATACATACCAGGTATGTACAGGCAAAACAATAAAACTACAATTGTATTTTCATAAACTGTATCTTAGAAAATACTTCATTCAATTTTTTGTGAAAAGCTAAATATATTTTGTTAATTTGGTTGATAAAGCATTAACAGCAGGAAGTGATATAAACATATTCAATTTTCTTAATTTGAATTTAATAAATCACATACCCATCTCAAAATACAGTTGTGCTTGATATTATATCACTGTGTGTTACCAGAAAGCAGGACTTGTCCCACTAAATTCATGCAAGTTCGTGTTGAGATTTGAATAAGCACATCTCTGGTACATAACTAAACTATCGTCAAACAAATGTGACCCAAGTGTTATAAGAAAACATACCTCCATAATGATGCATTCATGAATTTCACTAAATTGTCGTTGATGGTTAGAAAACGTTCAATTCGCTATTATATTTCAGTTCCAGGAATGAGCACACTTGGAACGACAACGAGATCTCCAGACGGTAGGCTACCCTTTACTTACTACATCCTTACATTTTTGTAACATACTTTTTTGTTATTTGTAATGGTGTAAAGGGGTAGTGTCCTTCCTTATTCAGTGTTTTTCTCTTACAGCCGACCGCATGAGAAGACAGGTCATGTGGTATTGTGCGTTTGAATTCCCAGGGTGGGATAATGGATTAGATAATAACGGGTGTGGTGCTGGCCAGCGTGGGATGTCCCAAATACTAAGTGGACATGGTCACAGTTATGGTGATGATTTTGATTTCACTAGAACTAACAGAAATACCCCATCCGGACATACAGGACCATCTATTGGGAGTGATGGAGGTATAGTACAGCTACGTTACGTTACTATGGTTACATACATCATGTAAGTTATGCGATGTGCATTGTGCAATGCTCTTGGAAAAAACTTTTTCAAAGATCACAATGAATAACATTATTCATAGAACCTTATTAAATATGACGTAGACTTTATGTTCATTTATTGATAATATATTTGTTGTAGGGTTCATTTATCGATAATATATTTGTTGTATGATTCATTTATTGATAATATATTTGTTGTAGGGTTCATTTATTGATAATATAGTTGTACGAGGGGTGATCAATAAGTAATGGACGCTTTTTTACACAGATACTTTTTATAGACCAATCCCTTTGATTTTCCTACCAGTGATACATCATTCAATTATCTATCATTTCTGAGGATTTGAAGACAAAATATAAAATACATGTTGATATATCTTTATTTCCTTGAAGGAGGTACAGGTACCCCGGGACCGACATTTACGTCACATATTCAGTTTTCAGCCAGTTTGGCAAATTTCAGTTAGATTTAAACTTTTCATATGCAACATGTGTTATGTTGTTTGAAATACTTGCTGACTGGTCAACACATAAACAGAAAGTTTTGTGATGTCAGAGTGTTGTATGGAAGGGGTTTGCAGGTCAATTTGAGAAAGCATTGTGGAAGAAAGGGGTGGTGAGAGAAGGGAACACCCTACTCCATATGGACATTGCACCTGCCCACAGATCTCAAAATGTTCAAAAAACAATATCCCTGGACCTCAAAATTGAGCCCTTGGCCAATGCACCATATTGTCCAGATCTGCTCACATGTGACTTATTTATTTCTACACTACTTATTTCTATAGAGAAAGGATGCATGTTTATTGATATTGATAAAATAAAACAACCCGTGCAACTGCATCTTGCTACCATGTCAGAGAATGGATTCAGCCTTGTCTCACAATCTTGAATTAAGAGGATGAGGAATTGTGTACATGTAGCACTTGATGGAACCTATGTAGAGGGCTCTGTGGAATGAATGTGGCATGAATACCACATAGTGATGATAAAATATTCAAAATCAACTATGGCATAACAAAATGGGGTAATTCATGACCATAATGGTTTGTTTTGTTCAGCCTGCATTCAACTGCATTGCATGTAAAACAAGCTAAAATAGCTTCAGAATGTTTGACGTAAATGTCGGTCCCGGGGTACCCATACATCCTTCACAGAAATAAATATATATCAAAAGATATTACATGTTTTGTTTTCAAATCTTCAGAGTTGATAGATAATTGAATGATGTATCACTGGTAAGAAAATCGAAGGGATTGGTCTATAAAAAGCATCTGTGTAAAAAAGCGTCCATTACTTATTTATCACCCCTCGTAGGGTTCATTTATTGATAATATATTTGTTGTAGGGTTCATTTATTGATAATATATTTGTTGTAGGATACTTTGTTTACACGGAATCCTCTCCTTCAAACACTAGAAACGACAGAAGTAATGAAATGGCAATAATTAGAACACCAACACTCCATGGTCCAGTTATTAAATATTTATCATTCAAGTATCATACACGTGGAAGACTATTAGGCAGTCTAAACATCAATATAGTAAGATCCCAAGACGATCCCATATTTTTTCGTAAGTAGTTCCATCTTTATTCACTTTGTCATTTATAAACATATTCAATTTGTATGTAATATTGTATTTAGCAATCACAATGTAATTTCCAAATTGCCGATTGGATGATTTGACCTTCTTTATCCACCAACTCTTTGATATAAAGCCTTAAATCCTGACTAGTTTTCAATCATGCATCATATTTTGAAATTAAAATGTTTAGCTATCCCAAACTTAAACATGGACTCGTCAGACCGGTGGAAGTCTGTGGATGACGTCAGACTGCCTGATGGAACAACCAATGTTGAATTCAACGTCACGCTTCCAAACGATCCATCTAAATTTTGGTCGTCGGACATTGGACTCGATGAGATTTACATTACATACGACGCAGGTAATAGTGTCAAATCAATTTCTTAATATACCGAAACAAATCATATCATAGTTCTAATGTTTGTGTATGTGAAATGTTTTTGCTACTTTTTGGTATTTCCTTACTTAAGCTTGCTCTTTTGTATTTATATTTTACGCTTATATTCTATCTCAGACATACTAGGTAGATTAGCTTTTTCAGAACTTACTACCAAAAACATGTTGAGCAAGACTGATGGCTCTTTGACAACAAATGAAACATCACCAATGGAATTCCCTACCACTATATCAACAGTTCAATCACAAGCAGAAAAAGTTAACCATACAGTCGAGGCATTTGGACAGACAACAACTACATCAGAACCTACAATGGGATCATCATCAGTTGATATTGGCTATTTGAATGTCACGGCTAGCCAGACAACATTCCGAACTGAATCCTCATCAAACCAAACCAAGCAGAATCTGACTGAATCTATATTGGCTACAAAGGGTCCTCTCAATGTCACGACTAAAGCAGAAATTACACACGGCCCTATGAGTACTGAGCATTCATCAGTTACAAGAGATTCTTTTAATGCTTCCACTAAAACAGAAATTACACATGGCCCTATGAGTACTGAACAGTCACTGGTTACCAGAGATTCTTTAAATGACACGGCTAAAGCAAAAATTACCCACGGCCCTATAAGTACTGAACCTTCACTGGTTACAAGAGATTCGTTTAATGCTTCAGCTACAGCTGAAATTACCCATGGACCTATCAGTACGCATGCTTCATCGGTTACAGAAGATTCGTCCAATGCTACCGTAATACCTGTCAGTACTGAACCAACAATTTCCTCAACAGATCCTCACAGCACCACGTATATACCTACATCAATTGCAAGAAGTGTTTCCAATAAAACCGTTTCAGGAGAAATGAAATTAACAACTGGGTCAACTTCTGAATCGGTTACATCAGCATTGCCAACAATTCAACCAGGAACAACAGAACAACAAACTGTTACAGCTGAGAGTTCCCATATTAATCAGTTTTATTGTGACTTCGAACACGGCATATGTGGCCTGGTTGGTGGCAAATATAGCAATTTCACTTGGACAAGACAATCTGGTAGCACACCCAGTAAAAGTACTGGTCCGTTAGGTGACAATACATACAGATGTGGTAAGATTCATTAGTATTGATGTTTATAAACAAACTGTGTTCAGAATTGTTAAGGATGGGGGAGGGAGATTAAGCCTTTTACGTAAGATCGCTGTTTGATATGACTAGATTTGTTTCCTTCATAACATTTCTGTTTCTACATATTCTTTTTCTGTCTTTGTTTTATGGTTTATTTTTACAATTTTTACAATACCCGTCTTACAGGTTCCTATATGTATGTGGAGGCTTCAACTCCTAGGATCAAAGGTGATATAGCAATTCTCGAGACCCCTGTAATGTATCACGTGTCCGAACAAACTCCGGCGTGTTTACGCATGTTCTACTATATGTTTGGCGCAGATATAGGGACATTAAGTGTTAGGGCTAGTGATGGAACTGTGTTATTTTCAAAATCAGGTGATTGTATTTCGTTCCTTATTTGAACTGTAAGCACATCGGAATAATGTATGTCATATTGGCTGGATTTTTCAATGTATAGAAAATGATGGAATATTTTCCGTATTTTATATTTATCGCTTTTCCGATACAATATTACAATATAAAGGAAGAAGGAATGTATCGCAACAGACTCCGGACAGTCATGTGTTGGATTTTGGCTAATTAAAACAGGTGCATATGTTAGGCCAATGCATTATCTCCAGGAAAAGCACTCATAGATATGATAAAATAATTTTGACTTTGAGACAGGGAAGATGCAAACAACCCACCCACATAATTTTTTCTGAAACGTTGTCCTGATTTTCAACCCTTTCATTCCTGCTTTTCCAGTTTTAATTACATCAATATGTAACATTTTGACACACAATCAACCCCTTTTTAAAGGAATGTGTAATTCCTCCTGGGGTTTTAAAGATGTCCATTATGGGTGACCAAAATTAGTTGAAAGTAATGGATCGCATGATTGTTCCCTATGGAAAATAACATGGGGAATATTGTTTTCCACTTTATCAAAGAGGAATCACTTACTTGACGTATGCACCTGTTAAAATCCTCAGAAAATAGCCAATATATGACTGTCCGAAATCTGTTGCGATACTTTCCCTTCTTTATGTTATAAGAATGTTCACTGAAATTTTCATGGAAAAATATCGAGTTTTGATAAAAAAGATCCTTTGGACAACCCTCGTAATTCTGCTTTAGGGTAAGGAAATATAATGCGTTGGGTATTCATTTTCAAAATATATTCTTAATATATGTTATTCAATATCAGATGAAGTAGGAGATGAATGGATTGAGCTTAAAATTCAGCTGCCGCCTGGTACATATAGTATACTTATACAAGGTGAAGTCGGGAATGGATATCGAGGTGATATAGCCATCGATGACTTATCTATACTCTCTGGATACTGCAACAATCTAAATGGTAAGCTTCACGATTGTTCAAAATCTCAATTAAGCCACCTATTTAGATTGTTTGGTCAGATACATTTTAGTACAATCAGATTGTGATATTTTTAACTATTAAAGAAATTAGGGGAGATAGAAATGATGATAAGGAGAGATGATGAGGGCAAACGATAATTATAAAATGGCAGTATTTTTGATTTACTTTCTGATTTACGCGCGACCATCGCTATCCCTTGTGTCACTGGCGGATGGGGGGGGGGGGGGGGAGAAAAAATTGGTCCCAAAAAATGTTGGACCAAAAAAATTTAAGGCCCACATTAGTGGGCTTTTAGGCATTACTGGGCCTTTTAAGGCCTTGTTGTTTAATTTTAGGCCAAATTATCGAGAAAATGGGCCCTCTTTTCGGTTTCAGGGACCCAATTATTCTTAATATCTGACTTGAAATATGGGTCACCTTGTTGGTTTCAAGATCCGATCCTGTTGTATCACCTTTTTATTATACAGGTACAATCAACATGACTGAACACTCCGTGAAACCACGCAACCCCGATGAACTGTTCAGGTGCAGTTTTGAAGAGGGTGAGACTGACTGTGAACAACTGAATATAAGAAAGGATGCAGCTAGAGGGTCTCAAACGTGGAGAATTGGTTCTGGTGAAAGTGACTTTAAAAACACAGGACCATCACGAGACGCAACATTTGATACATGCATAGGTATATAGTTACATTGTACTTTAATATCCGAATGGATATATGGTAATGTCACTTTTCTGACGAAGTGGGCTTGTTAATTCGAGCATAGAATAAGTGAGGAGAGAAATCTCAAGATCTAGGAAATGTTGTACATTGATGTCGTTTCTTAACTCATTATCATAGTATAAACCTGAATAAATTGATTGGCAATATTTTTAAGTAACGATCCGATTAGCTTTAGCTTCATGAAAAGGTAGTGACGTTGAGTCTACCAATACAATTGTTCCTTTAGAAAGATGTGAAAAAAGATCCAATGCAAAACTAACAGCTATGCAGAGGTTTATCCATGACAAATCTTCTCTTTGATATATCTCATTCTAATATACTAGGAATAAGTATTGTTTTATATCTGTGCCAAAATCTAGCCCTGTTTATCATGTCTTGGTTTTAGGCCACTACATTTATACAGACACCATGAGTGGTACTTTATTTAACCTAACGTTACCAACTTTCACTGAAAACACTATTCTACACTTCAAATACCACATGTATGGAGCACACATTGGTACATTGAAAGTGATATCCGGGATAGGGGCAGCACAACAGAAAGTCTGGCATAAATCAGGTACAAATTGTATTCCTGAAAAACATGTGTATGTTGTTCTTTGATGCTGTGCAAGCCATGAACCCTTTATTGATATTGATATTGAAACTGATATGATTAGTTCTAGCACTCCGATTCCAAAACTTATACGTCACGGCAAAATATTTTAGCCCCCTCCGTAGTATTTGCGTCATCTCGTAGGGAATTATATTACTGAGTATATGATTTGACAAATGGCACCCAATTGCATTGCAGGTGTTCACCATCATTTTGATATTAGTCTTTCGTACGCCTACAAAATATTGCAATTTAATGATATCTAGCGGGTATAGTTGGCATAATAATTCTGTATAGAGTAGATGCCTATCACATACAATGTACGTAGTTTGTAAGATCAATTTTCTTTTTTTTTCTTTTTTTAATAATAAAAAAAGATCAATTTTTTTTCTTTGTACTTTTAGGAAACAGTGGGGATAATTGGATACAGAAAAGCGGACGCTTCATGGCTAATGTCCAAGTTTATATCATTGCTGAGACGTCATGGGAATCATTTGGGGAGATAGCAATTGACGATTTGATTATTAAACGTGTGATAACTTAAAACTCTTAAAACTGTTACCTCAGTAATGACACTACTCGCGCTGTATAAAAATGGCATTTATATTTATATTTTTCAACCTATATGGGAATATACGTGTACCTCCATGGTAGCAATGAGGTGGTGTTGAGGAATGGAACACTCTCTTGTATTTTTTAATAGGTGTACAGAACAGATATGTGATTGGTGTATGTATTACCATAAGACTATATTCGAAATATAATGTAACTTTTCTAAATTGATAGAATCATAATTTTAAATCTAGTTCGATTTTTAAATGCTTTGTAACAGTTTTAATTCCTTCAAAGATTTCTTCAGATGTCGGCTGGATATAGTCAGCTGGTAGAGCAAATTTGTATCGTCCTATATCCCTCAGCTCAATGGTGTATGCATACTTTATACCAGCCACAGAATACACCCAGTCGTCTGTACCACCACTAGCAGGGTCTGCAATGCAATTATATGAATTAATTTACTATGTTATACTGCAATGCAATTATATCAATTAATTTACTGTTATATTTGAATGTCCTTATGAATATTTGAAATCTGTGAAAATTGTCAAAGAAAGTAACAGTTATAATGCTCTGTTTAACCAACACCAATCAATGAGAATTAAATTCACAAGGTACACTGTATGCATTTAAACAGAACACTGTCGTGCGTTTATGTCTAATATAAGAGGTTCTAATAATAATTCAGATATCAAAATATTTTTAAAGCTAACGGTCTGTTAATATTTTTTGGAAACTATAATAAAAATTACATTAATATTTTAGTTGTTTAGAATCAAGAAACATTTTCAGTGCCTCTTTAACTCTAAAGTAAAATTCGTGGGCCTTACAAAGCATCCTTGCTGCTGTTCCAACCAGGTAGTGTGAGGTATACTTAGACCTAATGGTATTTCGTCCCAATCTTGCCAAATACAACTGCAAAAACCAAAGATATGAAAATGTAAGTATTTCCTGAATGGGGTAATTCATTGGTACTGCTTCTGATGGCTAATAATGTCAAAATAAAATAGCAAATAGATTACATGTTGATGAATAAGAATTTTCCAAATGAAGGGAATCACAGTGAAGTGAGAACAGTAACCTAGTTCTTATTTCTCAGAATCATTTCATACAACAACCATATACTTGGGTCAACCAATATCATCGAAATATCGCACTGTTGGACATGTTCATTAAAAGGTGTAACTCCACTGATATTAACATGGAATGAGTACCAGTACTTCAGCTACAGGGTAACACATTTGTTATACTACTTACCAAGTCAGCGTGATCACGTGGTACAGTCCATGCAGTGTAGCCCCATGGGGTCAACCAATATTGTCCATACGAATGCAGTTGTAAGAATAGTTTAATTGACTTGTTGTTTTTCAGGACAAAGTCAGCAATTGCGCGCGTCTCGGGCTCAGAAAACGCTTCAGGTCCTCCATACGTACCAGCGCAGGTATTGTAACTGGTACCTGTTTCTAAAAAAATTATGTGAAATGTTTAAATCTTCGGTTTCGCATCAAACATCCATCCATACCAAATGTCCCTAAATGAGTGTTTTGGGAAGGGATAGACGTGATTCACCTCAATCATGTTATCAGAATTCCAGATAAGGTGGTTCTCTGATGAACTTGAAATTTTGCAAGAGCAGCTAAACCAGTGCTAAGATTTAGTAGGTTTTTGTCATGTTGGTAAATAACTTGGCCAATTTGATTTTATCTAAAAATTCGCTAGTTATCACAATGTGTCTTGTTTAATCATATTCAGAATGTTTCCAAGATTCCTATGTCCTTGAGGCATTTTCCGAAAGGCTGAATTGTCTTCCACAGCGTTAATCAAAAACATTTCATTTTGCTATTATACCGAGATGTCAAATATACTATAATCTTAGATTCATGAGTCGATATAAAGCTGCCCCAAAAGCACAATATATTTTTCGTAGAAATCTAGTAATAAAATACACATAAAAGATTATAAATTACAATATTATATTGTAAGCACTACTACTCAAGTATTGCATAATTGCCCCCTGCATTCGTAAATACCTTTAAATCATATGCATTATTTAAAATATTGCAAAACGACTTAACCTACCCTCATATAGTTGGGTAAGTATAGTTACACAATATACGCCAATACACATATTCTCATTAGGTGTCACTTTTTATTAGATAGTAAAATGTCGTATTTAATGTTCAGATAGTGCATCTTTATAGTTCTAAATGGTATAATACCTCTCCAGTGGAAATCAAAGTTTCTGTTGCCATCAACTCCCCTGCAGCTGTAAATTCCATTGATCGACCTCGTCTTCCTCCACATACGATCCTTTACAATGATAACACTCCACAATATATTCTATTGCTTGATTTTCATTTGATAGATATGACATACTGTAGTAATCCGTATCTAAATAATATTTTTATTTGTATGGGTGTACAACGCAGTTCATTTATTTTATGTTTTATTTTAAATGGGATATTGGGGGTTTCATTTCCCAATGGGTGGTAAGATGTTTATTTTTCTTGATGTGGCTTGTAATACTCATTGGTGTTTCTTCCATTTGTGGTTACAAATTTAACTGTATTTATTCAGAACAAGACACAGGGTGAACATTATCGCACCCTTGAACAGAATGTAACGTTTTTGGGACGGTAAGTCCAAAATGGCCGCTTTAACATTTACCCAAAATGAACTAATCAGTTTAAAACTTCCATACCAAGAATCTGCCCTTAAGGTTTCAGATCAATTTATCAAACCGTTTGGATTGAAACGTGTAGACAAGACTATACAATATTTTAGGGCAAAAAATCCAAAATGGCCACCTTAACAATTATCCAGAAAGCTAATCAGTTCTTCATACAAATAGTCATCCCTGAAACTTTGAAATCAGTCTGTCAATTAGTTCGCCTGGAGACACATAGGCAAGACTTTACACACAAGATTTAGGACGGAAAATGGCCGCCTTAAGAGAATGCCCCGAAACTAAATATAAGCAGTTCTAGACGTTCATACCAGCATACCAAGAAACATCCCTAAAACTTCCAGATCAATACATCAATTTTTTGGCTTAAAACGTGTAGACCAGACTCTACAGACAATATTTTAGGACGGAAAATTCAAAATGGCCGCCCTAACATCAACCGAGAACGCCATCTCTGAAAATTCAAATTCAATCCACCAAACGCTTTGGCTCGAAATGTGTAGACATGAGTTTACAGACAAGATTTTAGGACGAAAAATCCAAAATGGCCACATTAACATTTACCCAGAATGCCTAAAATCTAATCAGTTCGAGATGTTTATATCACTAAAAATGTGAGAAAATTAGACAAAATTATATGTGTAAGTTTGTGAAAGCTATCCAGAAATGACTCAAATAATCATCATGATACACCATGACATCTCATTTCTTCTCAGCCCTGAGATGCCATGATATAATGAGCTTGATTTGGCGATCCAAGAGAGCCCAAAAATGTGGATTTTTGAGATCTTTCATCCCAGCTCATATTTCATTTAATTGGGGTCATTAAACTTGTGTACACATGCCTGTGCTAATATCTGCTGTTAAATACAATGCCTATTATGTAATGTATTGACATTAGATAAATGATTACATGATAACTATCACACTTATTGACAGTTATAACTCTTCCCATCTGATGTGCTCAGATCACAGAATATGCCTCATAATATCAGAGCATGTTTCAGGTGAAACAGAAAGATGCTATGAGTATCAGAATGCAAATAATAGATAAGAGAGAAACCCAAGATTTCAGAAAACTGTGTTTTTAACAATTTTTGATGATTAAATCGAGAGCATCCCTAGACGGAAATCGTAACTTGTTAATTCTATCCAATCTTTTTTCTATTGAACATTGCAAAGATTCCCCAATTATTGAGAAAGCTATTCCAAAATAAGTGGGTGACTTTTTTGCGTCACTCTGTACTTACTGTAGTCCATGTGTACACATAGCCATCGGGATTTGAAATTGGTAAAATATACCAGTCGAAGTCATTCAACATCTTTAACACAACAGTATCATTGGTAACATAGCCACGAATTAACTGAAATAAACATAATTCAATTTACGTCCACTAAGGATGACAACTTCGATTAAGTAACTGTTTTTACATACAAGAGTACTCAATGAACGAATGTGACTTTCTTTATATACTTAGAATGGGGAAATGTTAAGTAAACTCACTAAATGTATTATGTTGATGGCAGTTGCAGGAGCAATCCACTCTCTGGCATGAATACCTCCATCAATCCATACAGACGGCTTGGCTGTACCATTCAATCCTTTACCAGTGCTTATCTAAAATATAATTAATAATTTCAGGTAATGGCCAGTTTTGGGGCTTTGTATAAAAACCTCCTACATGTACCTCATACCCACCTAAGTGGAACATGATACAGTCATTGAAGGGTTCAATTTTAAAGATTATTAAATCTCAAAATAGCAAATACAAAGCCCAGTTTTGGATTAACTAAAAAATTATCTTCCTATAATAAAGACTACATTGCTAATCCAATGGGAAACGACATAAACATATCTAATAAGCAACATTCACATTACTAACTATGATAACTTGACCAACCTTCATTAATCGTAGGTCCCGTTTTTCAAACGACTTTCCGATCACCATAGTTTTACAGAGGAGGGGATATGTTGTCTCAATACTGTTTAAAAGTTGCTGTATCTCAGAATACGTGTGGTATTCATACATGTAGATATCTCCATAAAAATCAGTTTCCAAACTATTCACAGATCGCCTGGACCTAGAATTAGCATTCTGTAGGAGTCTGAAACGCAACATCATATCATAAAAAGTATGTCATTATAATTCAGATACGTCCAATTTGGGTTTGATGTTTTTCATTGTACAAGCTAGCGATTATAAGTCAATCAATGCAGGGATAAGAACTTATCTAAGATATAAAAGGCTTATTAGTTAACTCTGTAATTAATAATGATTAATAATCACAAACAATTCCAAAATAACTCATACTGAATAATGATACGTTTATGTTAATAAACTTACACGATTTTGGAATATAATATGCTATGTATTTTTAAAAGGTATGTTTATTTGTGCAAATAATCTATTCTAAAACCAACATTTAAAGGTTTTATAAGTAATGTGAAGGAATATTTTATTATGGACAAACGGGTTGGCAGAGGCGATAAGTTGAAAATCATGGAAGCAAAATTAACAAATGATATTGATGATTTTTTCCTTTAAATAAAAAAAATGCCAATGGGATAAAATTTCTTAAAGACTAACGTTTAAACCGATACTGTATTGTAAAATTGTAAAATGTATGTTTACCATGTAGCTGTATTGTAATTGTTTTTTTGCAATTGCTTTAACATGTTTTTTCTTTGAAATAAAAAAAACTAAAAAAAACAAAAAACTTACACAATCAATGGATAAAGGTGAAAGCAGTTTTTCAATTTGGAATTTGTCGAACGATTTTTCAAAGCTTTCCAGGAGACAAGATTTAGGTCTAAGTCTATTGATCATGTTATGAATTAAAATATTGATAAGGATAAATAAAATGAGAAGTGGCGCTCATTGGACATTAAACGTCAAGAATTTCACCGACAATCAAACAAGGCAAAATCACCACAAAATGCCAATGTCCATGCAAATACTTACAAAAGTATGGTGAAAACTCCGCTCACAAGAAACGATGTAAAGTACTTCTACAAGGTAGTTGTTTCTATCAAAATTATGATATTCGCTGTTAAGCTAATTGCAACTTAACAGCAGTATTATATTCTCGTTACAAAAGAGTAGTATAGTGGATTTTGAAAATTACAATAGAAATTACAATTAAGTTAACAGGGTCTCTGATCGATTCCCTGTTTTATATAACATGGAACTTTAATTTGATAATTACACCTTACATAACCCTAACCCCGAGACGCAGGATCTACATGTAACGGTAACACCCTTGCTCTGTGGAAACAAAGCTTTCATTGAGAGGGTGAAAGCAAAGTACAGAAAGGGGTATGTACAGATAATGCTAAAATAGCGCTAGAATGTGTCACGATTGGGGTCTTTCCATTATTAATGTTTCAGCCCGGTTATAAGTGGTAGTTATAAGGACGAAATATGTACACGGATGAAGCTTGAATCAAAATTATTAGTATTAACTCAGAAAATAGGCGAGTCAAATGCAAATATAGGCCATTCTTTACATTTGCAGTTTAGGTTTCATTGCCATAGTTTGAGGCAGTTGCCAAGCCTACCTACGTCTATAATATAGTACAGACTTAGTAATAAGTAGTAATTCAGATATGAAAAGGACCTGCTATAATTCTATATAGGATGGCCCCTATAAAATAATTGGTGAAACTTATTTATTATAACACCCCATCCTTTAATATTGTATTTCAGGAAGTAATCGTTGTTTCCCAAATTTGTAAAAAATATACCTAAACATTGACGGCAAGGAGTCCCTTAAAAGGATATAAAACCGGTGTAACTCTGCACGATATACAACATTTCTTGTGACTTTTGAATGTTGACATACGTGACATATGGATTTCGTGTATTCTACCCTCGTGGACATGGAATTCTACGTATGCGGTCTGTAATAATATGGATGTTAAGTTACATGTTTTTAAACGTGTACGTAAACGTGTAGAATTATGGCCCTCTACGAATTGGTGTTAGTGCTTATTTGGCCGACTGAGTATAAAGGTATGGAAACTAATTTCAATTAGGTTCCTGGAGAAGTGAATTGAGAGCTGGGCAGTAATCCCCGGGATCGAAATATTACACGCCCACGTACGTTCTTAAAAACGTGAAACTTAACCTCCTAATGACTCTTACTTACGATTGTACGTTGTGATTCTGTATTTTGTATACCATCCCGTGTTTTTTGAGGTAGTGTGTCAATCTACGAAAGACTGTGCTACTGACCATTACGTCAACAGAACGCCCGACATGGCTTGGCTCCTTCCAAAAATCCAACTGAAATTTCAAGTGATATAAATGTTCTAAGAAGTCTTTATATGCAACATGCAATAAATGAAAAAAATGCAAATTGAAACATTTGAAAAACAAAACTGACTTTTTCCATTAGGCATTTGAGCAGCATCAAATGAATACCGAGATAACAAATAGTTAGTACAGGTAGTTCTGGGTGATTTCTTTCATTATTCCATAATACTATTGTTTTCCCAGGGAAATATGAAGGATTAAAAATCTTATTGAATTGTATTACATGAAAAAATCGTATTGTCTCCGGGAAAAATCGTATTGGAGCGTATAACATGAAAAATCGTATTGTCCCCGGGAAAAAATCGTATTGGAACGTATTAACCTATTTTTGGTTTCCCGGTTATTTTTTGACCGCCTTGGCTAATTGATAAAGGCATTATCCAAATGTAAAATTTTAGAGGAATGTATATTATGGAATAAATAGGTTATTTCTGGTCGGAATTGAATATGGGTTTTATTCCTCAGAAAATATGATATTGACCTTGGGCATCATATTAATATCATATTACGCTTTGGTCAATATCATATTGTCCCTTGGAATAAAACCCATATTCAATCCCTTCAATAGGTGGCTCTCTCTCGATCCAAGTACATCAAAATTATTGGAAATGGTACCTCCTAATTGGTTTTGCAGTAGTATTAAAGCTACCAGGGACAATGATCCTTACGGTCCATAATTTCTAAACAAAGAGGGCAACTACAAACCTCAATTCGATCTTGATCCATAAGTTGCCGAAGCTTTGATAAATGCATTCGAGTATGTGGAATAACCTCTAATAATTTGTACCTGGAAATAAAACAGCTTATTTAAAAAGAGTAAAATTATCTAAATTAAATGAAGTACTTTTTCAAAGTACAATGGAATGTTTCTTTTACAATCCTATTTTTTATCTGAAAATGAATTGGGATATCTGATCAAATATGAGGTTATTGAAGATTTGCCGAAATGTCAAAATTCAATTTGAATTGAAAAATTGTACGCCACTTTAGGCTCATCCTCCGATCACAGGGCTTCAAAATCCAGAATATCTTTTTTCTTTTTACACCCAAGAAGGAGGTACGGATTCTGGATACCTGCTTATGGGGATGCTTTAGGCTGCTTATAAAACATTCTGTCGGGCTTCATATATCAATATCAATTAAAAATCAAATTGTTTATGTTCGTTTTTTCTCTTACATATCGTGTTGAAACCAAGCACAATTCACATTCAGGTGAAATGATGCATCATAACAAGTGGTTCAATTGACCCATTTTCAATTCTAGGTCTCCAGGCGATCTGTTAAAGAGTGGAAACTGATTGATTAAAAACATTCCCAAAATATGCATGTTCTTAAAGATAAAGCATTTATCTATGATTTATATATGGCATTTGAGTCCAAAAATTCTTAAAGGATATTAGGTTCCGGCCTTTTGGCGGATGTTTTGCTCAATAAAAAAGTACAAAGAAACCCTATGTTGTTTAGATTCCTGACTTAGTTTAAGGAATATAATACTTTTGCTTGACTAACTACAAGCAACCTGTTCTCAGATTTCTCAGTGGATCAGGCGATGTCCAGATGAAAACTTATAAAAAAGAATGTCAATGATACGTTTCCTGTAGCGAAACCCACAATTCATTCTTACGGCCATAGCCGTTCAAAAGACATTTTCCAGAAAAATAAGATAGATAAATGGGTTGACAATTTTCGACAAAAAAAGGAAAGATAATGAAAATAGTATAATTCACTTACAATACAATCATAACGTGTACAACACATGTATTTGCCATTAAGTTTAATCTAATATTAACACCGAATTAAAGGAGTATAATAGTAGTAATATAACTATCTGAAATTACCATATTGCACGAGAAAGTTACCTCATTTTATTCAAAAATATCAAATCATTGTGAATAACGACCTACCCTGTATATGATTTCCGTTGTTCTTCATTTCGATTTGTGTCCAACTGGCCATTTGCTCCAAAAATCACCATAACTACGACAGCACAATACGCATGCACATTCATAGCTATGCCCTGAGATTTGTAAAAAAAGATGAACTAGTTTCTTCTTTTGTCTTGTGATGCAGCTTCTTTGTTCCCTCAAGCTTTTCTATCCATTTTCATTTCCGATGAAATGCTTTTCACGATCTTCAATTTCTTGAGAGCACTCTATTTTGACAAGTTATTAATTTACGCTCATTGCCGTAATAACTGCTTCATATCTCTAACTTTCACACTCAAAGGTTATACTAATAGAGAATGATATCACACGGTAATTGTAATAAATAAACAAGAACTTAGACTATTGTCAGAAGCAGAGTAAACCAGCTAAGATAAGATTGTATTAGAATAACAAGTAAATCCACAACGCACAGAAATGAAACTTGATATGAATTTTGAAGGAACCTATTTGACAGGGTTTAATTTGTTCCAGGTTTTATGTTTAGCCAAAGTATTGTTTCACGGGCTTCAGGCGGATTTGGAACAAATGTCAAATTAATGCAAACCCATTTAGTTCAAACTCTGATCACATAGAAGTTTGGTGTACTGGGAACTGGTACAAGAACGTGATCCAAAGACTAGCAGGATACGTGTTAAGAGACGATTCACTCACACAATACGTGCACAAATTATTTTTATTGACCTCCAAGGGACATCATTTTACATTCACATTGCTTCTTAAAAGAGAGCTTCAAATAATGCACTAGGCTATGTCACTCTGGGTACTCAAGTACTAGTCCATAGAACATGAAATGCCCATATGTTGACCGATAAGTATTCTTATTCATCCATTCTCCTTCAATGTGATAACTGAGGGGTCGGAAAATAATTTTTTCGACTTGACGAAAATACCAGTTCTAACATGTTTATGGTCTGTGGGTGAAAAATGTCAAATATCACCAGCCTTGTATCATATTTGAAAAAGTTATCACATGAAAGCTATAGTCTGACACACACCGATCAATGCTATGAGACACTTCCAAATGCTGGAAATGACACACAACTCATGCTTTTTTCTTTAATCGTGGATCGAGCTTCATGATCTAACAAGTAAATTGTTATGAATATAATCGTATTCTTAAACATGTACTTCAGTGTGTGGAGGCCCTTGTATTCTTGGTTATCCAACTATTTGCACGAGTGCTGAAGTATTTTCGACCTGACCCAAGTATTTGGAGTTTACTTTTCAAATACATTCAATAGATGTCTACATCGGTTTGTTATCATTTTGTCGTTTGATTTATTTTATTTTATTCGAAAGATGGCTTCTCATGATCACCCTGGACTTGTTGACAGGACTGCTAATCTAACTTATTTCTTTGGGGATACGTTACGTCATATTACAGCTTCACCAGTGGTTGTGGGCTCGACTCTTACAGAGTGAGTCAAAAACAATACCCAAGTTTAAAGCTGAATATCATATGATTGTGTTAAACCGTGTCATTTACTATATATCATTTTAAAGATATATCATTTGCCAACAATATGAAACCATCCGATTGAAAACTCGTTTTTACTTGTTACGGATTTAAGGCTAAAATTGACAACAGGGGTGTCATGAGCGACCAAAACATTATTCAATCACGGTGGATTTCTAAATTGTGGAAAATAGAGGGAAATTTGAACTTCGGCACCTTCAAGAGAGGAACATTTATGCTTGGCCTATTGCAAAATTCACCAATAATACTTCTTGGTACTAATTTTTTTAATTAACTAGCAATTGTGTATTACTCTTCCAAATCATAATGATTCAGTCAAGCATCCTAGGTATTGTTTTTTTGGCCCAACCTGACCTCCATCACCCCAAAAAATGTATTTACAGAATTACTGACATATATTATAACTCGCTAAATAAACTCCAACGACTAAGTAGAGCCTCTTAAGTAGAGCTATCATAACTAATAACATATCAATAGCGTGACAGGTTGTTTTGTTACTTTAAGATTTTAGGCATTTTACCCGCATTGACCTTTATCTAAGACCTTGACCTATCAACTTTTTAGTCCAGCAACAACAATTTATAGTAAAATCAGTTGTGATACCATGTGTACCATCATCAGTGACATTCATGTGATTAAAGATATGCCTTACTTACTAACAAGGCACAGGGTGAACAATATCATACCTAAAGCAAGATGGCCACCATGTGTACCATCATCAGTGACATTCATGTGATTAAAGATATGCCTTATTTACTAAGAAGGCACAGGGTGAACAATATCATACCTAAAGCAAGATGGCCACCATGTGTACCATCATCAGTGACATTCATGTGATTAAAGATATGCCTTATTTACTAAGAAGGCACAGGGTGAACAATATCATACCTAAAGCAAGATGGACACCATGTGTACCATCATCAGTGACATTCATGTGATTAAAGATATGCCTTATTTACTAAGAAGGCACAGGGTGAACAATATCATACCTAAAGCAAGATGGCCACCATGTGTACCATCATCAGTGACATTCATGTGATTAAAGATATGCCTTATTTACTAAGAAGGCACACAGGGTGAACAATATCATACCTAAAGCAAGATGGCCACCATGTGTACCATCATCAGTGACATTCATGTGATTAAAGATATGCCTTATTTACTAAGAAGGCACACAGGGTGAACAATATCATACCTAAAGCGAGATGGCCACCGAAAAGTTAATCAGGTGTAGAACTATATGTGTCAGAAGTGATATATTGTAAATGTTCGAAAAAATCTCCAAACTGAAACATCAAACAATAAAAAATGCATTGATTCAAATGGTAGAAGCATATGAAAATAAGAATATGAAAAATAAAAACATCATAGCAGGATTTCAAAATGTCAAACACAAAAAGTGTCAAAGATCATTTTAAAAACTTTGAATAATAAAAAAGTATTTACACGGTGGCCAACGGTGAGCCCACACGGCCAAAGTGTGACCACTCCATAATAGAAAGAGAATGGAATAAAACTACGTTTCCCTTGATTCACCATGAGGACAACAGATTCCGAGTTTCCAAGGATTCGTGCAAGGACTGAAAAAAGCCATGTTCATGGATTTTCATAGAGTTGCCCATGACAAGACAGGGGGTACTAACGAAATTTGAATGTTTAAGACATCTAAAGTAACTGGGGCAAAAGAAGTATTTGATTATTATAAGGTAATTTATTAACAAGAGAAGCTCAATTTTTACAGTCCTTGACTAACTCATGACATTGACTTATAATGACCTATGACCTAATGAATCATCTAAGGATGGACAGACTGACAGATCAATGCATTTTCTGGTGAGGTTACTCTGCACTTTGACCTATACTACTTTCTTAAAAATTCAGGTCACTAGGATGGATTTCATCGATTGGAATAAAATTGTTGTATTCCCAATTGTGTTCATTGAATTCCCGATGGGCAGCATATTTTTTCCCTATATCCACTTTCACGGAACTGAACCTTGACATTTTCACCTTCTCAAATAGTATCAATTAGGTCCTTTAATGTGCATAGATGATGTATTTTGGCAAACATCGTTAATTGAAATTTTCAATAAATACCTACATAAACTTATCAAAACCTTCTGGCTGCTTCGATTGAAGGTTACATTTATATGGGTCATAGCTCTGTGAAGCTCTCCAGATGTACAATCCGACATCTGGACAGATTTCATAATTAGAATGACTTGCAAATAATTTCAAGTTACAAAAATATGTCAACTTAGTTTTACTGGTATTATCATTTCTATTGACCATGTAGCTTTATTGTATTCCAAAATCCTATTAAAATGAACTTGACTCATTAGGATTGAGTCCATTTGACATTTTTCAAAAGTTTTGATATCATTTAACCATCAGTGTTAAATTGAAAATATTTGAGCAATTTTGTAAGAAAATGATATTTTGTAAAAAATGTTCAGATTAAATAGGTTATTTTTTCAAATATGAGTGTTCAAAGTTCGCATTATGGAAAGTTCTGATTTCAAGGTTTTTTAACACGAGGACCAATGGGAGGAAATTATTGGACTGGAAAAAGTGTTCGGATTGGAAGACGTTTAGATTATTAGCCAGATGTTCGGATATGCAGGTTTCACTATACAATTTTTATTTTACATCTAATTATTTTGCCTAACTTGGTTTATATAATCAATATGGGATGTTATCCTCGTGCACACACTCGGTCTCTCACCAGCGGGCCAGTAGCCCCAGGATTGAATACCAGCGGCACGGAATGTGTTGTTACTGTCCTTCACCATGATCAATCCACCGCTGTCACCCTGTAAAGCACAATGAAATGAATGATTAAAGCACATACAGGTGAACGAAGATATGGTTAAGAAGAAATTTAAGGCAACGTTTACAGTCAACCAACAGGTGTGTTATAAATTATCCAAAATATGGAGGGGTTTATAACGGGGACTATTGGAATATTATAACATAGTTCAGGGGCGGATCCGGGAATCAAGAAGGGGGGGGGGGGCAAATTTCCGGTCAAAGAAAAATAATTCGCGGTTGCGCGTAAAACAGTTTTGGCCCTTAAAACCCAAAAGTGGGCACAAATATTGAAATTTTGAGGCCCCAAATTTTTGGGCCTTCAGGCTTTAAGGCCTTTTTAGCCCCAACAACCCCCCCCCCCCCCAGATCCGCCAGTGTAGTTATTCCTAGTATAACAGAGAGGTCACGCTACCCGTTTTAAAGAGAATGTGTACGCAAACGTGTAATTTATGACCCCAGTGGATTACTATTCCGTATCAAATGGGTTTTCCAGGGACTTTGCTACTGTTTCCTTATGCCCCCCCCCTCCCCTTATGAATTTATATTCAATTGAACAAATAAATACTACGGATGGGAGAACTAATCCCACGGGACCGTAATTCTACACGTTCACTTACAAATTCCTTTAAAACATGTAGCTTAACCTCATTAATATTCTTACATCCCCGGCGTCCTTGCCGTCTCCTCTGTGGCACAACGTGTTGGGCAGGACCATCCACTCATCATTTGGACCAACCTGAATCTTACAGTCGTCATTTGTGATGATTGTCAGTTGAACATGCTGAAGGTCCGCAGTAGGAGGTCCCCCTGTGGTCACATATGAATTATACAAGAAGTTAAATCAATATCGGTTATGATTGAAAGATTCCAAAGAATGTTCCCTGGCCTAGGAATTCAAATTCGGATTTGAGAACAGAGATATTAAAGGAAAGTCATAGACTTTAGCCTATAGCTAGCCAAAACTATGGTCTACAAAGCCTGTATAACATGTTTTTGAGATATTTTATCAATGAATTCCCAAGCTCCAGATTTTACCCTCTGTCACCTTATCTTTATCAGAACAAATTGTTATCGCAAGTTGCTTTACCTTGGTACTCATTTCCCCATCCTGCAAGCCAAGCGTCAGCGCCTTCATACAGGTTTCCAGCCTCAGGCATACAAATCGGTCTCAAGTCGTCGTTCCACACCAAGGGGGTCGGGAGTTTCATCATGACGATGTCGTGCTCGTAACTTTCATTGTCGTAGTCGGGATGAAACACGATTGTAGTAGGTGTGTGAGGTGTTCCGTCTTGGGGGTACTGGTAGAAATTCTGTACCCAGATGGTAAGATCTGCTGGGTCTGTTCCGCTGGAGTATAAACCTCTTTGTATTCATTACTCTTAAACATTTGATTGAATTTGATTGAATTCCATTCATTGAAAGATGATTGAAAAAACGCATCTTAAGTACTTGGAATTGAGCAAAAACTGTTGTAATCATTCCCTTTATAAAGATGATGATCACTGGTCCATGTATCAGTTTTGTACATTCCGTTCCGTAATTATGGATGCAATCTATTTCTTACACTTACAATATGGTATATTGAAAACAAACCCGAAAAAGAACTACCCTTTGCATTCGTTCGACTTCGAAAAGACTATATCAACAGGAATAGAACTCGCCATAACTCACTGGCGGATCCAGATGGGTGGGGCATGCCGCATCCCCTTGTGTGGGCGCAGAAAAAAAAGTTGGCCAAAAATATTCTTGGCCCAAACATTTTGTAAGGTCTCAATTAGTGGTGCGTTTAGCCATTACTTGGCCTTTTTGGTTTTTTAGGCCAAATGATAAAAATTTGTCAATTCACTAATTTTCTAAAGGGCCCAATTTTTGGGATTTAGGGGCCCAACAATTTTTGTGCGGAAATCTTTTTATGATTTGAAATGTGCCCTCCCCCTTGTTAGCTTCTGGATTCGCCAGTGTGACTTACACTCCATAACAATGCTGTGCTGACACGACCCACTGTGAGTCTATGATGAATCCATTGCAACCATGGAAACCACTATCGCCACTTTCAATACTCACCTGAAACGAAGATTTATCTTATTTATGATTTTGAAATTTTCGAAGCAATTTGTTTATACGTATATATTGTCATGACTGTGTTACTGGAATAGTTTAGCGAGGTTGTGTTTTATATACGGGGCTGGCCCTATCTTGGCCAGAATATTTTTAATAAGACCTTGTATGTGTTAGTATCAGGAAATTATGCAAATCTGTTTCAAGGCTTACAATCCATGGAAATTCACCCTGTCTTGAGAGTGTCCCTCCCACAATTCGCTTCGCTCGCCCCGGTCTCTCCGAACCAGCATCCGGGTACTTGCTTATTCCACATGCAGCTAGAGAAACATGTACAGAAGTGAATCCAATAGGTTGAGCAATCATCGATTAGTTTTTTGTTTCTCAGTTACTCTACTAGTCCCCCTGGCCCGTAGTCAGGGGAGAGGGTTCAGGGGATTCATGGCCAAAAGGTTCTGAAGTACCATTGAGAAGTTTCTTTTTTTCCTATAGTGGAAAACTTATAATTCGAAAATTCTTAAGTTTTTATGTTTTGTTAAAATTGATTTTAAATAAATAATATCAGAGATTATTTAGTTTTTCTAAAGTTTCCAATGCTTTCTGAGCTCATGTTGTGACACAAAAACATCTCTCGCTTTACTCTAATTCTTACTATTGGAAATAAATAAATAACAAATGACATCACTTACGATCCCACTGTGCAGAGGAGTCCGTTCTACAAACGTCAAACAAAGTTAAAAACAAAATTAATAGCGTATACATCTTAAATGATCTTGTTTAAATCGTTCCTTGGATCAATCAAGTAATGTACAAAATAGACTTAACAATGATTGTGAGGCAATAAGAAATGTGTTATCAATCATATAATTAACGAAAAGTATAATTTAAATGTCAAATATAATAATTTATTAACTCGCTCATGCGAAATTAAATAAAGCAGATGACGGTTTACCAAAAAACAAAAGTCATTTCATTAAAGGCCCCTTGTAAAGTTTATACTATGCTTATAACTCGCCCATGCGAAATTAAAAAGCAGATGACGCTTTGTCAAAAACCAAAAGTTATTCCATTAAAGGCCCCCTGTAAAGTTTATACTATGACTCGCCCATGCGAAATTAAAAAGCAGATGACGGTTTGTCAAAAACCAAAAGTTATTCCAATAAAGGCCCCCTGTAAAGTTTATACTATGTTTATGCACTGCACTGCACTGTATTGCAGTAATGCAGTCTAGTTTTATATATTTTGTATTTTGTAAACTGCAATTGACGTTCATATGACGAAACGTAGCTCTTTATCTAAAGTTTCCAAGGGATCTAGGCTGCGCGCATGCGTGGATCACACGATAAAATTTTACAGGTCAAATAGAGAACTGATGTGTAGTATAAGAAACAAGATCGAAAGACATTAAAAACAATAATTTTGGAAAAATAAAAACAAAAATAATGTATATAAAAGCACAATCCGCATGATAGAAAATGAATTCATGTAGAATTCACTTGACTTAATTACGAACTCCTTTCTAACCAAACTCAAGTGCGCACTTTGTAAACATATCAAGTCCTGAAGTCCTGCTTTGGCCATACATTAGTTTGGAGGAGCGGGGGAAACTCTCCCAATGGTAGACACACTCACAATATGTCCTTTGTGTTTTTTGAGCATAGGCAAACACATTTGAGATAGATGTAATCGGTACCTTCAAAGGCAGGTCTATCTGTGAATCGAAGTTTTTCATATCACTGCATTTAACCCTACTATCACACCAAACTAGTTCTCACTACGTTCTCGAAAACGGGCTTCAACTGTGTACGAACGGACTGGACCTACGAAGAACCGTTTGGGATCTATTTACAAACTTCATCGAACGTACTCGAACGGATAGGTCCTCTAGAACTTAGACAATCAATGCTCAAAATGTTCTCGTGGTCGTCACGTTCTACAATTAGAACGAGTGACAACGTACTAACGACGAGGTGGACGTACTACGAACGGAACCGTCGTACTTCAATCCTACTAGGGACGTTTTAACAACGAGTTGAACTATCTGAGGACGTGTTGAGAACGAGGTAGAACTAATTGCAAACGGATTTAAACTGATTTAGAACGTATTTAACACTGCTTATGAACGAGTTAGCAAAAATATAGCTATCACACCAAACAAGTTGCCACTGCGTTCTTCAAAACTGGTTTAAAACTGTGTGCGAACGGAATGAACGTAGCTGCAACTTTCGAAGGTCTATTTACGAACTTTATGAACGTTCTCAGACGGGAATGTGATTTTAGAATTTTGAATCGATTCAAAATTCGATGGCGACCATACCGTTCTGTAATCAGGTCATGTTGACCTTCTAGACTAAGGGACGCGTTCTACTACGTTGCACACCGACGTGGTGCGACCTGAACAAACTGCGAACGAGATGGACGTATTGAAGACTGTTTAAGAACGAAGAAGCTAATTATTTCTGACATATTTCCCGACCACAGGCAGATTAAGCCCGTTTTACGACGTTTTCGTAGGACTGGCAAGAACGGGTAAGAACTAATTTGGTGTGATAGGGGGGTAAGTTCGTCACCAATTGCAACACCAGCGTTATTAACCGAAGTACATCGAGTCGTTCGAATTGTTCATTAACAGTGGCAAGGATCTTCTGTAGGATTTCATCATTCCTCACATCACCTAGTATAGATGGAAATTTGGCATCTTGCTTGCCAATTCTTTTGCACTCATTCACAGCTTGCAATCCCGGGCTTGCAATCGTTCTTGGCTACGCCCATGGAGAAGGACACTGGCGCCACGCTTTGGAAAGAGTAAGGCAGTTGCTCTTCACAATACCGCTGCTAGAGCCAGTCAAAACAACACATTTACCAGAAAAATCCATTTTACTTACTTCACTTGCTGAATATACCAACCTTGGGGAAGGTTTATTCTTCGTATTCTTGTACGAACTGCTATACTCGGATATACTTTAATTTGTACGAACGGCAACGCGGTAGCCTGTCGTTGGTAAATTAATATGGATTAGAATTTAATGCTTTGTGCTTGTTTGTTTGATTGTTTGTACATATTGATCTTTTTATAATTGCATGAATGAATCTCCTTTTTATAAAGGGCAATAAATATATTTATCCCATACTTAAACGTGTTACGGGTACATAAAGCCGGTTTGTAAAAACTTATATCTTCATCAGCGGGCAGATATAGATTTACGTCCCGCTCCGAGCGGGCAGATATAGTATATCTGCCCGCTACGTCATAATCGCTGTTCCCGTATTGGTCCTTTTTTGTAACGTTCGTATACTGTAAACAACAATGGAGAAAAACGCAGACAATCGCGATCTGTTATATGCTTTAAAGAAGGGAAGGAGCAGTATGCCCCGTTAATAATCAAAGATTTGAACAGGAAAATCCGGCTACCATTATATCCTTGGCCAATATAATATATCTACCCTCGGGACCTACGGCCCTTGGGCAGATATATCATATTGGCCTCGGGATAATCCCAATATCCTGAACCTCATATAGGATAATCTCTACATACATATTACATACATACACATACTTGCTCTTACATACAATACACCATGGGCTTGCAACTTAGACATGAATACACATAATTTATTCTTTACCTGAAAAGCTGCTTATTCGCAAAAATGACCCAGCACCATCCATTTTGCTAACTTGAAGAGCCAAAACTGGTTGATTACATGTTCAAAGACAGCATCAGGGATACACAGCAAGGGATGACAATATTGCAAGCAACGTATGCAATGGTGATCAGAATAATCAGAAAATATAGTATTAAACCATATATTCATTTTTAGATGGCGCTGATATACAAGATCTGGTGAATATTTACGAACTCCCGTGCAGTCTAAGTTGACACTACCTGTTTGTACCGAACAGGAGAAACATGAACCATTTCAATTGTTTTACATCGGTGTCCTTCTTAAGTGTATAGATTAAATTCACGTTTCACAGCCAGAGCTATAGATAACTCAAGTTAAAATGTTTACCAATCTGGACAACCCCAAAATGACCCGTCCCTTCAATTACGCATGCGCACTAAAGGTGTATTACCCGGAAATGACATCACTTTGTTGTAGTAAATTATAATGGCGCGGTGCCATGAATTCGTTTTGAAAATTGTCAATGTTTTATGGATTTATATACTTCTAATATCACAATGTGAGAGTAAAAAGACAGAGACATGTAAGTACTGACAATGATTTATCTTCCTATTTAAATTTTAACGAATTTGAGTGACTTTCCGTAAAGAAAATAAGGTTTGAATTTGGAGTGATTTATTTGTAGACTTTTCCCATTGATTGACTCATTGAGTTTCATTTTCAACACATTCAAAAAAATTACGTACAAATGATATTACATTCAGTATTGCTTTTTTTAAAGAAACGGTCAGATAGTAGAGAACTAGGCTAAAGTTGATACATGCCCCCCATTCATTTCATGTATTCTCCAGTGTTTGTCAGATACCATGTTTTATGCATTTGATGCCCTCTGTTTGATAACCTCTGTGAATGCATACTTGTCTCTGTGAAAGTATGGTACCCTTCGCATAATTGACTCGCTTCAACATATATCTTTGTCAACTCATGGATTGTCAACTCATCTTTTCTTGACGAAAGAAGGATGACTTTCTACAAGTAGATCTATCAGTGTTAATTTCTTCTGAAGACTTCTTGTTGCTTATTCTTATTGGTTTAAAAAATGTAAATGGGGTTGATTTGAATTTGTTTGTGACATGGGCTACAACTGCCATCAGTAGTCGGGGGGGGGGGGGGGGGGGGGGCAGGTCTGGCGAACTGTAAAGTCATCCTATCTATCCAGAGGTTACTTTCAAACTTCTCTGCACTCAGGGTAAAAGTAGGGTTTGATGTAAATTTAAATACATCTAAACTTCAAAGTCAGTTTTAGATTTACTGTTTCTGCTTTGCACATATTTGCACCAAAATAACTAAGGGAGTTCATTTCATATTGTACTAAAAATGAATTGGGCATTATCAGTCAATCTTTACAGTTTTAGAAATGGAGCTTATTTGGACAATCATGTGCTGGGGCTGAAATTTTTTATTGTGTGGTTTGGGCTTTAAGTTCTTACATCTTCAAGACTATAGTCCAAACTGAAAAGTTTACAGTTTGTAATGGTTCAAGCTGAAGCTAGCAGATAGATTCAAAAGTTTGACAGTTTGGTTGTAATATTATGCACAGAAAGTAGCATATTTGAACTAAACTGTGAAACCTGTAGGTTATGTTATAACATTGTCTAGCATCATGCTGTAATAATCCTTGATAGCATGCAATGTTCTAATGTATGTTAATGTATAATATTTAACAGACATGCTAAACTATGTCATTTCTTACATGAGTAATTTTTGAGTAACGTTTTCAATGGACTGACCAATAGCTTTTATTTAATATCTGAATCAGAGATTAAATTGTCTACAATATCATCCATGATTTCTTATAAAAAAAGAACACAGAAATCTCTATATTTTCCTGAAGTAGAATTCAAAATTGTAATGATAACGTTGGAATCCTGCAAGTTATGACAATTTTTGTGAACTACACATATATTATTTGATGAATAGAAAATCACATTGAACCAAAGATACTAAATAATTAACATTTTTAGGAAACTTAAAGATGATGGAGAAAGAGCATAGTATTTGTTTATTTTCAATCTCATACAACCAGTGCATGTAAATTCAGTCAAATCTCTAACACATGTTAAAATAACAACAAATATTTGCACATGAAGAGGACCATCTAATTTAACAGTGATAATTCAGTTTATTTAAGTTGAACAAATGCTTATGAAGGTTATTAGGTTAATCCAAGAGATATCTCAGAATTGTTTTAACATCTGTTATTCTCATGTGTTAAAATACACAAGAAATATTCTCATATACAGTACAGGGGAAAGGGGGGCGGGGGTATAAGTAGGGGTTTGATGCAATATGTATGGCTGAATATAAATACTTAATTTAGTATGCTGTCCTGAAAAAGCAGAAGTTGCCATTTATTCATTTGAATATTTCATGAATAAGCTCTAATGTAAAAAGTTTGTTCCATATACTAATACTAATTACAATCAATTTTAGGAATAAAAACCATCCTAACAATGGCACAAACTCTCTTCCAAATAATAGGTCCAACATAACACCAAACAGTTCTGGAAATGCCACAGCTTGCTTTAAATGTGGAGAAAGCAGCCACTTGGCCAGTGCTTGTTGGCATCCTCAGTCCGTGAGGTGTTATATTTGTAACCAATTAGGGCACAAGCAAACCAGATGCCCATCACTTAATGACAATTTTTCAAATAAATACTAGGTTTTGGGCTATGTCACAGCCATACCCTCATTCCACAATGATAAGCATACTCGTTATTACCGTAACCGTGAATCATATAATCTTAAAAAGCGATCGCATCGACGAGGAGGTCAAAGAAAGCGCAAACGTAAAAACATATCTTTTAAATTCGCCTATAATAATGCCCAACGGTTCGGCGTGGCGAAACAAATCCAACTCAACCAAATTCTTCGCGATCATAATTATGACCTGTTTGCACTCACAGAAACATTTTTCAGTGATACTAACACCCCAACCATAATAAATGATGACTATATTTGGAAGGGTAAAGACAGACATGGTAAAAAAGGTGGTGGAGTTGGGTTTCTAATTCACAAAAGTATAATCTTACTTAATGACAACCATTTTGATTCTAAAGATGATGAATATGAGCGTTATTGGTTGAAACTTAAAATGGGAAACCAAATATTCCATGTCTGCTCAGTATACTTCCCTTGTGATGGTCGGGACATGGAAACATCCCAATCTTTATTTGATGAGCTCACACATAATATTGCATCCATTAATGATAACAGTAATATCTTAATCATGGGTGATTTCAATGGAAGACTGCCTTTTTTCAGAAAGGCCAATTTTTCGAGCCCAAATGGTGATCTTTTACAAATGTTCAACGAGGTTTCCAATATGCACGTCCTAAATTGCTCTGATAGGTGCCATGGTGAGATAACATGGTCACGTAATGAACAAGTGTCTACTATTGATTATGTTTTAGCTAATGAACATTTTCTTTCTAACTGTTTTGATAACATGGTGATTGATGAATCTAAGGATGTTTCAATAGGAAGCGATCATAATGTCATTATTATCAAGGGTAACATTATACATGAACACAAACCCTTACAGAGTAAAACTGTTCCTAGTTCATACACCCGTTGGGATATTAAGGATGACACCAATTGGGATTCATTTCAATTAGCCTTGAGTGATGAGTTCAAATCCTGGTCATTAGACAACCATTATGACGTTGAGTCTATTTGGCATTCTTTCAAGTCAAAATTAATTAATGCTGGAAAAACTTCAATTGGGTTAAAGCAAATTTCAAATAATTGTAGGGATTTCTGGGATTTAGAACTAAAGCAGTTGATCAAAAATAGAAAAGATGCAAGTCACTTTCATAGGCTTTGGCAGAAATCAGAGTCGGCTGACCCTGCTGTTATTAAAGAACTCTGGGAAATCTACCAAGACCTAAAAAAGCAAGTTACCACTAAAATTAATGAAAACAGGGTAAAAAATCATATCAAACTTATTACTTGTAATGCTCATAAAAGCTCCAAATCCTCAAAAAGCTATTGGAAAACCCTTAAAAAATTCAATGCAAAAAGTAATTTCCCTATTAGAATGAAAGATCCAGACGACCCTGATAATGTGATAACAGATCCCAAAAAGGTTAATGATGCTCTAAAACAATATTGGCAGAATGTAGGGTCAAAATATAGAAATCCAATGTCTCCCCCAAACAATGCAGCCGAAAGAGTAAAAGAATTAGGGACTAACATTAATTTTGATGCTAATGCAATGACCACAATAAACATTGATCCTACTCTAATTTCAACACAAATATCAGAGCTTGCCAATGGTAAAGCGATGGGTGTTGACCAGATTCCTAATGAGTTTCTTAAAAAGGGGAAAACTATCATTGCCCAACCACTTTCGGATCTTTTTAACCGCATCAAAATGCATGAACATATTCCAGATGAATGGCAATGTGGTATCATAAAGCCTTTATATAAAGAGGGTGACCCTGAAGTGTTTAATAACTACCGTGGAATCACAATTAAAAAATTCCACAAACAAAGTTATTTTTGGTCAATATAGCACTGAATATTTTGACACACCATCTGGTGTTAAACAGGGCTGTATTTTATCTCCCACCCTTTTTTCCATAGTAATGACTGACCTTGTAGATAGTCTTAATATGTCCACGCTGGGCTTGCCATATAATAACTCTAAAATCCCATGTCTCTTATATGCAGATGATATTGTCCTTATGGCCCAGACAGAAATGGAATTACAGAAAATGCTTTCTATTACAAATGATTTTGGGCTTAAGTGGGGTATGCAATTCAGTGAAAAAAAGTCAAAAGTAATGATAATTGGAAAACGAATTGATCGAAAGAAAAAGTGGCATTTGGGAAAGCTTTTACTTCCTGAAGTCAATGAATATAAATATCTGGGTGTAATGTTCAACAGATCTTTAAAAGAAACATCCCACATTAAGTATATTGAAAAGAAAGCGAAGAATATGAAAAATTACATAACCATGACATTGGCAAAACACTGTAATGTTAAAAGATTTGATTTTGGAAGTACCATATTTAATTCAATGGTAATGCCTGCGCTCTTACATGGTTGCCCCACGTGGGTTCTTTCTAAGTCAGCCAAATCCAAAATTAATGCATTCCAATACTCCGCAGGTCAAGCAGTTTTTCAAATTAAAAGTAAGCCAGCAAGAGAAGCATTACTAGGTGATCTAGGATGGAAACCATTGTGTGACATTTTGGAAAAAAGACAACTAGAGTATTTTAATTATCTCAATTATGATTTACCTACATCTTCTCTCCCTCACAAAGTTTTAAGGTCATTACTACAATGTTATAAGGAAGGTAAAGAGTCATACTGGAAATTTATATCCAATATACATAAAAGTGTTACAGATAAGGGCTTAGATGATGTTATTTACAGAAATGATTGCGATTGGTTTTCCTCATTTTTAGACATATCTAAAGCACAAAGATTAGAAAAGTTTCATGAGAGTATCTCAAATCATGATTCTCTTTACATCTACAAAAATGTGAAATCTGACTACAAACTAGAGAACTACT